TAAGTTAATGACTAGCTTAAGCAGTCTCTTCTGAAAGGTTTGGGTACCACAGAGCCGGGGATCTTAAAGTGGTGGAGTTTTTAAAACTGTAAACCTCTAAGCCACCTCACCAGTCCTGATGGCCTAAGTTTGACCCCAAGAATCAGTGAGAAAAATCTCAGTGGTAGGGAGTCAGAGACAGGGAGATCATAGGGGTTTCCTGGCCAGCTGTTGGAACCATCTTGGTGGCATCCGGGCCAGTGAGAAACCCTGACTGGAAAGAAGACAAGTGTAGAGGCAGACGGCTGCAGAGGGACAACTGATGTTGTCCTCTGGCCTCCACGTGCATGGGCGGGCATGTAGCTCACCTGTACCTCCCATATGTGCACATGAGCACATCCCACTGCCATGAAACACAACGCCTTTAAACATGTCAGTGAATTCCTCATAGGTTACATGTGAGAATTGATAGATAAAGGTTTCCATACTCTTTAACAACACAACAACAAAAACAAGTGTTTTAATTTTTATCATGCTGGAAATTGTGACCATGAGTAGTAGTTAGTCTTCGTGTTCACTCCTAAGTCTCAGATTGTCCCTAAATATGTCCACACACTACCAGAATATGCTGCCTGCTCCTTTTCCTTTTTGTTTTTGTTGTTGCTCTGCGTGTGTGTGTGTGTGTGTGTGTGTGTGTGTGTGTGTGTGTGTGTGTGTGTCCTCTTAAGTAGATTTTGGGAGTGAGCATGTTCATAGAGGACATCTAGTGTCCTCTCTGTCATTCTGTGCCTATTCCTCTGAGATGGGATCTCTCCCTGATCTCAAGTTTTCTCAGGTGGCTGGAAGACAGGCTCTCCTGTTGGAGGTGGGGTTACAGGCAAGTGCAGGACACCCAGTTTATTATGTAAATGCTGGTATTTAAAACAGCCAGCATTGTTAACTGCTGAGCCATCATCTCTCCAGCATAATGGTTCTGTTTTAATTCATAGTCTACTGTTTTCTAGTGTGTGAGTTTCATTTCCTGGTAGTATAGCTGTCCCTCCTGAGCCTTCTATACATATACTAAAGAGAATAATGGCTTCTAAACATTATTTTTTGAGATAATATTACATACTCCCTCTTCCCTCCAAAACCTCCTATATGTCTCTCCTTGGTCTTATTTCTTTATGTGCCAAATTTAGTTAATCAAAGAATATTTTTTAGACTTCCATTTACTTGACATTTTTATTTTGTTGTGTTGTTGGTTGTTTGTATGCATATTCTCCTTGCTTTTACAATTGTGCCCTGAAAAGTTAAAAAAAGGATGTTACTAGGGCTTGAGTGAGTTTGTTGGAAGGGATTGGAAGCTAGGATCAGTAAGAGGAAGGCTCATTTTCCTACTCAAACTCTAGAAAGACATTTTTATTGGAGTAGCAATACAAATATTTTAGGATCTTATTTAAGGCTAATTGGTCTTAGTGGAATTTGATGGGGATATTATCACATTCTGGATAGCTTTGTATTTAATGTCAACAAGAACTTAGGTAAGCCAGCACTCATCTGTCTATTAATTAATTAGCAGTAAGGTGACCCAGGCACCTCCTCAGCAGCAGGGTCACGGAGCAGGAGGATGGACTAAAATCAGTCTTGCAGCATGAAGGACTATGTTCAGGTGCCTGCAGCCGAGCTGGAGAAACCTTATGAGTTTCCTTCACCAGGGGAGTCATCCACATGTCTTTACCTGAGTAGGTCCAGTGAGTTCCTCTTACATGTATTTATAAATACTGTATTCTCTTACTTGAATATTTAGAATAAATGCTTCTGTAATTTTTATTGCTATACTTTTTGTTTCTACCAAATATTGCCTTCTATGTAACTAAGTAAATTGAAATTTTGAAGCTAATTTCCTTTGTCTTTGTGTATGTTGTCCTTTATATAAATAGTTGAAAAGTGTCTGTTTGTTTGTTTGTTTGGGGCTTTTCTGAGACAGTCTCTGTGATCATCCCTTCCCTAACGTGGCAAGTGTGAGATGTTCATGTCACTACAGTAAGATGTGTAGAAAGCCGAAGCATTTTATCTTCCAATAGGCACTTGAGTTAGTGTGGCAGTTTCTGTGTGAAGCCATGGGGTCTGCGCTGGGATTGCCGTGCCTTCCACCTGCACTGCTCTGCAGTTTGGTGCATATTGGCTGCTACGGGCACTCCTTGCAGGAGGCAGAGGATGAGTGACCCTGCCTAAAGTCTCGAGTGCGGTGCGGTGTTCTGAACGTAGCAGTTACCCCCTTGTTCTTACTCATTGGAAGTTGTTGCGAACCTGACATGACGTACTGATGGCTAATTTACAGCAGAGGCATCACACTATTCTTAGTTCTCTAAAAGGCTGCCTGTGTCCTCCTGCTTGCCTCTATTGTGGAACTGCTTTCACTTATCACTAATACTAGTTACCATTTCCTTAAATGCTTCCTTACCGAGAGCTTGATGTGTACTTATTAGATAACTAACTAATGTAGGTAATGCTATGGTCAGGTGATCCTTGTATAGGAGAGACCTTAGGTGTAGTTAGATAAGTCACCTGTGTGCCATGTCTTTTGTACTTTGTCCTTTTCTCATATGCAGTCGAGGACCAGGGTTACTGTTGCAGCCCAGATTCAAGTCTTTTCAGGTCCTCTCAGCAGCCGTGTGTGCTGTCAGAGAGTGCTCTAGAAAGTGTATTTGCTTCCCATTGGTGTGGCCAAGTGTGTGTCTCAATCTTCTCACTAGACTGTTGGTGTCATCACAGAGTCTGTATGGCACTGGCATGATACACTGATTGTAATTTACTGATTAGAAATAGGGTTTTTGCTTTGTGCTGACTTAGCTCTCTTCACCCTCTCCCCCCCCCCCCCCCCAGCACTCAGGTAATTGTTTTGTTTTGGGGTCTAAGTATTATTCAATTTTTTTTATGTTAATCTGAAAATTTAACTGTGTAGTATTTGGATTATTTGAAATTGTTAAAGCTTTCGAATAATGGATAACATTCACTATCTGTTTTTATGACAGTTTATAAATTCCTCAAAAGATACACTTCTTACACGTCTCACATCTGTGGTAGAGAAGAGCCTGGAGTTTTAATTTCAGATAGTGAATTCATCCAGCCATTACTCTTGACCAAGTTTCTGATTTCTTTGCTACAGATTTTTTTATTTTAACTTTAAACTCTTTATGTTGTTATTTTAAGTACATATTAAGTGTTGGGCTGCATGTGTGCCTGTGCCCTATTGCATGCCCAGGACCTGTGGAGACCAGAAAAGGGTGTTGGGTCCCCAGGACTGCAGTTACAGATAGATGGTTTTGAGCCACCGTGTGGATGCTGGGAATGGAACATGGGTCCTCTGGAAGAGTAGCCAGTGCTCTTAACCCCTGAGCCATCTCTCCAGCCCTACCCTTGCACATTCTTGCTGCTGTGAATTAGTGAATGTGAGCCATGTGTACACAGTGCTTTCTTACAGGAAGGTAAGAGACAGACCATCTTCAGACGACCAGCAGCTCTTGACTTGTTTCATCGTTGCTTTGATGGCCTCACTTTATTGCAAACCCCAACTCAGCTTTGTGTTGTTTTTATTTTGCCCTGTGCTGAACACTCAGTTGACACTTGGTAAATAGCACATACTTCATAAAGAATTTGGGATCTTCAGAAAATGCTTCCTATTAAATATTACTTGATGGACGCCATTGCAGAGGCTCTGCTTACTAAACAGCTTTCTGCTATGCCAGGTGTTCTCCTGTATGTTGTTTTGATTTCTAAACACATGTTTAGAAATGCACGTGACACAGACTTCCCACCTCAGCTCATAAATCACAGGAATCATTTTATGATTTCTCAAGGACACTATTCTTACAAAGGTGTTGGTATTCAGGATAATAAAACTGACTGATCCATCTTATTCATAGTTCCTTCCAAGTAGCTGAAGTGCCTTACCCAAGACATGTATCCATTTATGGAAGAATTGGAGTGACGTCGCTCATGCCTTTTCCCGTTTATTAGTCTTGTGTCTATGAAAGGTTTATAAGACAGACATTTGCTGCAGACTTTCCAGTTTTTGTTTCATTTGCAATTTAGTTTTAAAGCTCATTTATTTTTTACATGTTTTCACAGTTTACAATGTATCTGTTTAAAAATTAAGCATATTTTGGAATATGCTAAGTTTATGACTTATAAAGAATGGATAGTAACAGGAGGGTATAGGTTTGAAGGACATTATAAAACAGTAGGACATTTTATGTATCAAGCAATTATCAGTGAGCTCCTAAAGCATCGGTATAACGACCTTGCTAAAAATAAGCTATAAATAGCTTCAGAAGAGGCTAGGAAACCAGCTGTAGAAAAAGGTGCAGGTTAGATGTGACTTCTGAACTAGGTGACGGAAGTGGGAAGTACAGCAACAAAGGCGTTGTTGAGGTAGGAGGCACACACTCGTTCATCAAGTATCTCAGTGAGTCTTGGGGTTGCTGGGGATTTACCAGTGAGCAAAAGAGTAGTGTCTGCCTCCCTTCAAGCTTGCCTTCTGGGAAGGGGGCGCTGATGATAACCTAAGTCATTAGGAAAGGTACTCAGTGTGTTGGCTGATGAGTGCTTTTAGCAGTAGAAAGTAGGAGAGTGAGGGTGGCCAGAGATTTCAAGGAGGTAGGCCGCCACATTCTGGGCAGAGAAAGCAGCAGAGCAGAGGGCCCTAACGTAGAGGACAGCAGGGCCACTGTTAGGGCTGCAGTGAAGTGCAGAGGGGACACACGGGGAAGATTGAGGGAGGGGGCAGAAGAAGGCTCAGGCAGATGTGGCCCACGTTTACTGAACAGAGCAAATCTGATGTGAGGGGTTTGTGTTCATGCAGTCCTAGCAACTGCTGGTTCTTTAGGAAGGGGAGAAAAAGATTAATTTCCCTAATTTTGAGTTTGCATACCTTTTGTCTTGCTGCCAGTTTAAACCTACTGAAAATAGAAACATGAATTTCTGGGTCATTTTATGATGTTAATCTTTATACTCCTTTTTTTTTTTTTTTTAAACAGGAGTGTGTTGCTGCTGCTCTGCTCTGCGTCCTCGATACAAACGCCTGGTGGACAACATATTCCCTGAAGATCCAAAAGTAATTTATGTACATCTACTGGTCCTTCTCTTTGCTGACTCATTCTGCCCCCTGCTGACCTCCCTAAGGTTTTCCTCATTCCATTTCTCTTTTATCCCCACATGTCTTCTCATGAACTACTGTACTTTTCACATGACCCCTGCTTGCTAATCTTTGTCAGATGCTAGCTACAATTCTTAAATGATAGTGTCGTTTTTCATTTAGATAGTTTAGTAACACTCACCAAACACTGGATCATGTGCCATATACTGTGTACTGAGGATGCAACTGTGAACAGAGAATGGCTTGTGCATTCACTAGCCATACAGACAGAATACTACCACTTCTGCATTCACTAGCCATATAGACAGAATACCACCAATTTTAATGAACTAGAGGAAATGTGATAAAGAACTGAAGGATGCTGCTTGAGTAATCAGAATGATAGCCAATATGGGATTAGAAGAAAGACAAAGGAAATGAAATCTGACACCTAGATCCAAAGAGCAATTAGGAATAGGCTTTTTTTTTTTTTTTTTTAAAGAAGAGAATTGGGATGAGAAAAACTGTTACCCTTTTTCTTAAGTGTTGTTTAGCCAGGTTTGCTGACTAGCTTTATGTCATCTTGATGTAAGCTAGAGTCACCTGGAAAGAGGGAACCTCAGTTAAGAAAATTCCCCCACCAGATTGGCTTTAAGATTGGGACATTTTCGTGACTGATGCCTGTGGGAAACCCAGGTCACTGTGGCCATTGCCACCATTGGCTGGTGGTCTTGCATGGTATAAGAAAGCGTGCTGAGTAGGCCATGCAGAGCAAGCTAGAGTAAGCAGCATGCAGAACCGCCTTAATGGTTCTGATTCTGTACTGCCTCTAAGATCCTGCCTTAAGTTCCTGCCCTGACTTTGCAGGTTTTGTTCCTTGCATTTTATCACAAAAACAGAAGCCCTAACGGAGACACTAGACATGGTGGTGTGTTATTATTATATACTCACAGTTTCCATGAGGCTAATGTCTGAGTCCTCATGAGCTCTCCCTGAACGAATACAGTTCTTTGTTGAGTATGACTTCTGTGTTGTCTGTCATAGTGCCTGGCATGTAGTTGGAACTCAGTATTTGTTCAATGAATGTGATAACAGAATGCTAAAGTATACTAGTATAGACAAGCACCATGAGCTAAAAGGTGTTCCTCACAGTAGAAACATCCCAGCCCATCCATCCCCAGAGAGCTTGTGGAGGGTGGGTTGGAGAAGGCATGGGAAGGGTGTTTAGAGGAAGCTGAGAGCTAGAGAAAAGCACCTCTGCTTCTCTGTGATAAGCTGAGCGAAAGAAGTCGTGACCAGCAGAATTGCAATCAGACTGCAGAGTAGACGTTTTAGCAAAATAGAGAAGGTACAAAAATGCTTGTGTAGCTTCACTGAAGAGACAGCCAGCGGCTATCAGGTGGGCAGGTAAGGTGAGAACACAGATTTACAGTTATCATTTGTAGACCCGTCATCCGACATGCTGTCCCATCTCCCTTCTCCCCCATCCAATAGACATAAGCAGTGCAGTTACTTAGTCTATGCCCAGCCCAGAAATGGAGGTTGATGGTTGATTCACCCTCAGATAGGAAGGATCATTGGGTCGGGTATGGTGGTTTCCTCTTTAATCCCAATACTGGAAGGCAGAAGCAGGCTGATCTCAGTAAGTTCAAGGCCAGCTTCTTGGTTGACCTCTTACTAGGCAAGCTTTGGGTTCCATCCTCTGGAGGTGGAGAGAAAACTATATGTATTTTCACTGTTGTAGATATAAAAAAAAAAAGAAAGTACAAACTACATAGAGCATTCAAGACATTTAAATTGAAACAGTTTTTTGTTTGTTTGTTTTTTGTTTTTGTTTTTCCAAGACAGGGTTTCTTTGTAATGTTTTGGAGCCTGTCCTGTGTAGACCAGGTTGGCCTCCAACTCACAGAGATAACCTGACTTTGCCTCCAGAGTTCTGGGATCAAAGGCATGTGCCACCAACACCCAGCTGTTTGAAAATATTTTAATAAAATCTATTTCATTGTCTACACACTGCTAGCTACTTCTCTATACATGAAAGTTCTAGAGACAGCTATTGTTTGTGAAGGTCCTTTAAATGCTTTGCCTTATTGGAATATTTCTTTAACTTTTAAAATGTCCTGAGCATGTAGGATTTTTAATGTTAGCACCAAAGAGTTTATACCCAAAAGTTTCAGCATAAATGTGCATTAATTTACAGTCCTCAAGGATGTGATGTAAGTCAGGCAATACTTTAGATGAATAAATGAATTAGAAAGTAATGGATTGCATATGTGTCATTATTAACTTCAGGATGGCCTTGTTAAGGCTGATATGGAGAAACTGACATTTTATGCAGTGTCTGCACCAGAGAAGCTCGATCGAATAGGCGCCTATCTGGCAGAAAGGCTGAGCAGGGATGTTGTCAGGCATCGCTCTGGGTAAGAACACTAAGTGCTGCTTATAATCTCCTATCTTTGTAAAGTTATTTCTAGGCAAAGTTGTCTTGTAAATTTCTGTGCCAAGTAGTCAGGCAAAAACAGTATACAGAGGATAAAAACTTAAACTAGTTTTGTCATCTGTTAGTTTTGTCAACTTCTAACAGAAAATAGTTTTGAAAGTGTTGTGCTGTGTTTAAAAATCTATGTCTGAATTAAAGACAAACCAAGATCCAGGTGGTTTTTGACCCAGCTTCTGTCTTAGCTTTTAGCAGAGTGAACCTGAGTCATGTCAGGATTAGTTTGTACCCATGTCTGCTGATAAAGAGATCCCATCTTCACCATCCTGTACTTGAAAAGTTACAGCTTTGCAGTTTGCATTGAAGATACTTTCTGTTGTGACATTTTACCACCCTAGTTTCTTAGGGTACTCTGTTCTCCAAGCCATACGTTGGCTTATTTAATAGTTGATCATTATGAGTTAACTAAAATGGAATCTAAACTGTATTATATGAAATCTTTTAAATCTGTTGATTTATAAAGCACATTTTATTGAGCTATTCCTGTATATTGCTCTGTCATTGCTAGCACTATTTTATCTATGAATATAATTTATAAATATTTTATTTACAAATATAAATAAAATATGTTAGAGACAGAAATGAATTGTAGTAACTGTTTAGAACATATACAAATAAATATGACAAAACCATGGAAGGTATTCATAGTGTTCAAGGCAGATTTCACAAAGGTAATGGCACAGTTGCCCTCAGCTTTCCAGGAAGAAATAGAGTAATACAGTCTAGCTTTGGTGGATTGTTATTGAGGACTTGCATATCAAAACCTAGTTTTTACTTAGTTTACTTTGCCTTTCTATGTTCTTTGCATCTAAATAAGCCTAATTATTCCAGTGAAAAGCATTAGAGCAATTAAGAGTGCTGGAAATGCTTTGATACTGTTTTTCCTTTAATTTAGGTATGTTCTAATTGCTATGGAGGCGTTGGACCAGCTTCTTATGGCCTGCCATTCTCAAAGCATCAAGCCATTTGTAGAAAGCTTCCTTCATATGGTAGCAAAGCTCCTGGAATCAGGGGAACCAAAGCTTCAAGTTCTTGGAACAAATTCTGTAAGCAAAGCTATCTCTTTCGTACTAAGTTTAATCAGTGTATCTAGAATTAACCTCTTCTTAGAAGGAGTCTATCTGATAGAAGGCAGTTTCCCAGTCAACCATAAGACAGTGATTAACACTTCTGTCCCTAGTGCTGTTTGTTTCTCTTTATAGAACCCGTGATACTAACCTATCATCCTGGAACACCTTCTAAATGAGTATATTCCTGTCAGTTTTATTTGCTCTGACTTTGACTGTTACAGTGCTAACTTTGCACACTATTGTTTTATTTTACTACTTTTCCAAAAGCAAGAGCTTTATTGAACTGTATCTGGTTTATCATTAGCAGTCACACAGTTTTCATAAGACTCAATGATTACACTGTTTAGCATATATCACCAGAGTGGAAAACCTATTTCTGTGCATAGACCTGTGAACCAATGTTCAATAGCCAAATAGTGAGACAGGTCCTGATGTCCATGGTTAGATGAGTAGATAAGTTAGCGTGTAGTGTGCTGTTTCATTGCAGCTTTATCTTTTTGTTTCCATTAAAGCTTCTTCACATTATAGGCTTCCTACATGTCTCTGGATAAATGTCTATCCAAATCCTTATTCCAAAAATTAGATTGCTTTTAAAAATCTTCATCTCTTCTTGATATCGTCTCTTATCAGATATATGTAACTTGCAGTATTTTTTTTCTAGTTCTGCACCTTGTTTTATACTTTGTTGATGGTTTGCTTTGAGTTGCTGAAGTTTTTATTTTGATGAAGTCTGTGTGTGTGTGTGTGTGTGTGTGTGTGTGTGTGTGTTTAGTATGCTTTATAAGAAACCATTGCCTAATTGGTGGTCAGGGACTTACCCCTTTTATAGTTCAGTTCTGTTATCTACTTTGAGTTATTTTACATATGATTGCATATGAGGTAGGGATTCTATATTATCCATGTATTTATTCAGATATCCCATTATTATTTGTTGAATGTACTCTTCCCCCCCCCCCAAATCAGTGTTTGTGTTTCTCTCCTTAGCCTATTTCTGAATTGTTTCTACTCATTATTTTAAAACAAAATAAAAGATGAAAGATAGCATGCTATGATAATGAAGCTAAAGTAGTGAAGTTTTAGTCTTTCATTTCTGCTTTTATTTTTATATTTATTGTTCTTTCTGGGGAAGCTTAAGTTATACAACCTATGTGAGTATTTTGTATCCGCACCCATAGTTCACTAAAACGTGCTGGAATCTCATGATTTGTTGTTGTTTAGACATTGATGTGAAGAGACAGCATGATTAAGACAACTTACAGAAGGAAACATTTAATTGGGAGCTTTCTACTGTTTCAGGGTTAGTCTATGATCATCACGGCAGGAAGCTGACAGGCATGCCATGGAGCAGTGGCTGAGACCTTATATCCTGATCCACAGGCAGCAGGCAGAGAGAAAGACTGACTGACCTGGCCCGGTCTTTTGAAATCTCAGAGCCCACTCCGAGTTACATTCCTCCTCCAACAAGGCCACACCATCTAATCTTTCCCTAACAGTCCTTCTAACCAGGGACCGAGCGTTCAGACGTAGTCATCTGTGGGGACCATTCTCATTCAAACCATCACAGATACAGTTTCAGATATAAGAAGAAGTAGTGTAGATCGTGACTCCCTCTGTGAATCTGAGGCCAGTTGGCCTGGTGCGTGTTGCATGTGGACTTCTAGCTTTGTAATTTAGGCAACTTAGCTAAGCTTTGCCTCAGTTTCTCATCTATGAAATGTTTCGTGGTCCAGTCTGATTAGGTCTCTCTATGTGTGAAGCTCCCAGAGCACGGCATAGCATTACAAAAGCTAGAATATAGTCATTCAACCCCCCGTCATGATTTTGTCCGTTTATCTCAGGGGTAAAGAGTGTATATTTCCAGATGCAGTTAGCTGATGTGATGAGGCATGAACTCCTAGAAGTTTCTCCTGTTGCCTGTACAATTTGATGAGGGAGTTGAGGGGAAATGACTTCACAGCTGGGTGGGTGGGGACAGTGTGCATTCCCCCAAGTTTCTGTAGCCAGCAATGCTACAGAAAGTAATACAATAAGTATTACTTTAATGAGTCGTTGGGCAAAAGACAAAACTCTCATAACCTACCTTTGGTGAATATAGTAAATCAAACCCTGAAAGTCTAATTTTAATTTTGCAGTGGTGCTGGGTACATTTATCATCAGATATGATAAATGATGATTTACTATGTTAAACATTTTTCATGGTGTTTGTATATTTTATTCTAATTTGTGACATTTATTTTTTTATGATGATGATCCAGTATGACAATAATAGACAAAATTTTCTTAAGTTGTTCTTTGTGTCAGAAATTTATGCTGGGGGAAAAAAGACATGAATTTGGAAGAAGGTATAGGGGATTAGGGATAGATCTGGAAGAAGTGGATGGTGACTTTGATTATAATGTATCAAATTCATATAAAATGCTCAAAGAATTAATAAAACATATTAAACCTTAAATTTAAAAAGAAATTGTAACAGAAACTTATTCTTACTCCCTTTTTGTTATAAATAGCTTCAAAAATAAGTATACCAATTTCATTATACCCATATGTACATTGATTCAAAAATATATAAGATATTCATAAAATAATTATAGGTAGATGCACTTGCATTCCTGATCAGAAATCAGAAATGCTCCAAAGGCCATGATTTAGAAATGATATTCCTGTCTCATGTATGAGGAATCGCAGTTAAGTAACTTATCAGTAGTCAAAAAAGATGCTGTGCCTGTAGGAGAAATCAGCTCCAGGTCTTGACCCAGAGCCTGTGTTTATATAAGATGTACTGTAAAAGTACCCCAGCAGTTTATGTACTGCAACCCGGGGAAAGTGTAGACCACTTTCATGTTTTTACTTAGCTGACCCTTTCCACTATTGAACCTCATCCCTAATCTTAATAATGTTCTTTAAATACTGTCGAAAGCTACCTAGAGGGAACAGTCAGTGAAATTAGTCATTACAGTAAAACATTGATCCTCTACGAGGGAGGGGCACACACCCCTCCACCCTGTCTGTCCCCTCCTGTCCTCCTTGTATGGCAAATGTTGGGAGGCACTGTGCTTTGTTGTGCAGTGGAGACAGAAGTGTGGGTATAATCCAGAAGTGGGAATACTGCTCATCATCCTGCAGTCTCCAGAGAAGGTCCTGCAGAAAAAGCTCATCCAGCCCCAACGAGAAACCCTACATCTAAAGGCTGCATGCTGTTACCATCATTATGCGTTTGAAACTTTATTTCCCATTTTAGCTTTTGTTTATTATTGTGTGGTGTGTGTATGCATGTGGTATATGAATGTGTGTAGGAGTTCCCACACCAGTGTGTATGCATGTTGAGGACAGAGCTAGGCATATCTGTCTTTCTCTGTTGTTCTCCACCCCATTGAAGAAGTTATCATGAGAGAACTTCTGGTTTGCAGAACCAGAACAGGGACGGCTTCTCTGGAGTGACCTCACATTTTATATTCAGCTCTGCATACTCAAGGGCAAGAGGAGCTTCCTGACATTACCTTTGTATTTGTAACAGTCAGTAAATAACAAAAGAAAGAAGAGTTATCTTCTGGAACTTCTCCCTTACCTTTAAGGAAGGACTGAATGTACATTTTAGCCTTGTTTCTACCTCATTTTTTTTTTCTATTTTAAAAGTGATCTGTTCATTATAGCAAATTTAAAAAATGCAAAAAAAATATATAAAGGTAAAATTTTCAGGAAATTAACCAGCTTCCAGGGCTGTATTTATTTAGAAAGCTGTATTATCTGTTTCCTAAAGGTTCATTATTACAACATCCCTTCAGTACACATGCAGTGTGTAATGTTCCATGTGTCCATTGCGTATCTGGGTGTTGCTTGTTAGTGTAATAGATAGGAGGGTAAATGTGTTTGCTCCCTTTTAAAAGGTGACATCTCTTGTTTGTATTGTTGCTTTTGTTTTTTAGTTTGTCAAATTCGCAAACATTGAAGAAGATACACCATCCTATCACAGACGTTATGACTTCTTTGTATCTCGATTCAGTGCCATGTGTCATTCCTGTCACAGTGACCCAGAAATACGAACTGAGTATGTACCGTTTTACTGCATGACTTATTTACGTGGTTTCTAGTGGAATTTCTTGGGTATTGTGTTTCTTCCATACTGGATATGACCAGCAAAGGGTGTGAGACATTCTGACACAACCGTTTCCCTTTGTTGTGAAAACACAGAGCATCCAATTCAATGTGAAAGTGGTTGCCATCCGAAACCCTTACTTTTGCCCAGAGTGTCCCACCGTCCTTCCTGTCCCCGTCTCTGCCACCCTGTCATTTTCTCTAGCTTTTTTTCTAGCTCAGCCTCATGGATCTCCTTGCTGTCTCTTGAACACTCTAGGCATGCTACTCTTAAGGGCATTTGAAAAGATGGGATTTCAGTCTAGGACAGGTCCCAGGGCTCCTGACTCACCTCAGGGTTTCCAGGGTTTTCCTCACTTTACTCGAGGTTCTTCCCATCCTACCTCCTAGTTATTCCGCATCTCTTCATTTTCATCCTGAGTTTCTGTTTTTCTGATACAGAGCCTCCATGTAATCCTGGCCATTCTGGAACTTGCTGTGTAAACCAAGCTAGCCACAAACTTGCAGAGATCCCGGTCTCTGCCTGCTGAGTGCTGGGACTAAGGTGTGCCCCACCGCACCTCGGCTCCCACCCCTTTCTTATTAGAGGGCAGTGCAGGAGGGCACGGGTGTCGCTGAGCACTTGACTAGTGTCCTGCTAATTGCAGAGTCTCAATATGTACTTGTACTTTTCGAATGAGTATTACTGAATCTTTGTCACTCTGAGGTTGTCCAGACAGCTGAGCCACACATTTTAAAACATTTTTTTATAGTTTCAATTTGTAAAAACCTGGACTGTGATCTGAAATAATTTTCTACATAGAAACAAAAGGCTTTTCATTAAAAGTTAAAGCCAAAACTATGTTGATAAATGATAGCAGTTTGGACATTACTGGCGACCTCACTCAGAGTTATTATGGGAAGTTGGTAATAGAGTCTCTATATTTTCTCTGAAGCAGGCATGTATAGAGCTGTGACCTGGAGTTTGCAGGCCCCCAGCTGGTGCATACAGCTAAAGCAAGTGTGGGAGTTGTCTGTCCTTGAAGAAAGGAGGCTGAGGAGAGATGTGGTTTGCTCATGTCTGTAATTCTTCCTCAGTATAACCAGGACATTTGGAGTCTTGCTGGTTATTACAGTGTGATGGATGCTTAGACAGAAGATTACTGTAATTGCCACATGCCTTCCTGGCTGTCTTATCGCTACTAACATTTTATTTTATTTCCTAGGAGACATTTTATAATGAGAGATTTTGAGTATTTTTAATGATAACATAAGAAAATGTGTTTGAGTAATTCAGATATTAGATTATCTTGTTTTTTAGGTATTTATTGCCCCCTAGTGGAAAACCTTGTCTTTCTTCAAATTTTCTATCTTTATTATCAATATAAAAAATATGTACAGAAGAGTATTATTAAATTAATTTTAAAACTTTATATATGTGTACTGTACTTAAATAATCCCCCTTCCTCTCCTCCCTCCAACCCTCTCTATCCTCTCTAAAATGTATTGCCTCTCTTTTTCTTTATCTTTCTTTTTGGTTTTTCGAGACAAGGTTTCTCTGTGTACATTTGTAGCCTGCCTTGCTCTGTAGACCAGGCAGATCTTGTACTCACAGATCACAGAGATCCTCCTGCCTCTGCCTCCCAAGTGCTGGCATTAAAGGTGTGCACCAGCAAGGCCTCTTTTTCTTTAATTATGATTGTGTGTGTGCGTGTGTATGTGTACCTGTATAAATACTACCCACTGAGTCCACTGAATGTTGCTCATCTTCCTTTCTCAGCCTTCCGTGAATGACTAGCTCTATCTAAGGGTGGGGCCCTGTGCTGTTTACCTCATTCACACTGACATTAACTGGTGCTGTGATTGCTCGGGTCTTCTGTAAGCAGCCATATTGGGATTTCGTAGGTACAGCATCCCAAATCCTCCACCTCGTACCATCTTTGTACCCGTCTTCTGTGATGTTCCTTAAGCCCTGGTTGTTGGGCTTTTGTCCCGGATGTATTGACAATTTTCATATGCAGACCAAAGTATTTGCATTGCTTTTTCCTACTTCTGGATCTTTCGTGTGTGTGTGTGTGTGTGTGTGTGTGTGTGTGTGTGTGTGTGTGTGTGTGTGTGAGTGCGCGCGCGCATGTGCTATCTGAAGTTCCAAATTGTCAACTTTTCGTTTGAATCACTGTGAAACAAATGATTAAATTAACATGCTTGCAGGTAGTAAAAGTTGTACATTTTTTCCCACTGTCACTTGAATAAACATCTATTTAGTTTTCTTCGTCTTATTTCCTTTCAAGTTCCAACTTAGATTCTTATTTTTTATCCATATTTATATTTTAGTAAAACCCAAACATACAAAATTTTCAGACTTTGGCAGGAGGAGATGAGTCTTGAGCTATTATCTTTTCCCCCTCCTTAGCCACCCAACTTTAATTTCTTTCTAAAAAGAAGAAGAAACCCAACAAATACAACAAAACCCCCCTAAAACCAAGAAAACAAAATAAAACAGAACTAAAACAAACAAACAAAAAACAAAAACTGCCAGACTGTAACCAAATCCAAAATGAACAAATGGATAGATGGTTAACCTTTACCCTAGTGGCTAACTTCTTATTCATCCATTCTTCCATCCATCTATCCATTTATTCTTTTTCTTTTTTAATCTAGCAAAATCAGATATAAAGTAAAACAAAAACTGTCATATTGATGTTGGACAAGACAAATCAACAGAAGGAAAGAGTCCCAAGAGAAGGGACAAGAATCAGAAACAGCACTTATTCACACACTTAGGGATCCCATAAACAATGGGAATTATAGTGTACAGGCACAGGACCTGGTGCAGGCCTGCGTAGGCCCTGTGCTTGCAGCTTCAATCTAAGTCCGCATGAGCTTTGCTCAGTGATTTAGAGGGACTTGTCGTCTTGGCATCCTCCATCCCCTCTGGCTCTTACCCTCTCTCCACCTCCTCTGAGAGGTTCCCTGAGCTTTGGGGGGAGAGATTTGTTTAAGACATCCCATTTAGGGCTTTGTGTTCCAAGGTCATTCACTCTTGACATAATGCCTGCCCGCGCGTCTCCATGTTTGTTCCCATCTGCTGCAGTACGAAGCTTCTCTGATGATGGCTGAACAAGGCTCGATCCATGAGTGTGGCTGAGTACCACTAGTTGTCATTTTATCCTATTTGTTTTCTTCTTTTAGAGCAGCATTACTTGGTTTTACCCTAGGTGCATAAGCTATGCAGTCTCAGGTTCTTGTTCACCCAAGCAGTTCCACTCAAGGATGGGCTGTCAGGCAAGTTCTTACTGGTTGGTTACTCCCACAAGCTTTGTGCACCATTGTCCTGCATATCTTGCAAGTAGTATACCATTCTGCACAAAGGGTTGCTGGCTGTACTAAGCTTTCCTTGAAGTATTTCTTTACAGAAATGGTTGCCACTTGTAAATTTATATGTCTTAATCTAATACAGTTTCCCCAGCGACGTTGAGCTCTCTAATGGACACCCTTATCACATCATCATATCGATGGACATACCAACAGCTTGTGCATGTTGGGTGTTTACTGTGAAGCAGCTCTTGTTCAGACATGTCATATGAGTTATCTCTCAACTGTTCACAGCACTCTTATACTCACATGGTAAAGATATTCAGATTTACTCATGGGGAAAGTAAACTCTTTTGGAGACCAAGACTACAATGTACCTACCACTGGGGACAGGTGAGGGCAGGGTTAGGTCTGGATTAGATGCTAGCTGTGTAGCTCAAGTGGCTGTTGGTGGTCTCCAGCCTGCACCCTGTGCCCTACACGCCATGAGCTGCTCCACTTGTGCTACCAACCAACCCCTCCCCCTCCCTTCCCTCCCTCCCCCCTCAGTAGACCAGGCTGGCCTTGAGGCCTTGATCTCACAGAGATCCTCCTGCCTCTGCCTCCTGAGTGCTGGGATTAAAGGCGTGCGCCACCACTGCCCAGCTCACTTCTCTTTTTTGAACCTATAGTTTTCTTTTTCCCCCAGGAGAGTGAGGAAGGCGGTGAGGAAATTGGGCTGTATGAGTTGTGGTGGGTGCTTAGGGCACCGCTGATAAGTCAGAGTCTTGTGTGCATGTCTGCAGACCTAACTTTTGAATGAAGGAGCAGTGGCAGAGCGCGCAGCCTCACAGTGCAGTGAGCTCCTCACAGTAGCTCACTGCCATCCTGTTAGAAGAGCTACGCTTCTGATTGCTTTTTGTTAGCAGTTAAGATGTGTAGTAGGTATTTCTGTAGTTTTCAGCGTTTTAAACTTAACTGACTTATAGAGATGGTGTTTAAAACCTCATGAATATATCTTTCAGTGTCCACCTTAGATTTTTGAGATTTTAGTTTCTTGTACATATTTCATGTTACTTTAAAACATTTTATGTTTGAGAGATCAATATTGACATATATTCTGTTAAATAGACAAACTGACTTTGTTTAAATATCTGTTTTCTCCCCCATCCTTATAGGATTCGTATTGCTGGAATAAGAGGAATTCAAGGTGTGGTTCGCAAAACAGTTAATGATGAACTTCGGGCTACCATTTGGGAGCCACAGCATATGGATAAGATTGTTCCCTCCCTTCTGTTTAACATGCAGAAGATAGAAGAAGTTGACAGGTATTGTTTACAGATACTAAGGTTGGGGATGGAGAGATGGCTCAGCAGTTAAGAGAGCATACTGTTCTTGTAAAGGACCTGAGTTGTGTTCTAAGCACCCACTTTGGGCAACTTACAGTTGCCTGTAACTGTAGCTACCGGGGAGATGCTTTGCTGGTATCTGCATTCATGTACAAGGACCCATACACACACTGACATTTTCATGTATTAAAAATCTTTTCAGAAAGATACTAAAGACTGTTGGATTGTGTGTATGCTTTCCTATAGGGAGCTACAACTAACCAAAATAAAAATAACACTGACTGCTATTCATTTTATTTTCTTTTTTATTGAAAACAATTTGTATACAGTATATTCTGATCACAATTTGTCTGCCCTCCCTTAATCCTCCCAGATCCTTCTCACTTCCCCACTCATGAGCCCATGTGAGAAACACATGTACACACAGAGAGACACTAACGTATACATACACAAAGCCCATAAAAACAACATCAGAAACCATAATGTATAAGCAAAGGCCAGTAAGGTAAAAAAATGCCCAAACATCTGGATGGTGGTGGTGGCACACAACTTTAATCCCAGTACTTAGGAGACAGAGGCAGTTAACTCTTTGTGAGTTTGAGACCATCCTGGTCTGCAGAGTGAGTTCCAGGACAGCCAGGGATACACAGAAAAACCCTGTCTTGAAAAATAAAACAAAAAGAACCAGACAGACATTATGAAACCAAAACAAAAAAAAAAAAAAAAAAAAAAAAAATTCTTCAAAAGTACCATTGAGTTTCTCTTGGGTTGGTCTTGTAGTGCTGGGCATGGGCCCTGTCCTTAAATGTGGTTTTTATACCCAGGGAGACTCCATTGGAGAAAAGTTTGTGAGCTGCTGACGCTCGGAGAGGTAGCTTCTGGGTTAGAGGCGGGGGCTTAAGCCCACTTCCCCCGTTCACCTGCCACTGCATCCAGCTTGATCTGCCTGTTGCCAAGGCCTCTGAGTGCATGTGTCAGCCCTGTGGTGTCCTCTCTGTCGCCGTGTGCACTGTCTCCTCTTCACGGCTCCCCGGCCCCGAGGAAGGGGTTTGATGAGGACATGCATGCAGGACTGAGTGTCCAAAGGTCTGTCACTCTCAGCACACTGTCCCGTCGTGGGTCTCTATATGACCCCATCAGCTTCATGAGGGAGCTTGTCCTCCAGTGGCAAAGCCAAGCACTGATACTGTTGGTTTTTGTTAATAGCTCTAGGGTACTTGGGATGAAGTACTGGCTCTGGGTAAATTCTGGTTTAGTTTTGACCCCCACAATGTCAAGTGCACTTGACATTCTGAATGTTATCTGGCTTTTCTATGTGCAGGAAGCACTATCCTCCAATTTGTGTTAGTAATTCAGGGTGAATGTTACTCAGCAGCTAATGCAGAATTATCCAGTTTGGGTTAGTTCACCTTGGTTCTTACACTTAGAGAAGTGTGGAATAGATTTTAAAAGTATTTTACTTTACAGTTACAAATAATAAAACTTGCTTATGACTAACTATCATGGCTTTATGCACAGCATCAAAACTGATTTGGAAATGAGGTGCAGTTACTAATTTTCTGCTAACACAGATGGAATAATGTGTATTCCAGTTGGTGCCAAGTGCAGGAAGGATTGATGCACAGGTCCCGGATGTGATATCTCTAGCTTTGTAATCCTCCCTAGAAGTGTGAAATGATATATTTTAGAACCTCCTATATTCTCTCTATTTTTAGTGCTGTAGCTAAGGCTTAAGATTTTCCTATGTGAAATATGAGGCTCTCTACCTAGTTGGGGACCTATTTTCCAATGAGACGCAGTGTTATCCCAAGTAAGATACTGGAAACCAGTTGATAACCACTTCAAATAGTTTCCTCCTAGGGAGTCTCATTGAGGAAACAAGCCCCTATTAAAAGTAGGCACCATTGCCCAGCAGTAGACAGGCAGCAGGCAATGAGCTCAATGGCATCTTTGGAGGTTCCTACCCCATCATGTATGTCAAGGCCCTTCCTTTTTCTTATTAATTGTCCTTACTTTTGTTTTATATGGTGAGTGTGTGTGTGTGTGTCTGTGTGTGTGAGTGTGTGTCTGTGAATGTGTGGTGTGTGTGAGTGTGTGTCTGTGTGAGTGTGTGCGTGTGTGTCTGTGTGTGTGTGTGTGTCTGTCTGTGTGTGTGTGTGTGTCTGTGTGTGTGAGTGTGTGTGTGTGTGTGTGTGTGTCTGTGTGTGTGTGTCTGTGTGTGTGTGTGTGTCTGTGTGAGTGTGTGTGTGTGTGTCTGTGTGAGTGTGTGTGTGTCTGCGTGTGTGTGTCTGTGTGTGTGAGTGTGTGTGTCTGTGTGTGTGTGTCTGTGTGTGTGAGTGTGTGTCTGTGTGAGTGTGTCTGTGTGTGTGAGTGTGTGTGTGTGTGTCTGTGTGAGTGTGTGTGTGTGTGTCTGTGTGAGTGTGTGTGTGTCTGCGTGTGTGTGTCTGTGTGTGTGTGAGTGTGTGTGTCTGTGTGTGTGTGTGTGTCTGTGTGTGTGAGTGTGTGTCTGTGTGAGTGTGTCTGTGTGTGTGAGTGTGTGTATGTCTGTGTGAGTGTGTGTGTCTGTGTGTGTGTGAGTGTGTGTGTCTGTGTGTGTGTGAGTGTGTGTGTCTGTGTGTGTGAGTGTGTGTGTGAGTGTGTGTGTGTGAGTGTGTGTGTCTGTGTGTCTGTGAGTGTCTGTGTGTGAGTGTGTCTGTCTTTTCTGTTTTACCCTACAGGTCCTTTGCATATGTATTATGGCTCCTGTGTTTTTGTAGAATTTCTTAGTGTGCAAACAAGTGGCTCTCTGTTTCTTGTGCGTTCTCTTGGGCTCTTTTCCTTCTGTTTGTTTTGTCCAATTCCAGTATTATCTGTTTTTGTTTTATCTTATTATATTTTGATTACAGAAAGGGGGATCCAGGTGGAGGGGAGGCAAGGAGGAGCTGGAAGGAGTTCAGGGAAGGGAAACTATATTCAGGGTATAGCATATGAGAAAATAAACCCATTTTCAATAAGAGGGAAGGAAATATTGGAAATAGAGACTATGGATGCCAAATCATGAATTGTATTTTTCTCATATAACCCCATTGCTGCAGGTGTGTGTGTGTGTGTGTGTGTGTGTGTGTGTGTGTGTGTGTGTATTTTTTTTTTCTGAAAATGCCTAGATGGGGCTATTCTAATTGGTTTAAGTTTTTTTGGTTTTTTGTTTGTTTGTTTTTTTTTGTTTTTGTTTTCTCTATTTTAACATGTGGATTATGGCTTTTCTGTTCTTTTCATTTGTGCGGAGTTATAGTTAAATAAGGTGTTTGGCTAGAGGTGTTTTCTCTGGACCTGTGCTCACTAGGGTATGTATGGCTATGAATGTTGATACACTATATGGAAGTGAGCTGTGGAACTTGGTGTGACTTCGTTTTTTGAGATAGGGTTTCACTTACTGTGTAGCTCTGGCTGTCCTGACACTCACTGTGTAGACCAAGTTGGACTTGAACTCACAGAGATCCCCCTGCTTCTGTCTGTGTGCTGGGATTAAAGGTGGACACCACCACACCCAGGCTCAGAGTGTTCTGTTGGCATAAAGGACATTCTTTCTGCTGGAAGCAAGTTAGCAGCTGAATTTAGAGCACTCCGTTTGGAAGATGACATACTTAGCCCTTGTGTCACTACGCCCATAAACATTAGAATTAAGCCTTAATGTTGCTTGGGAATAAAGCAAATGTCTTTCTAACAATGCTGAGAAGTAAAGTGTATTCTGTTTCTCCTTTAGCACTAAAATTAGAGTTGTGGTACTGGACTTTGATTTCTCTTTCAGTCGCCTGGGCCCGCCTTCCTCCCCTTCTGCAGCTGACAGAGAGGAGAACCCTGCAGTGCTGGCCGAGAGCTGTTTCAGAGAGCTGCTGGGCCGAGCAACTTTTGGGAACATGAATAATGCTGTTAGGCCAGTTTTTGCGTGAGTACTTGGGTTTTCCTAGTTATCTGTGACTTTGCTATATATTGTATAATTTTCTTATGGAGGATAAATACTTTCTAATTAAGTTTTTTTACTTTCTGTACAAAATAATGGCTTTCACTACTTTTGTACTTGTACAAGTAACATTGTAAAGGTAGCACTAGGCATTATATTTTTATTTTTCCCTGTAAGTATGAAGTATAGTATTAAACGTAATACCGTGTACACATGCAGTGAGAAACTGGACAGTGTCACCCTGTGTAACACATTGTTTCTCTCCCTCCCTTTCTTTCTTTTTCTTTTTCCCAGTTCTGGGAATTGAATGTAACACTCTTCCAGGAGCTATATTTCTATCTATCTATCTAGCTAGCTAGCTAATCTATCTATCTATTTTTAACCTTGGCCAGGAGCTTGAGATTCTGTTCACTTTTCTGAATGAATCTCATTAGACTCAGAGTCTAATCAAGATAAGAATATTGAAGACCCCAGCATGGTCCTTACATGCTGTCTTCCAGGCTTTTATGAGCAGTAAGTTCCTGAATAATGAGTATCTTGCAGGCAGGGCTTTTAGGTCTTGTGCTCCTAAGGCCATCATCAGATGATAGTTCAGTCTGCTGCAGTATCCTACATAATTGCTGGGTATTATTTATTGATATTTCCTTTGTTAAAGTTCACCACCATCATCTTTTCATACTCCGTACATAATAATGAACTTAGCACGTGCAGAGTATTTTGCCTGTAACATCCATAATTCTTTTCTTAGGGCAGGTGTTTTATTTCAGGTTTCGAAGTTAACCTTTAAATACAAGAATCATTAAAGTTACAAAACTATATTAAAAGTCAAGTGTATCACCAGCTCTTCAAAACAACTTGTGGTCCTCTCTCTCACAGAGGCCTTATGAAATGCTACTAAGAAGTAACCAAATTATGTTAAATACATTCAAGGCAAATTGCTTCTATTAATTTTAAATATTTAGGCTTAATAGAATTTGAGCTAGCTAGCCTTGTAAGGCAGACTTTACCACATTAACCATACTTGAGTTGAACAATTTAAATTAGGCTTGTGTTCTCCCCACCTTTAAATTAAAAACTCTTTGATGTAACAAATATATATAGAGAGAGAAAAGGAACAAAAAACTGCCACAAGAATCAAAACAAACAAAAGATAAGTAATTAAAAAAAAGTGCTCAAATAAAGCAAAATGAAGCTAAAAGTCTACAAAAATACCACTGTTTATTTTGTGCAGCCAACTGTTCCTTGCATGAGTTCTGTCCTCAAGTGTGGTTTGATATGCCCAGTGAAAAGACTCCACTGGTGAGAACTACTAAGAGCTTCTTGGTTAAGTAGAGGACTCTGTATCCACATCCCCCTCCCAATGCTGGAACCCTGTCTGGCTTGAATATTTACAGGTCTGCTTCATGCTGGTGTCTCTGAGTTCATGTGGGCATTAACCCTGTTATATCTGGAAGACAAGGTTTCCTTGAATTCTATCACTTGTAGCTCAACAGCCTTTCTGGCTCTCCTTCTTCATAGATCTCTGAGCCTTGTGGACACAAGGCTGGATTTCTTAATGGCCTTTGTGCCTCCTCTTCTGCATAGATTCCCCAAGCCTTGAGTAGAGTAGTTTGATGAAGGTATCTCATTTAGGACTGGAGGCTCTAAAATCTATCATTTTCTGCACATTTTCCAGTTTGTGTCTCTGTGTTCATTCCCATGTACTGTAACATGAAGTTTCTCTGATGTGGACTGAGTGAGGCACTGATGTATAAGTTTAGCAACATGTCATAGTCATTTTACTGCTTTATTCCTTTATCAGAATTATAGTAGTAGGTTTTTTCCCCCCTAGGCACATGAACTACCTAATTTCAGGTTCTTGGCTACCTTAGCAGTGTCAGGTATGGATTCCATCTCATAGAAATGGGCCTGAAAGCCCATCAACAAGTTTTTGGTTTCTTCCGTACTGTTTATGCTTCTTTGCACTACTATGTTTTGCAAGTAGATCTTTATTGTATGTCTCAGGGTTTTCAGCCGGGTAATAATAATGATTATCTTGTACCTTGAATGCTAGTCAATAGGGACGAAGCTTCTAGCTAGACACCATGTTGATGTCTCCGTGTTCGACAACCTAAGAAAATGTTGCCTTCGTCAATAGGGCTTTGTGCTCTGTAGTAGCTATTTAATTAATTAACAGGATGCTATCTACATGTAAGGTACTGTATAATTGGAGAATATATAAAGAATTACACCAGATAGATGAGGGATATACACACTAATTAACCTAATTACAGATAATGAGAAAAGGCCAAAAAGTTATCTGTCATTTAAAAACAGGAAATTCATAGCTAACTTGAATTTTAAAAAAAGTATTTCTTAAGCTAGATGTGGAAAAATATTTTTAAAAAAAACTGCTTTGGCGATATTATCTGTAGCGTGTGTTTTATTTCATCATTGACGTGGGCTTTTTATTTCAATTGTTACTTGATCTATAAAGAAAATAAAAGATTCGCTGAGACTCTTGAATTCTTTCAGCAGTGGTGTGCTGGGTGAGTGAAAGACTGGTGTGAATGAGAAGAGGAAGACTAGGTTGCACCGGAGACATCCAAACATTTTATCTCTAGGTCTTTAGGTAATGATTGGCAGTCTTAGCTAAAAGGTGTAAAATGTCAAGAATTGCCATTTGAGCATGTTAATGGATTATAGCAATAAAGTCCTATCTATACTAGACAGTTTCAGGCCTGAGCCATGAACACCGTGGCATTGTGAAAATGGACACTTAGTCTGCTGTGTAAGTCACCCTTTGTTTTGGATTGTTTAGGTTGACTTGTCCTGGAACCTCTGAATGCCTTTTGTGGAGTTTGGACAGGGGGTTTTTCTTTCTTACTGCTTCATTTATTCTAGTATTGTTAGTACTGTAAGGCCAAGCTTAACAGTTAGAAATGTGTGCCGTAGTTGTGGAGGTGGGACACTGGGTTTTCTTTTAGGTAATTGTCTGATTTTTATATTGTTGAAGGTTTTAAAAGAAGATGTGATTAAGAACCAAGCATTCCTAATTTCTAATTGTTATTTACAGGCATTTAGATCATCACAAGCTGTGGGATCCTAATGAATTTGCAGTTCATTGCTTTAAGATTATAATGTATTCTATTCAGGTAAAGTATAATGAACTGTTTGTTTATTAAATAGGCAATAATTATCCTGTGTAATGTATATATCACCAAACGTGGGAAAGTTGCATGCGAAGGGTGGTTTTTGTTTTGTTTTGTTGGTTTTCTGAGACAGGATACCACTCTGTAGCTCTGACTATCCTAGAACTCACTATGTAGGTCCGGATGGCCTCACACTCAAGAGATCAGCCTATCTCTGCCTCCCAAGTGCTGGGATTTAAGGCGTGTACCACCATAGCTGGCACATGGCATGATCTTATTTGTATTTTTTCCCATTTACTGCCTGTTTTCTTACTTACTAAGATGAAATATATCTAATAAGAGAACTAGATAATTTTATTGTGTCACTTTTAGTACAGCTATTTAACTCATATATTGTGTGCTGCTTTTATACAGGTGAACTGGTATTGGTTTTTATTTGTTATAACTTCTATTCTTTATAGAATCTTGTGAGTGCTGTCTTCTACAAAGGACTGCCTTTGGGGTTTCCCCCCTCAAAATTTGAAAAGATTTGATTAGCTCTTAATTCAAATGTGATGTCCTGTCTTTAGTTTTAGTTATTTCACTATGCATTCTTTTAATATATTATGCTAATTTTAGCTAGTCATTTGTAACTAGGATGCACATAAGTCCTAGTTTGCCTAGGATAGCCTTAATGTATGTAGTTGCTAAGACTATCATCACCCTCAATTACAGAAGTGTCCTGGTCAGACAGTAAATTTGATACTTTTAAACAAAGCAGAATTAGCTATGTAAGCTTCATGAGGAACATGCATACTACAAGGCAAGATGTTCAGTTTTAGATTGCTGTTGGCAATAGTAGTAGTAGTGTGTGTGTGTGTTTATATATGTGTGTGTTTGTTTGTATATGTGTGTGTGTGTGTGTGTGTTGAACATGGGCACATGGGTGTCATGGTATGCACGTAGATGTCAGAGAACAACTCTCAAGAATAAGTTCTCATCTTCGATTCATTGAAACAGGACAGCTGTCTGTCTGTCTCCTCTTTTCTCCCTCCCTGTTTTTTAGAATTATTTTTACTTTCTGCATATGTATATTTTACCTGAATGTATATATTTGTACCTCATGTGTGTCAATTGTCCACAGAGTACAGAGGTGGGCATTAGATCCATTACAAACAGTTGTGAGCTGCCATGTGGGTTCTGGGAGCCAAACTCTGGGTCCTCCAGAAGAGCAGCTGGTGCTCTTACTCCCTGAGCCATATCTTAAGTCACCCCTGGCCGTCACCACACCAGATTAAATGGAGTATTTGTTAATTTGCTTTCTTTACTGAGGATGTCATAGTTTCCAACATTGATGTTTATTCTTTAAAGGAATGGTTTTTTGGCAGTTATGTATTTGAAATACCAGTCATTTATAATGGGTACCACGTACCTTTTCATTGTTATATGCCATGTGCGTTACTTGCTTACACATCTTTATGCTATTGCCTTCCTTTAGGCTCAGTATTCTCACCATGTGATCCAGGAGATTCTTGGACACCTTGATGCTAGGAAAAAGGATTCCCCACGGGTTCGAGCAGGTATCATTCAGGTTCTGTTAGAGGCTGTTGCTATTGCTGCTAAAGGTTCCATAGGTGAGTACCAACAAAAACACTGAAAGAACACATCAGAAATACAAAGTGCTTCCCCGTAGTTGTCTGTGAAGTACCCTAAGATCTTCCCATGCATCTTCAAACGTTCTAGAACCTGAGTGCATGTGGTCAGGTCGTCGTCTTCTTCTTCCTCTTTTTCTTCCTCTTCTTCCTCGTCCTCCTCTTCCTCTTCCTCTTCTTCCTTACCTCTTTTATTTCTTTTCTCTTGTACTTCTTTTAAAAAGGGTTTAAGGATATAATTTGTGTACTGAACATTTGGTGAATACAGATTTTAAAAGGGAACAGTTGAACTGTTTTTTTCCTTTCTTTTTAAATGTCACTTAGTGTTCAGCTCAGGACTGTGCACATCCTAGAATAGTGTTCCACTACTGAGTCACATCCCAGCTGTTTTTATAGTTATTGAGGTGACATCTTAGTAAACCTTCCAGGGTGACCTTGAACTCACTGTGTTGCCCATGCAGGGCTTCAAGTTGAAACCCCCTTGCCTCAGGCTCCCAGTAGCTGGGCTTTCAGACTCAAATTTCCTAATTCAATGTTCCCACATCTGGGATTCTTCAGAGTTGCAATACTCTTAGTGCTGACAAGATGCTTGAAAATGGACTCCCTTGTTTCCGTGCAGAAATTCTAAAAAGCTTGTGCCGCCTTTGTGTATAAGAAGTAGGAAACACTGATGAATTTGGTGTTTGTATTCGGATGCTGCCCCTAACTGTGTATGCATATGTAGCTGTTACTAACACACACAGAAATACCAAACATTCATGAACCCAGCCTTTTGATGAAGGGCTTCTTCCACATTTAAGTCTGCCCAATTCTGCATTATAAGGAGACTTGGACCACTTATAGCCTGAGGAGACCAGGGATCAGAAAACTGCAGGAATGTGGATTAGCAAAAGCAGAGTATGAAGTGGCCCCTTTTGCTAGAATGTGCTGTGTGGTGGTGGTGGGAACGAAGGAAGTATCTTAAAGATACAGTGCAAGCAGGTTATTCTGCAGTCCATGAGAGCGTCAAAGACTGACTAGAGGTCTCCTGCCAGCTGTGGGCCTGGGGAGGAGGACGTGCTGTGGGTGTCTGAAGAGTAAGGGAAGAACTCCATGTTGGGCAGCATGCCTGCCGAGCTGGCAGATTGTAGGGAAACAAAGGGAAGAGGACAAGTCAAAGAACTTGCTGTTTCATGCAGTGTGATTGGGAAATGAGTGGGTATGGTAGAGATACAGGGGCCAGAGGGAGGATCTGGCTATGCTTGTGTTCAAAATTGAAGTCTTAGCTAATGAGATATTCTAATTTTCGTTCGGTGCTGAATAAGGGTGAACATTTTAGGATATGGACCTTTCTTTATTTGTCTCGTAGTTTATCTTTAGAAGATGCAGACAACCAAGTTTAGTGGTGTGCACCTTTAATTCCAGCACTTGGGAGACAGACGAGGTTGATCTCTGTGAGGTCAAGGCCAGGCTGGTCTACAGAGAGTTCCAGGCTACACAGTGAAACACTGTCTCAAAGTAAAAAAGACAGGAAGAAGGGAGATATTGATTGGCAGTGTGGATTAAAATAGGAAATGAAACTCGAGTGATCTGTTGAGTCATCACATTTCCTGGTGTCTGCTGTGTGTTAGCTGTGCTGTGCTAAGCTCTCTGTATTGACAGGGGTGGACATTAACCACATACACTCCTTCCTGGACAAGTTTGTAATTGTATGTGGACAACAGCCATAGAACATATATAATATGTAATGTGACTGAGGGAAAAAGCAAAGAAAAATAAGTTCACCAGAACCTAACAGACTGAAAAGTTTATCAAAATTGGAAATTCTTCCGTTTTTAATCTGGGAAGATACAAAATGATTTTTCTGTTATAGTGAACTGTATAAGTTTATGGATTCAGCCATCAGTCGTGTTAAATATTATCTCAGTAAACATTATTTTGGATAGACAAAATTAAGTAGTGAATGAAAGAAAAGAAGCAAAAAGGGAAGAAAAGGAAGTGACTGCTCCTAGGTATAAGTAGAGGGTTCCCCCTGCCCTCCAGTCCCAGAATAAACACTCAGAGGCTGATTATTAATTAGAAGTGTTTGGCCAGTGGCTCAGGCACATCACTGACTAGCTCTCCTGATTAAAGTGGCCCATTTAGTTTATATTTTACCATGATTCCTGTGGCTTATTACCTCACATCTTGCTTTTTTCAGTGGCTACATGTCCTGACTCCGCCTTCTTTTTCTCCCTGTATTTTTTTGATTTCCTACCTGGCTCTATTCTGCCTGGCCATTAGCCAAAATAGCTTTGTTTATCAACCAATAAAAGCAGCGCATATTTGCAATAGCTTAAGGAGGACATCCCACATCACTTAAGTATGGTAGAGGAGAAAGTTCATTATGGCTGTGTGGGAGAGCTTATCCAGAGGCAGGGGCAGGGACATCTGAGAGAATCCCGAGTGGACATGACCAGGCTGGGCAGTATCATGTGGGAAAGGAGGGGGTGAAGAGAGAGGAGAGTGGACCCCATGTAGCATGTTGGGTAACCAACATGTCTGGACATACAGGGATGAGCCTCTGGGGGAAGGGCAGCCCAGCCCCTGGGCAGAGAGTGCAGGGTAGAGCTTGGGGTGTGCCCAGCCATACCCTGTAACAGGAAGGAACTGAGGGATGCTGGGAGAACTTGGTCTACTTTGATATGTTAAATAGGTACCTCAGCCTTTTGTCCTGGGTTTGAGCCTTAACAAGTAGAAAGATTTAGATAGTCTTGTTAGGCAGGTTGTACCAAAGCCAAACAGCAGCTTCCTCATAGACACCAGAATGTGTGTGTAGTGTGACTGTGAGACTTTGTTGTTTGGTTATACAACTTGAAAATGAACTGGAGAGCTCATGAATTACTATGTCCTGTTGGCAGAAAAGAAAGTAACTGTGAAGTCTGTTGTGAAGTGTGAGGGTTGTTCTTGAGGATACAAGCTCACAAAGATGGTCTTTCACAGGGCCAACAGTGCTGGAAGTCTTCAACACCCTGTTGAAACACCTTCGGTTCAGTGTGGAATTGGAAGCCAACGACTCCCAGCGGGGGTCTGTGGGCAGCATCACCTTAAGTTCCAAAGACAACGATGAGAAGATTGTGCAGAATGCTATCATCCAGACCATAGGTTAGTGTGTCATTCTTCACGTCACTGTATGGTGATGTGTAAAGTTTTCTTGAATAACTTTTGGAAATGGCACTAGTCAAAGTAGAGTGATGGCTTTAGACTACACTATTACATCTTTTTAATCAACCTTCTACAGGTCAGTTTTGTTAATTGAACCAATAATGTCTTTTGCAGTATTCTTTTTTGGGGGGTGGGGGAGGGTCCAGAAGTCACTCTAGAATCCTACATTGCATGTAGCTGTAACATCTTTAGTTTTATTTGTCTGGATTTCTCCATTTCTCAAGGATGAAGTCTCCGTCTTTCTTTTGTGTTGTTAGTGTCAGTAGAAACTCCTTATTTGGTTAGTCTGATCTTCCTCATTCTGCATCCGTCTGCTTTAACCCGTCTTTACCGTGATAGCAGAGAGAGATCAGGTTGAAACTCTAGCACACATTCTTTGATTTGGCAGTTGATGCTCGGGCCTTATTAACTATGATACTTGCTTTGTGAATCATTAGTTTTTTTTTTTTTTTTTTAAATCTCATTTCTCTGAGAAGAAACTTAAAACAAGTACCAAGACACAGAAGGTAATTGTGAAGTCCCATTCTTCAGGCGTTGCCTAGAGTAATATACTGATGAGTATTACTCTGTATATGGAGTAACACAAAGGTTGTTAGATGCTGAGTGTATATGGTTTGGGGAAATCAGTATTTCTGATATTTACCAGACAAAATGGGATAATTCCTGATTTAGCAGCATAGGAATTTAGGTTCACAATCTGCAAATAAAAGTCTCCTAAAAACTGTATGCAGAAGCTTACTTAAATATCTATATTATACTCAATGTTGGATAGAGGAAATTATAATTTATTTAGTGTTACAGGTAGCTTAAACAGTCATTGTTTTATTGTCTTGAAAGCGCTGTTTAAAATTACAACACTGATCTAGGCGGTGGTGGCACACACCTTTAATCCCTATAAACAGGGAAATCTCTTTGAATCGGAGGCCTGCAAGTTTCATGACGGTCAAGACTGTTACACAGAGAAACCCTGTCTCAAAAAACAAAAATGCAAAACAAAATAAACAAACAAATGAAAAATACAACTTTATGAACTGAAGAAATGGCTCAGGTTAAAACACTGACTGTTCTTTCAGAGGACCCAGGGTTAATTCCCAGCACCCATATGTAACTCCAGATGCCCTCCTCTGGTCTCCTTGGGTACCAAACATGCAAGTGGTACCCAAACATACATGTAAGCAAAATGCCTATACACAGAAAATAATTTTGAAAATGGTTTTGAGTTATGTGGGGAAAAAAAATTCCACTTTTCAGTTTGTGAAATTTGTCTTCATATATTCATAGGGTTTTTTGGAAGTAACCTACCAGACTATCAGCGATCAGAGATTATGATGTTCATCATGGGAAAAGTGCCTGTGTTTGGAACATCCACTCATGCTTTGGATGTCAGCCAGCTAGGGTATGTTCTCAGGTGTAAATGAGCTCAGTATGGATTATCTGTTTTAACTAAAGTGTTAGTGTTTTAAAACTTCAGTAATAAAAAGGAACAGTGTTGTTGTTGTTGTTATTGGTACTAGATCATTGGGCCATTAATGCTTACATACCTTTTGGATCACTTTTAATTTACAAATTTTTTTTAACTCTTTTATTGTTGAAATGGAAGATTTGTTTGGCCTGTGCATTATGCGTCTGTACATATGTAGGATGAAATTCAAGCTTTCTAAAAGCTTTTAAAGCATTGTTAATGAATCAGGAATATGGACTTGGGGTGGTAATGTTCCCTCTTTATAGATTTGATTTGGAAATATGCTAAAACATTAGCTAATATGCTAAAATGATCTCATTATGCCTTATAAATATATATGAGTGGTGGGTGTTCATTAAAAAGTGCCTTTAAACTTTTAAGGAGTTGGAAATACTGACTTCGGATTGGACCACTGCATATGTATGCATATATAGCATACCATAAGCATCAATCTCTAAAGTTAAATAAGAGCTAAAAAAAAGTCACTGTTGGCTGGAGAAAGTAGGATAGGACTGTAAGTAGGTGAACATGCTCCTGTAACAGGAACTGGGTAAGAGTGGTGGTTATCAATGGCACCAAGAGTCAACTAAAGGCTATTCTATTCTTACGATAATTGCTACAGTTCTGTCTTTTCATGAGGAATAATATGATAATTTGATAACGTGTGTGCAAAGTATGATGGTCAGGCAGATGAAAGTAGCATATCCATCTCATGTAATCTCCCTAACTGTGTGTACGTGGAGGTCAGATGGCGTCCCCGTAACTAACATTGTGTACGTGCAGGTCAGATGGCGTCCCCGTAACTAACATTGTGTACGTGCAGGTCAGATGGCGTCCCCGTAACTAACATTGTGTACGTGCAGGTCAGATGGCGTCCCGTAACTAACATTGTGTACGTGCAGGTCAGATGGCGTCCCCGTAACTAACATTGTGTACGTGCAGGTCAGATGGCGTCCCTGTAACTGTTGTTTCTGCACTTTCTTGGGTCACTTTGTCCTGCACTTGAAGGATTTAATCTTCTTATCATCACATGAATTTATGTTCTTAAAGACCTGATAACTTGCATTTTCTTGTTTAAATTTTTAACATTTATCTATTTTAATATGAAATGTATTTTAGTTTATAAAGCGAGTCATGTAAGAATTTAGCCAGTAAGAATAAAGTTTTTAAATCAGAAAAAGGTATTTTAAATAGATGAAGGTAATATAAACGTAAATTAGTAATGCAATGCCATACTTTTGTGTTCCAGGGATTTGGGAACCAGGAGGATTCAGATAATGCTGCTGCGGTCTTTGCTTATGGTAAGCAGTTTAATGAAGTGAGGAGACATCCCTTAACTTAGTGAAGAGTGGTGTCACCGCCAGCTGTCACCTGAATCTCTCCCTTTATCCTCTCACTCTTCAGTGCTTGTCTGGCCTGCCATTTTGGCTGATCTTCATTGTGACCAAGCTTACAGAAGGCAGAACCAACTTGCATTTGTAGGTAGAGACACCGACACTCGAGGAGTTAGGCGGACAGAGCTGAAGAGGTCCAGGGTCGCTGAGCTAGACACTGGACCTCAGATGGGAAAATCCATAGTGCCTTCCTCACACTGTACAGACGGTGGCTTCTTGTTAAGAGTGCTTATCATTTTAAATTGAGAGTGGCAGTAGATACCAGAAAAAACAAAAAACCTAGAGGTCCCCTGGTTTACTGTGTGCTAAATATACTCATTGCTTCCTTTTTAAATTTTAATTTAATTACAGTTTGCCTCCTGTGTCCAAGCCCTCCTTCCCTCCTTGCTTTCAAATTCATGGGCTCTTATTCTCTAATTATTATATATGTATGCACATAAATGCGCAAATTGCTGACTCCATCTATTGTTGCTTGTACGTATGTGTTTTAGGGTGACGATTTGGGGGCTCATCTCTGGGGAAGATGAATTCAACCTCTCTCAGCACTCTTTAAGTCCCTGTAGCTCTTCCTCTAGAGCATGTGGCTTTGTGACATTCCCCCATCCATGTTGGCATGCCAGCCGAGGTTGCCAGTGTTCAGGTGTTGATTTTTGTTTACCTCCTGGCATTGTGTCAAGGACAGAGGAAGGACTGCGTCTTTGAAATGTGTGTCCTTCCAACCAGTACCTTTGGAGTTCATCTGAGAGATCTTTGTTATAAGTGTGTTTCTTACTTAGGTGCAGAAGAATCGCTTTCAGTTTTATACTCCCTGCCTGGTGCTTAGCATGTAGGATTTTAGAGACATCTTCATACTCTAATGACACAAATACTATGATTGAATTTCCTTATAAAGTCATCTAAGTTTTGACTCTAATTTTTTATAGAAAACAAATTCTATAAATATTAATATACCACCCTGCTTTTCATCCTAATTATATGGTAAGTCAGCTTTGTAAAGTTTGCTGTGGTGTGGTTTTTAAGTGGTTAATAGCACTTAAACATATTCTCCTTCAAAATTTGAAAAAATATTATCATGAATGTCAAATCAAGTTATAAAATACAGTTTTCCAAATAGAAAATTTGTTCCTGTTTCCCAGTGGTTTCTTTTAAATGACAGTTTGCAGGGTTAGACTTTCTGCCTGCTCTCCCTGTGTCTGTCCCATGATCCTTGCATGATTCACCCTGGCTTTCTCTATATAAGGGGGATTAGCCTGCCTCACAGTGTGGTCATGACAGAGTTGACAGGCGTACAGTGCTTACAGTTGAGCTTGCACATGGGAACACATACCAGATGTATAGTGTTCATCTTGCTCTTGTTTATATAATGCTCTTAAAACACTTGCATCTTGACCACCTTACAGGTTTCCTCTATGAATTTCTTCAGGCTTGTGCCCATAGTTTCTGATAACCTAAATTTATGATTAAAACAAATGAGGGAACTTTGCCTAAGAAGGACTCAGGAGATCGTTGTTTGCTGATTTTCCCCTTGTAATCAGGTGACTTCTGGGTACAAAGCCAAGACAATTGTTACTGCTCTGCCCGGGTCATTTCTTGACCCTCTGTTATCACCATCCCTCATGGAAGATTATGAGCTGAGACAGCTAGTCTTGGAAGTAATGCACAACCTCATGGATCGCCATGACAACAGGGCAAAGCTCCGTGGCATCAGGTGACTCAGTTTCCCCAGTCAGTGTGTCACATTGTGTGTGTGGGGGGGCGTCAGTGTGTTATAGTGTGTGTCTGTGTCTGTGTGTGTTATAGTCTGGGGGGGGCATCAGTGTGTGTGTGTTACAGTCTGTGGGGGGGTTAGTGTGTTATAGTGTGGGGGGGAAGAGGGGGGTCAGTGTGTTGTAATGTGTGTGTGCATGGGGGCCAAAAGATTTACTAATGTTTTAAAGTAATGTGTTGGAGTATCATTCAATGTGTTCTGCAGAGTGCTAATCTAGTAATTACTACTTACCTTGATGTTAAAAAACTGTTTTTGTTTTAAGCTAAAGAATGTCACTATAAATGAAGATGACATAATTCTTAGTTAAGCATGGTAATCCAGTAATATTTCATATGAACATTTAAAATGTAGCTGTGTCACTGTTCAAACTCCTGAGCTCAAATATAATCCTCCACAAAATACAAGGTATTATAGCTACATGTACTAGTCATTAAAAATTATTGATTTATTGTTTCTAGAATAATACCAGACGTGGCTGACTTGAAGATAAAAAGAGAAAAAATTTGTAGACAAGATACAAGCTTCATGAAGAAGGTAGGGTCATTGTTTAGTGAGTGTTTGAATTGTAACTTAGAGCTCTTGAAACTGCCAGATGGTTTTATATTGACCCGTGAGCTTAAAATGAACCCATAGAATTGGGGGTGACAGATTCACCCCACCTTCAGCCAGCCTGCTTTATATGACCACAGTCCCACTGGGGCCCCTAGAGCCTGTGCTTAGATGTAGGATCTAGTCCAGGCTGCTCTTCATCTGAGGGGATATGAGTGTCCCTCCATGCCTGCCCTGCCCTGCCCTGCCCTGCCCTCCTTATAAACCAAATGTGCCTACTGGTTTGCTCCAGCAGGTCTTGTTTAGACAGTGAACAACTCTACTGCTGGTTTTTGCTTGTTATGTGTTGTTCTGTACACTGTTTGGGAAATGGGTTAGGCATGATGTCTGCCTTCACACAGGTGAATTTAGGAAACTGTGATGTCTTATAAAGTAACCAAGCTTCTTGTGTAGTTTACTAGTCATCCAAAGCTTAAACAGGATATTTGGTTCTGTCACTGTCTTTAATGTTGCTGTCTCTGTCGTTACGTTGATGCTGTGCTTCAAATGAGCACTAATTAATCAATCAGATCCCTTCAGTAAAGTTAATTCTTTTGAGTTCATCTTTATTGTATATTCACCAGAAACAGGGAAGTAAGTTTTTATTTATTCTATTTCTTGGTTTTGATTATTTCTCAGTGTTACCCATTTAGTAGCTAATAGTTTCCCAAATAGTAGCTAATCATTTGCTGTTTTTTCAATAGTATATGGTGGTTATAAAAACATTTAAACACTGAAACTGGATTCATGTTTAGGTTTGTTTGTTTGTTTCAACAGTCGTGGAAACAGTGCTTCTTTCCACATAGTTTTGCTAGACTCCGTCGCTGTGAGTGATCAGACTGTTGACCATACCTGGTCTGATGTCTTGTTCTCTTGCACTTGTGATTAGATTTAAAAGTTTTAAGTGACTTGCCTCTCACCTGGTAGGCCTTGCTTTTTCTTTTTTTATTATTTCCTGCATGAGTGCTATATTTATATTTCCAGCACTCCCTTTCCTGCTCCAGCTCCTGTTGTCTCCTCGTATTCAAGTTCATGCGCGCACACAAGCACATAGACATACAGCCTGCAGAGTTCTTCTACTGTAAATCTTTCTTATTGTATCTGAGAAACAATCGATGTGCGTTCTTCCTTTCTTGAAATGTATTTTGATGATTTGTCACACTGTTTTCATTTACCTTTCCATTTGTTCTGTTTGGCTTTCCTGTGATGCCTTAGCTGGCAGTTCACAGAGATCCCTGTAAAAATACAAAAAGCAATCCTGTTGTACATCCCTGTGTGGGAAGGAAGCATACACACACACACATACATTTCCATTTAGTGGTGCTTTGGTGAAATTCACCTTGTATGTAGTGTTGTAAGATAATGCAGGTTGTCTGTTACAGACACTTGGTCTCATCCCTGTCGGGATGCCGTAAGCAGCACTGCTGCAACCATGCTTGCCCGTCCCCTATGCTGGGCCTTGCTCATGTCACCATGGCAGCCCATGGCAGGGATCCCGAATAATAGCTTTAAATGATGCAGACGCACTAGAGAACACCTAGTTCTTATGCTGTGCGGTCGTTGCTCTTGTCAGCATACCAGAGTACCTTTGTCTGTCTGTCTGTCTGTCTGTCTGTGTCTTTCAGAATGGGCAGCAACTATATAGGCACATATACCTGGGCTGCAAAGAGGAAGACAATGTTCAGAAGAACTATGAGCTCCTTTATACATCTCTGGCTCTGATAACTATCGAACTGGCCAATGAAGAAGTGCTGATTGATCTCATTAGATTGGCCATTGCCTTACAGGTATGCTTTTATAGCTTCCCACTGAAGAAAGACTCCTTTTAGTGAAGCAAATATCACTTACTGTTTGGTGTAATTATCCAAGAACATGAATTTTGATTACCAAGATTTTTGGTTATATTCGATTACAGTGAGCAATGGTGCTAACAGTCACTCAAGACCTCTTAGCTCACGAGGAAAAGACAGGCCTTGCACCTGCACTTCGTGGCGTTGTTTGGTTGGAGTCAAGTATTATATAATAAAAGCTCAATATATAGTGGGCACGCATGTGTGCACACGCATGTACACATGCACCCACACACACACACACCCATGCATTTTTGTCAGCTATCCAAGCTCTCTTCAGTTTTCCAGTGTCATCATGGGGAGTATGCTGCGGGAATGTGAGGACTTGATCTCTCGGGTGCTTGTCTTCTCCCGCAGGACAGTGCAATTATCAATGAAGATAACTTGCCAATGTTTCATCGCTGTGGAATCATGGCACTGGTCGCAGCCTATCTCAACTTTGTGAGTCAGATGATAGCCGTCCCAGCGTTCTGCCAGCATGTTAGCAAGGTGAGAGACTCAGAACAGTTTTCAAACCTGAGTGTGTGGAAAAGCAGATGACTTCTGAGTATTCACGATTTTCTAGCATACATACATGTATGTGTGTTTGTGTGTGTGTCTATTATATGTAATTAAGTTAATTTTATATATATAATTAAGATAATTCTGCAAAAAATATGAGGTTCTAAATCAAAAGTACAGTTAATATTGTCTGCTTGGTTGTTAAAATTTTTTATTTTATCATTATTTGTTTATTTGTTTATTTTTGGTTTTTCAAGGCAGGATTCCTCTGTGTAACAGTCCTGTCTGTCATAGAACTCATGTTGTAGACCAGGCTGGCTTTGAACCCACCTGTCTCTGCCTCCCAAGTGCTAGGATTAAAGGCATACACCACCACCACCACCTGGCTGTTAACAATTTTTAAGGTCGTTGAATAGGATACATACAGTTTTCTTCTCTCTTTTCCATTGAGACTTTGTGAATCTTAAGCTTTCTTCAGTTAAGAAAGTTTGTTTGCACAGTCTAAGGCAGAACCGGAGTCAAATTACTAATGCACATTTTTGAATTTTATCATCTTTGAACAATGTTTAAGTTTCTTCAGTGGCCATCCCAGTTACTGATTTGATTTCATATATATTTCAAAGTCCTTAATGTGCAACATTTGAAAGCCCTTGTCCGACAACCTCACTTTTATGAGAACTGGAAACACATCTTGCTAAAATGTGCGTTCTTAAGAGCAGAGCTCATCCATTCATTTAAACCTCACTTGTACATTTGAGACACGTGTATTGTCACAGTGGAGCAGACCTTTAGATTGTCCCCTCCCCACGGCACTGATGAGCTCTGAGCAGCTCCTGAGCACAGTGGGGAGACTAGCTTGTGAAGCGATTTCTAAAACAGGTCTGTTTGTTTTGGTATTTTGAAAAATATGGGCTCTGCTCTTTCATAATATGTCTTAGCAAATGTAACCCATTGTTTTTTTTTTTAACTTCCTTTGTATATTTTAATGTGATTTTAATAGCTGATGAACTTAGTTTGAATTCTAAGATAGACTCATGGTGTTTCATGTAAAATGCTTTGAGGTTTCTGGAGGGGGTTGTTCTTAGTTATTTTGTAAATGTTTACTGCAAGGTTCTAAGAAGCTAGATTTTTTTTATTTCAATGTTGTTTTGTGTTTGCTTGATTTCAGGTTATTGAAACTCGAACTGTGGAAGCCCCTTATTTTCTACCAGAGCATATTTTCAGAGATAAGTGCATGTATGTGGATTCTTTATATTTGAAGGAAAGGTTGACTAGATAGAGAGCCGATGATAAGTATTAGAAAGGGATAACTATTGTTCCAGGCTTATTATTATCATCATTGTGCTATTTCTGTCATTTAATTCATGAAACCTTTTCCCTACATAATAAAGTAGTTGCACTCTATAGTTGTAGACATGCATACAGTCCTGGAAATGTAAAGCTTATTCCCCTTTTTAGAATGTGACAATATATTAATTAATATCGCACTAGTTTGCTGTGTATTCTCGTAAATGAATACCCCTGTAACAGTGTAATTTTCTTGTTGAAAATTTTTGATAACATAACAACACATAAAATTGTGACACAGAAACAAAAGAAGATTCATATGTTTGTTATACCTTCTTCCTGGTATTCCACAGGGAGCAAATGCTAACACGTGATTCCCACTTTGGGCTCTTGAGGGCAGGTGGCTCAGTACTGAAAGCACCAGCACAAGATAAGCACAGCGGGAAGAGAGTAGGGTGCCCTGTGGCTGGGCATGGGCTTCCTGTCACCCTGCTGGCCCTGTCCTTTAGATCCACTGTCAGCTGAGCTTCTCCCTGCCCGCCTTCCCTTAGAGCCGGGTGTGGGTGCCGCACGCACGCACGCACGCACGCACGCACGCACGCACGCCTTTAATCCCAGCACTCGGGAGCCAGAGGCAGGCGGATCTCTGTGAGTTTGAAGCCAGCCTGGTCTACAGTGCAAGTTCCAGGACAGGCTCCAAAGCCACACAGAGAAACCCTGTCTGGAAAACACCAATAAATAAATAAATAAATATAAAACATTTCACTTAGCGTGTTCAGACATTAGCAGAGTGGCAAGGCTAGGTTTACTAGTGAAGTGTGACAGGGAGGTTCGGACACCAGGGACTCGGCCCTTTAAATCACATGAACTTTTCCATTGTACTTCTGTCTGAAATACTGAGCCCTTTACTATAGAAGTCCATGCTGTTTTACTTATTTTTGCTCAGGAATTGTTGCTTTATCCACTTGGCAGGCTTCCGAAGTCTTTAGAGAAACATGACAAAAGTTTATATTTCCTGACCAACAAGATTGCGGAGTGCCTCGGCGGCAGCGGGTACAGTGTGGAGAGGCTGTCAGCTCCTTATGTGCCACAGGCGACAGGTGCGTTCAGTGCGCTTCTGCCGGGCGGAGGGGAGGGAAGCTGAGTTTTGTAGGTACACTACCATACCGTGGTTTACCTTTTACAGCTTGCTTTTTTTTTTTTTAATGTGTACAAGTGTTTTGCCTGCACACGGACCATGTTTGTACAGTGCTCATGCTGGCCGGCTTTGGAACCTCTGGAACCCTTGGAACCAGAGTTACATCTGCCTGCTAGGAACTGAGCTTAGGTCCTCTGCAGAGCCATCTTCCCAGCTTCTCCTTGGTTATTTTGTTTTTATTTCTTCTTTCCTTTTCAAAAAGCTATTTTAAATGTTTTCTATTTTTAAATACTACTTTATAAACTTTTCTCTAAAGATGGAGGTAGGAAATAGGAATTACTGATAGGAATTTATCGTAGGGCAATCGAGTGGTTGGGTTTACTATTATTTTTAATCTACTATTCGCCCATATGTTCTATGAAATTTTTATCATTAAACAATATTGTTGCATGTTTGCCATTTGAAAAACTGCAGACCATTTCTGAAAGGAAACCTGCCAACTTTTTATATGTGTTTATTCTGTTCTTTAAAATGATGCCACTCTATTTCAAGACAAATTATATATCTTGCATTTAATTTTTGTTCTAAAAATTAAAATTAGTTTATTGTACTCTCATATTCAGTTAATATATAAATGAATGTTACATTGGTGGAGGAACTAGTTCTTTTTAACACAGATATCTCTGTTATATAAGGGAACTATTTGATTCCAGTCAGACAATTTTATGTGTTAATTACCAAAAGTAGTATAATTTATATATAGCTGTCCCCAGTCTGAAGCTAATGTAAGCTACATAGCAAGTTTTAGCCAGTCTAGGCTGCATAGTAAGCATTTTGTCTTAAAGAAAGAGAGAAAGAAAGAAAGAAATCAATAAAGCAAAATAAATAAATAAAACCATCTTAGAACTCTATAGTTTATTTAAGTTTGTTTGTTTTGAGGGCTGTTAAGCATTTCAAATATTAAACAATTTTACTTTGGATTTAGCTGTCTTTCCTTCAGACCCAAAGCCTCATACACCCAGGCAGAAATGCAAAGGTAACTGCACCTGGTGTAGCCTGCCCCCCCCCATAGCCGCCCCGCCCATAGTCACCCCGCCCATCGCTGCCCCACCCATAGCCGCCCCGCCCATAGCCTACCTTTCCTGGAGGAAAACCACTCCCTGGGTGCATTGTCTAGAAAGTAGCACTGTGGGCTGCATCTGTGTGTGCCTGTCATTAGCGGTAATTTTGCTCTGTGCTCTTATGCCATCTGTACTTTATTCCTCTCTCCTTCTCCCTGTTACCGTAACTGTAGTTCCCAGCGAGAATTCTGGTACTTATCTCCACATGTGACTTTCCTCTTTTTAGTTCCTTCTCACTCAGACCAGCTACATTCTCTTTCTCAATGTCTGTCACAAGCTAAGAGACTTCTAAATATTTCCATGCATAATTAATTATATTTCCTTGATAGAAATTCCTAAAAACAAATGGACTTTTGACTTATTAAGACTGGTGTTTATAAATTAGTCTAGTGTTTGGACCTTGTCTCATGCAGGAATCTTAAGAGAAATGTTTTATGGGATACTCAGTTATACTCAGTCTACTGTTGATTTTGAAAATTATGGGCAGTTAAAAACAATAAAACAAAAATAAAAGCAAAATATAAATGTAGCTATTTGTATTTTATATAGCCCATTGTAACATTGGCTCCGTTTATCGTATTTTGTGTCTGGCATTGAGTAGAGCACTGTATTTACATCTCTACTTAGTCCTTACACTCAGTGAAGAAGAAGAGCACTGTATTTACTTCTGTACTTAGTCCCTACACTCAGTGAAGAATGCGGGGCTTTCTTCTTTACCCATGAGGACAGTGATGTTGATAGTAATTTGTTTAAATGGCACACTAAATTTAGCTGCCTCTGTGCTCTTTCAGATGCTTAATAATTTATTTGATTTCACAATTGTTAATGAGGATGGAGACTTTGCATGCATTCAGAATGATCCATCCATGTCAGCAGTGAGCAGTAATCACCATCTTTCATTTGCGTCTCACCACTCTGAGACCTGGCAGCCAGGGATATAGCTCATTTTTGTTTGTTCATTTCTGGGGAGAATGAAAGTATAAAGACATTAGCAGGAGGCCAGGTGTGGTAGCATATGTCAGTAACAGCACCCACAAGGCTGAGGCAGGAGGATGGCTAGTTTGGAGTGCTTCTTAATTGATGAGGCCTACTGTGTGTTAGACATTAAGGGAGTTGCTAATGGGAAGATGTTAAGGTATGATCACAGTCTTCAAGGATTACAATCTCATGGTGAAGCCAGATGAACAAATGCAATAGCTAGTTCTACAGAAAGAACGGATGTGCCTGAAATTGCTGAACCATGGTGTCTGAGCGAGAATTAGCTGATTATTTTTCTTTTTAGTCATGCTGGAATTTGAGACTAGTGAATGAATCAGTGTGTAGTTAGTAGTGACTGTCCCGTGAAGTAGTTAGCGAGTAGCTCTAGTGTTCCAGCTCTGTGCAAACAGAAACCACAGTGTGCAAGGTAGGTAGGAGTTCTGATTTTTATACAGCTAGGGTTCACTCTTTCCTTGTTCAGTGTGGTTTCTCCTGAACCACAAAGCCCAGGCACTTGAACAACTTTTCTGTTATTCTAGCTGTGTAGGGCAGAAGTTAGACTGATTGTGTAATTTGGTTCTAACATGACAACCAGTGGAGCAACTGTGGTATTTCTGAGGGATCCCCAGGAAGTGGGATGAAATCCCAGCAGCTGCTGAGAGGGAATGTTGCTAAGCTCTGAAGTAGCTGTGCTCACCGGTACTTTAAACAAAGGCTTCCCTAGTGGTACTGCTAATGAAGGTGTGTGTTGACATTGCTCTCATAGAGTAATTAGGCAGTCAGCGCGATGTGTGCAGCCTCTTCCATTCTCTCTCGTATACATACATCACAATTATGTATGTGAGTGACAGAAATCTTGGGGAGCTGGTCATTAATCAGTAGGCTGTTCATAAGTCATAACTAGGATGGAAAGTTACTGACTTCAGAGACGGCTCCATTAGCTGGGAAAGGCAGAGGTGCATTAGGAAGACACATTAGAAGGTTGTCCCTGGTAAGAGTCTAGGAAGGATGAAGATTTCCGTAACATGAATCAGAAGCTGGCCAGCCTCACTGGGGTCGGTAGAGAACTTCCCCGGGTAGCTGTTACCGCCCAGAGTGTTATTGGCTAAGTAGATCCTTATAGGGATGAGAGTAGGACAGGACCCAGTTGGTTATTGTTACCACTTGTAAATGGTCACCTCCTCCACAGAGGAAACTGTGAGCTGTGATTTCCAGGCCCTCTCCCTCGTGTGGTCTGAGTAAGAGAAGGTAATGAAAAGTACCCGCCCCCATGGTTCTGAGAGTCAGAAAGACGGTCTGTATCCTTCAGGACTGAGGCATACAGATGTGTAGGCAGCTGTTTCATAGTGGGTTCTTGAGAATGAGCACTTCCAAAAAGCTACAGTGTGGCAGTGCCCAGCAGCTGCCCTGACCCATCCCAGCAAGGGTTGAAGTTAAGCCTCTGAGTGAGTGAAATGGGGCACACAGTGCACTTCCCTTTTTTCCTTCTATAACTGGGTATTAGCTGTTCTCGCATTCCGAACTTTCCTACCAGTGCTTGAAAGAAACACATAGAAGGCCCGTAGTTAAGTGAAGAACTTCCGTCCTTATATCTATAACATAATAAGGTAACACCAGAACAGGACTCTAACTTACCCCGCTTAGGTTTGCTGCTGCCACAAAAGCAAAGGAAGACAAGCATCAGGGTGCCCAGGAAGGAGGGAGCCTTGCACACTGATGGCTCGCATGATTCGCGAGACTGAATTATTATAGCAACTTTGGATAACACAGTTGAGACTTTTTTTGCATAATGCTGAAGTGACTACCATATGATCCCCCAGTCTCACTGTGAGCACACCCAGAGTAATGGATGCCAGTGTTTGAGATGTCTGCACGCCATGTTCCCTGCCACATTCAATACTCACAGACCAACATACAGAAACAGCCGAGGTACCATCCTCCAGCAGTGATGTCCATACACACTGCAGTGCTGATCTGAAAAAACGGGAGTTTTCCCATCTGTGTCAACATGGGTGAATCTAGAGGACGTTGGGGGGCATGGCAAGAAACTTACGACTATCTCCAGTCACACAGGAAGACCTAAATTCTTAAATTCTGATGTCTTACTGCACAACATGGTGACCTTTGTTAGTTATTGTGTATATTTCAAATTGGCTGAAAGAGACCTTAAGGCTGGCAAGATGGCTCAGTAGATATTCCACTTACAGCCAACCTGATGACCTGAGTTCAGTGTCTGGAATGCACATGGTAGACAGACAGAGCTGGTTCCTCTCAGTTGTCTCTGACCTCTGTATGTGCACCAGAGTACAGGTGCCGGCACTCAGGTACACACCCACGCTCACAGATGGTTTGTGTTTAAGGGTGGATGTGCAGATCGACCTTTGATTGTTCCGTGCTGTATGCAGGGCCATTATGCTGTACCCGGGCAATGGGTTCAGAGTTGAGAACATGCTGCTTAGATGTTTAGAAAAAGCATAAACCCCAAACTCGGCTTTCTATATTTTCTTGCATTTGAAAATAGTTATGTGACTAAAATGCAACATAACATTTCTGATTAACAAATAATGGAAAACAATTTTAATTTCAGATGAAGATCGTCTTTCTAGAAGAAAAAGTATTGTGGATACTGTATCTATTCAGGTGGACATTTTATCCAACAGTGTGCCTTCTGATGATGTGGTAAGTTGCTGCACGTTTGTGATGGAGAATGTCGTAATGTGGGCATTATTTAACAGGAACATTTTCCTCCACACCCATAAATGGGAAAAGAACAAATCTAGACTAGCCCCAAGTCAACTAAATTGTTAGTAGAGATTAATGAAATTTAATTATTTAATTTTTGTGAACTCATTTCAACATCTGTCGATATGCCTAAAACTAATATATCTATATTATTAGATTTTTGCATTGGGGTTCTTATGACAGAAAGAGCTAAGGCAGAAGCAAAATTGATTTGTTTTAGGTATAGTATGTGATACATGACTTCTTGAGTTCTCTAAGTCCCATTTATTTTTTTAAAATTGTGAAGTATAAAGTACAGAAGCAGATGGATCTGAGCACCTCCATGAGGCCAAATCCTCACCTCAAAAGTTGCTGTGTAAGGAAAACTTGATTGTCATTTTGTATATTAACTTTTATGAATGTGGCCTGAGCCCCTCAGTGTACTGCTCAAGGGCTGTGCAGCTCAGTGACTGCATGGCCATGCCCCTGATGTTTTCCTCCTGCTTCAGGAGAGGACTCTGCCAAGTCCCAGAAGGAAAAAGCAGCCAGTACTCTGAGCACTTAATTCACACAGAAAATTTCTGGTAGCTAACTAAAAGTGACAAGTGCTAGCCAACCAACTCAGCTTCCTCTTCATGATTTACATAGTGTTTTCCTGCCCAGCTATTTCATTATTTCTCATTGATACAATATAATTAATTAGATACACAAACAAGAAAGTAGGAAACTGAGTTGCCCGAATTCATGCTTTCTCATTCCCTTAGCTTCTAACCAATATAATTAGGGAACAAACAAATTAGATCTTTGCTATTTGGCTCTCCATTATCCAGAATTCGTTTGTCTTATCGATCACTTGTTAGTGGAGCTCGAGAACTTGCAGTGGGCTCCAGAGATAGCTTAGTTGGTAAAGTACATATGTAAGCAGGAGGACATACTTTCTGGACTCTTGGCACCCACATACAAAGCCAGGTGCTGAGATGTGGACATTCTGGAGGCTTGCTGACCAGCTAGTGTAGCCCACAGGAAAAAATTCAAATTCAGAGAGGAAACCTTGTCTCAAACAACAAAGTGGAACACAGGAGGTGGCTGAGTGAATAAAGCACTTGCCAGATATGCATGACGACCAGGGTTGGGATCTCTGGTACCTCATGAAGGCAGTAGACATGGCATCCACCTGTGGTCCCAGCATTCCTAAGGCAGACACAGAATCTCTAGGGCAAGCTAGCTAACGGGCAGTGGTGAAATCAGAGTTCACTAAGAGACCCCTATCTCAGTGTGATCAAGGAAGATGTCTGACATCAACTTTGGGCTTCCACACATGCACACAAGTGACCCCTACACACATATGGGATTCTGCATACATGTGCACACAGAAATGTGCAGGAAGCCAGGTAGTGCTGTTCTGATGGGAACCTGGCTGGGACAGTGAGGAAATGAAGGAAGGATGATGATGTTCAGAGAAAAGCTGGGATCGAGTGGGCTCTGTTCTCACTGTTGGAGCAGTACCAGTACCAATTAGCCAACAACCCAGAATCTCAGCCATTAGCTAGGGGATTGGTTTCAGGTTGTGGTCATCTAGAAGGAAGAAGCTGCAGTTGATGGGTTTTGCATATACTGCCAGTTTCCTGAGCCTGACCCAACGAAGGCTCTGAGCATTGGTCCTTGTTGGTAGTACACGTTCACTCAGGACCCCATCTGTTCTTTACACATTCACTCAGGACTTGCTCTGCTCCCCACACTGAAGGTAGGGAAGGAGCAATCCCAACATCAACTTTTATCCTCAGCATGCTTGTACTCTCCACCCATGTGCACACAAACATGTACTCGCACACAGAATACTTAGAAGTTAAAGCTACCCTCCCCAAATCCCCCTCATTCTTGAAAGCCACATTAATATATATATACACTTTTATTTGTAAAGAGTATTTTGCTAACTCTTTCAATGAGTGTGAATTTACTCTTAAAGAAATTTGCTTAGAGCCTGGCTTCTAGGCTTAATTTTAATCAGGGATACAGTGTGTTTTAATGGTTGTGTTTTTATATCCTTTTGCTTATTTTTTTTTTTTTTTGTTTTAAACTTAATGTGTTTGACATTTAAGACTGTATTAAAGGACAGTCTGTTATGATGAAATAAACTGAAAATATTTACATGAAGACACTATGAGCACATTTGAGTTTCAAAGTCACTAGAATATGCTTTTGTACATTAGTTGTTCAAATGCCAGAAGACAGAACAGAATTGCCTTATAGGCAAAACTAAGTAGTTTATAGCAAGGGCAGGAGAAATTCATGTAAGTTAGCTATTTTCCAATTACTGATAAATACTTATTTCCGCATTAGTCAGTAAAAGTTAATATAACAAAAATACCGGCGTCAGTTTTAACTTTTCCCATGTTCTTTGCCCTGTACTATATATAGTTTGTTGTTGTTTTAATCTGAGGCTGTCTAGCCCAGTCTTAACCAGTGAGTTTTGTTTAGTTCATTAAAATGCTAGCGCTAGATTGCTCATGGTGCAATGACTAGCCAGAGTCTAATCTTGTGTATCTGCTCCACATGTCCAGACTGCGACTGCAGCTGAAGATTCCAAAGTTTAATCTGACTTCAACTAGAAATGTGGCCCTCGATAGCAAAGCTGAGGTAGCGGAACTCTTGCTGCTTGACTTCCAGCTAAAGCCTTTCTTAAAACAGAGACGCTAAGGTGCAGAACACAGTCTTGCTTTCGTTAGTCTTGCTGACTTAGACTTAGCAAAAGACGCTCATGAGCTAAAATTAGGGATGACCGAAGTGCCAGGCAAGTACTCACATGTCGTATCATTGCTTAACTTTTGTTCAGAGATGCTGTAGTAACCGTGTATTACTCTTTGTGAAAATGTTTTGGTACCTCATAAAGTACCACTGCCCAATTATCACAAAATACTAACATTTAAAATCATAAACATACTTTTATAGCTTTGTACATATTTCAAAGCAAGAGATCTGAGAGCCCAAGATAAAGGGTATTTATAGGAAATAAGAAAACTGGTTGTTGACCTTAGAAAATCTAGAATATGTTTGTTTCAGAGCGAACGCTTTTCAATATGGTATTCCCTTGGAAGCTTGCTTTATTTATTTATTTATTTTTGTGTGGATTTTTTATGTATTTGTTTTTTGCCTGCACTTATGCCTGGTGCCAGAGGAGTCCAAAGTGCGTGTTGGGTCCCCTGGAACAGCAATTAATTAAGTAGAGATGTGAGCCACCATGTGGGTGCTGGGATCCTAAACCTGGTCCCCTGCAAGAGCAGCAAAGCCCTTACCCACCCAGCCATCTCTGCAGCCCATTCTTTTAACATTGTAAATCTTAGGTTATTTCGTGCTTGATTTGTTCACTATCTGTAGCACTAAACTGATAGAGGCTCTTCGGTGGTTCGTTCTAATTTACCACATAGCTAAGCAATACAATGTATTTGTAATCTCAGCCTTGAGTGCTTCAGAGTGCCTTCCCCTTACTGGGTGCCGTGTGGTCCATCAGACTGTGGAGGCTGTGACTCATCCAAGGGTGTGGAGGTGCTGCCCGTTCTGCCAGGCTATCACCCACCTGTGCCATTTAGGAAGCCACTGCAGGAGGTTACGGGCAGGGAAGAAGTGCAGAGCATCTGCTGTCTGAGTATAATCTCAGATCAAGCGAGTCCAAAGAAGGAAAAAAACAGTTGTGAAAATGTTTGGGTGACTTACGTGTTAGTAAGAATATTAATTATAGTCACATTTCTTGACCCTTTGTTCTCCTTAAACTCCCTTTAGGTTAGCAACACTGAAGAGATCACCTTTGAAGCCCTGAAGAAAGCAATTGGTGAGCTGTGCAGCGCTTTTTAGTGCTCCTAAAACTCACCTCTGCCTTGGTGCTCTCTTAGATGACAGAGTAATCACATACAACAACATGAAAAGGGAAAAAGCGTAGGTCTCTACATAAATGGCCATTTATATAAACACATTGTTTAAGCTTTTTAATTTGTCTGACATGTGTGCACACCTCAGCACAAACAAGGTAGATACTGGTTTTTTACTTTCTAATCGACTGTGGAGACCATCATGGCCTTAAGAAAAAAGCTTCCCTTTATGTTGTGAGACTCAGACACATTGGCTCGAAACAACCCAACTATATTTTAGTTTTCTATTTATTGGGTTCAAGATGCACTTTAACAAATACTTAGCACCTCTGTGTGGACAAGGGCAGCGTAGTTAGACATAAAAGAATTACTCAGAAAATCCCTGGCAGTCCTTTGATCTCTTGTAACTTACCAGAAATCAAGGTAACTGTTCTCTCCTGTATTCGTGTGTGTGTTTGTAGGCTTGTGTGTGCATATATCTTGATGTGTGTGTGTGTGTGTGTTGTGTGAGCGTATGTATTTAGTAAGAGACGGGAATTCTTTGAAAGGCATTGTGTTGTGGTACTTTGACTCTTAGATTTAATATCTTTGCAAATATTTGTGTATTCTAGCATTCAGGGAAAAATTTAAGGAATGCTAATGTATTTTGGGTTTTTTCACTATAAAAGTATCCCTTGACTCACTCTTGTGTTGGGGATTATAGCTCATTGTCTCCCATGGTCTTTGACATAGGACTTTATGACACTCTGTCTTTAACTGGTTCTTAAATAGACACCAATGGAATGGAGGAGCAGGAAAAGGAAAAGAGACGTCTTGTGATCGAGAAGTTCCAGAAAGCACCTTTTGAAGAAATAGCTGCACAGTGTGAATCCAAAGTAAGTGAGTCGATGGGCGGTGGGTGGGGAATGGGTCTTTGGAGGCTTCAGCCTCTGAAGGCAGAGCTATCAGACCTAAAGAGTTTCTTATGAGACATTGATGGAAATGGTAGATCCTAAGCTGAGTGAATGACAGTTGTTGCTTTGGGGTTCTGTTCTGTTTTGTTTTCAGTGTTTTTTGGTGATTTTGCTATGGGTGTGTGTGTGTGTGTGTGTGTGTGTGTGTGTGTGGTTCTGTTCTGTTTTGTTTCCAGTGGTTTTTGGTGATTTTGCTATGGATTTTGTGTGTGTGTGTGTGTGTGTGTGTGTGTGTGTGTGATTCTGTTGTTTTGTTTCCAGTGGTTTTTGGTGATTTTGCTATGGATTTTGTGTGTGTGTGTGTGTGTGTGTGTGTGTGTGTGATTCTGTTATTTTGTTTCCAGTGGTTTTTGGTGATTTTGCTATGGATTTTGTGTGTGTGTGTGTGTGTGTGTGTGTGTGTGTGTGTGCGTGCGTGTGCGTGTGAGTGCACACACGAGTGCCTGTGTGTGTTTCAACTTGTGGCTATAAGTTGGTGTGGGGAGAAAGCCTACATTAAAGTCTAGTAGACCATTCCACATAGAGGGATACTTTCTCAACCTAGTCACATGGGGAAGGACTTAAGCCCTGCCCCTAATGATGTGACAGACTTTGAAGACTCCCCATGGAAGGTCTCACCCTCCCTAGGGAGCAGAAAGGGGATAGGCTGGGATTTGGTGGGGGTGATAGGAGAGGATGGGAGGGTTCGGGAACTGGGATTGACATGTAAATCAAGCTTGTCTCAAATGTCAACAAAATAAAGTCCAGTAGATATTGCAGGTTAAAGCATGAAAACAATTGTATGTCAGCCACGGGCTCATAGTTACAGTTGTGCTTTGTCTATGGGGTGGCTGGAAAACAAATCTTTAATATTTTTTTTTTCCCCTTTGCAGGCAAATTTGCTTCATGATAGACTTGCTCAAATATTGGAGCTCACCATACGGTAAGGGTCTTGTTAGCACAACAGTAACACAGAAACCGTAGAGGCTGTGTGTGGCTGTGCTTGACAGCTGCTTTGCACTGAGCATAAACAAGGTCTGGCTGGCAGCCCTGCTCCATTCCCACTCTGTTTGCAGGGCAGTCCGAGCTTGTTCTTGTGCATTTGTCTCCTGACATTTCTAGCTTTCCCTTAGACTATCTTCTTCATGATGGTCTCTACTAACAGCTGAGTGATTGGAGTTCTAGTGTTATGCTTAACTAGGGAATCATTCATATTTACCCATTATTCTCACAGTCCATCTATAGTTTAATATGCTTCAAGTGAGAGCAGTAATGCTGCTACCAGAGTTGATGGGTGATTTGATCGTGGAGTTTCCCCATCTCCTCTCAAGTTATTAGGAGATTCACTCCAAAGTATACAGTATCTCAGTGCTGTTGGTCATCCTGAGTCTGTCTCTCCTGGAGTTACTCAGTCTGAGCAGAAGGAAAGGCTGGCTCTCTCTAGGCTCTCTGCACAGGAGGAGTTGCCACAAGCTCTCACATTGACATCATTGTGGAAATGGCCCAGTAGAGGACACACACAGAGCCTTGCTTCTGACATTTTGTTTTCTACATGAGATAAATCCTTTATCTTTTAACTTGACTAATTCTCTCTGTTCCTTCAAGTCTGCATCTTAGTATTAGAAAAGCCTGGTAAACACTCTGGTCCACTTGACTTGTTTTCATTCTGCTTTGTCTTCTGCTTTCATAAGTAAGACACTTTCCTACCAGTTTCACTTATTACTCTGGACATTTGCTCACCACTTTATTGTGGCTAAGAATAGAATTATTCATTTATAAAAGTTTAGAAAAGAGTTGAACTAAAATATAAAATGCACAACAGACTTTCTTTTCAGAGAAAATTACCAAGTATGGAGCATTAAACTGTTAGTTACAATTCCAGACACTTACTGTGTACTTGGACTTAGGCTGTATACTTGTGTCAGTTATTTCTCCTCTCAACCCAGCAAAGTATGTGCTATCTCTTTAAGTTTCCAGGCAAAGACTCCAGAGCCTAGACAAATGATGTAATTTGCTGAAGGTCTTGTACCAAGAGACAGACAGTTAAAACACATAACTCCTTTTCTCACGTAGAGTTGCTAGGGATCACTGTGATATTTTGGGTCACTTCAGCATATTTGTAATGGATTTAAAATATTAAGAACAGCATTTTAGTTTTATCTTCCTGACTTACTTGGTATTGGCTTCATCTGGCTTTGACCAAGCACTAGGTGATAGTTAATATTAGCAACTCTTGGAGTGTCTCAGACACTGTGCTGAGTGCACTATTTCAATAGTAATCCATCTGAGACAGATTGTGATACAGAGGGGCTAAAGGCATGGTGCATTGCAGGTTTTCAGATCTGTCTACACATTTTCTCCTGTTTACCTGGTCAGCCAGAGGAGAGCGTTTGTGCTCTACAAAAGTGAAGCCAAGTCATCTCACACCTCAGTCCCTGTTCTTTTATTCACCATGGCTTGGGTAAGAAGAGAAAAAAGGAGAAATGCAAAGCAGCTGTGATGAATGCAGCTGCAGACATGGCCAGTTTCTGCACTGTCTAAACAGGACACCAGAGATTACTGGCGAGTGCGTGTGTAGAGACATACTTGCTCTCACCCTCGTTTCCTGCCTGCGTTTATCACTAACACTAGCTCAAAAACTAAAAGGAGTAATAGGAATGGATTCCTTCTTGCCTTCCAGGGTAACAAGGACTGCCTCTATTCCTTAAAGCGCTGTAACTTTCTGGTATTGTCACAATCCATACTAAGAGTAAAATTGTGATTCTCTGAGTCAGAAACTCTTACTTACAAGTCTCTAGACAAAGGATATATATAAAAATAAACTAGTGAACAGTAATGAAAACGAATCTGTATTTGTTCAGGAAGCAAAATATCTGTAGGCCAAAATACCACACTACCAAAAAACTAATACACATGAAAATGCATTTTTTTTTTGCTTGTGAAACAAGGTAGCTCATAAAAATGCACAATATAATAGCATTATAAATAGCCTGTGTGCACACACACATACAAACACACAAACAAGGTCTATTTTGTACTTCAAACAGCCAGACTCCCTCTTTTGCCTATACAGTGTCAGAGATGGCCAGCACCCCTACTACACTGAGCCCTTTAATGAAGCGGCCTTACTTTGCTGTTTACAGGCACTGGTGAATACTATAAATGTACCTGCTGATAGCACCATGTTCTTCTTTTACAGCCCTCCTCCTAGTCCATCCGGAACACTGACCATTACTTCTGGGCATGCCCAGTACCAGTCTGTCCCAGTCTATGAGATGAAGTTTCCAGATCTGTGTGTGTATTGACTGGCTCATGAATACTATAGCATCTAAAAGAAACTCAAAGCCTGAAAAACAAGGCCAAGATGAGTTTTCAGGATTTGCATAACGCTTCCTGATGTGTCCTGAAACATGATGGGATTTATCTCTAACCAAACACTTGTCATGCTGTGTTACAAGTTCACAAACTCTGGTTTAGAGTATTTCTGAAGGTAGACTTATGCCACGTTAATTTGTTTTGAGGTTCCTGTTAGCTTTTAAGATAGAACATGTAATGCTTTCACATTATGATTGTTAATAGTATATTTTAAACTTTGCACAAACATGATTTTAAAAAAAAGATTGAAAATGTATGAAGTGTCTGTTGATTTCTTAAGCGTCTCCACAACTGCTTAGAAATGGATTGCTGTTTTGTTTTCTTCAAAAGTAAATATATTCCTAATCTTAGGGTTGCAAATTCTTTCATGCTTTCTAAATCCATGCTTCAGGTGGACTGTGTAGATGTCCCTTTAGTCCCCAGTAGTGACACATAGCAGGCATTCCTATGGTATTGACGATAGAAAAATCTACTGAATAGTATTCTCACCTATGTTCCCATCTGGAAACTGGCCAGGCCTTACTGGTCTTGTGATACTGTGTTTTCTGCTTCAAGCTGAGCCCTTGAGCCCCTTAGAGCTCACTCTTGGAGCACCAAAAGGTGCAGTGTTTCCCACATATGATGTGTTAGTTTACAGACTGCGCTTTGAAACTATAGTTGTATTTTGCTGTGACTCCATTAATTAAATGAAATATATATTTACTATAGAAAAGAAAGAATTAAAATAGCTACATACATGTTCACCTGTGCAGAGCCTATACATTTCAGTTTATTTTAAATGAATGAATTTTCATTTTTATATTATACATTGTTTTTAGGTCTTCATAGTAAGAAATTTCCCCAGTGAATCTTTTAATCTGTAAGAGTTCAACCAAAACTTGTGTGCATCTCTATTGAAAGATTAGTTACATACATTCAGGATGGTACATGTGTTCTTGTTAGGGTCTGTGAGTGTGGGCTGTCTTTATTCCAGAGTTCGAGGTAGCCCGGGCAACACCGCCACTTGGTGAGAATAAGGGTTCTATAGTTAGAAAATTCTCTTAGCACAGTTTGGTGAACTCACTTCATATAACTATGCTTTCAAATTTAATTTCTTTTTACATAAAACAGTATTCCTATCAAAATTATAGCTCAAAAATAATTTGTTTTGTTTTTTTTTTTTAATGAAAAATGGGATGTTTTAAATATGTATTTATGGTAATTTGGGCACCATTCATACAAAAAAGAAAAAACAAGAAAAGGAAATGAACATAGAATAGTCATGCCCAAATTTTTGAATCTATCCAACAGATATTCAGTCTGTTTGCTAAAACGTCCGACAGGTCAGCCAGGCTGCTGATCAGCGCAGACCTGCCAGATCTTGTCCTCAGAAGGACCATGCAGCTGCCCCTGAAAGATCAGCGGCTGCCCCAGCTGTCACTGTGGCTTCCCCTCACGCTGGGGAACGTGTCACCAGTTAATGTTAAACTTCATGCATTTTTGTTTCCCTTTTTTCTTATGCATTTTAAAAGAAGGCAATTGTATTTTGTCTACATTTAAAATCTAAACAGGGGGACATGCAAAAACAATCATCATCCACTTGGATGTCATTTTATAAATTAACACTGTGTGCTTTTGTATGGAAGATATATAATTTAATAGTATAAGAAGAGAGATATATATATTCACTTGCATTCATGAGAAACAAGCTTTGCTGTACAAAATTTTGCTTTTCTTAGTGATCTAAAAGGGCATGCTTTGCATATAAAGGAATACCATTGTAACTAGTTTTCTGGTTTGGTTTGCTTTGTTTTTTTCTCATACCTTTCTTTTGGTTATGTCAGCTGTTGGTTTGAGTGTTGATACTCTTAACCCACAGTACACTTCTGGGTCTATTTGGTCCAGCAGACTGCACTGCTCTTGTTGACCCAAGGAGTGGCTGTCTCTGTCTCACTCTCCCACGTTTGTGGGCATTGCCCTCAGGCAGGTGTGCAAGCTGTGCTATGTAGCCAGCTCAGGGACTGACTCTTTGGGACTTGGCATATTTTGGCAGGTACGTGATACTCTAAGTAAATTGTTTCTCGTTCTACTTGGTTATATTCTTTCATGTAACACTCAACAGTTCATTTACGTGTTCCTCCTATGCTTGGGACATCTGCGGCTGCTCATACAGTTTCACAGAACTTTACCTGATCTCTCACAATCTCTCTCATGTTCTCTTCCCTCCCCTTTCTCCTTCCCTCCACCCTCCTTTTGAACTCACTATCCTTTAGAGGAATACCACCCTCAAGGAGCAGTTTAACCCACCACCCTCTCAAACAGAACTTATTTGTCTCACTAATGCTGGTACATGTATTGATGTGATAAAGTAAGTTTTTTAAATGTAAACTTTCATTGTGTGATCAAATGTAAGCAATAAAACAAAAATTGCATCTCCTGTGTTTAAATATGCTTTTATTGTAGCATTACATATATGGAATTAAGCTTCTTCAACGTTGGACTTAGTGAAAGTCAAGTTGCTGGGTGGATTCTCCTCCACATATATGAGAATCATCAGAACCATAGCCTATGAGCATGAAGAGCCAACCGGGTGCTTCACGCACTTGCCATCTCCGCGTTAGCCTTGGTGACTCCTCTCCATTATACCTCCTTGCTCTCTACACTACACAAAGCCTCTCTTAACAAATGCAGCTGTTCTGCAGTACCGCGTGCCAGCCTGGGCTTGGTCTACACCGGCAGAGCTATGTGTCGTAGCCAGCCATAGTTCATGGACCTCTTGGATTAGCGACTATGATAGTAGGGGCTTGGGTTCCTGTTCAGATCTAACCCAAGCTCCAGGCTGAGCAGTCCTAGATAAGTGATTGACGACTCATCTGCGGAATGAAAATAGTATGATCTACCCTCAGAGCACAGCTGAGAGGGTGAGTGAACCACTGTGGCATCCCTGAATTATAGAGAAAGCCTCTGGTAAATATTAATGGCAGTCGGCCTTGGGATCTAGTGTTCCCTGAAACCATTTAATGCCTTCAGAGAAGCTCTGTCACAGGCTCCACCTTGAGGAGACCTAGACACTACCTTCCTAATAAAGCACTAGATTGCCACTGTCTCAGCTGTGTAGTCCTAGGACAGTACACATCTCTGACCCTGTTCCCGCTGATACACTGAGAGTTGGGTACAAATGCTGCCCCAGGCCTTGCCCTATGACCCAGGTCCTGCCTCCTGTCATTTCATATGAACTGGTGAAAAGCAAGGTCAGGGTGTGGGGATAACCGTCTTTGTTGGGTTGTATTAGCCGTTAGCTTACACTGGAGCTAGAGAAAGCATTTACCCTTGGATGTTTGTCATCCTAGCATCTACCAACACCTAGATACCATGTGCTGCTGATGGAAAGCCATGTAGATCTCAGGAACCATGGAAAGCAGGCACTCAGACTCCCACACAATGGTTACTCCATGGAAGGAAGTATAAGGAGGGATTAGAGGACATGAAGTCAGGCAAGGGCCTTAGTAATCTTGAAGCCTGGGCCTAAGGGTAGTGATGGGTGGTTTCTCGTGGTGGGGATGCTGTTTGGCTGCTCTCCTAACAGTGGTAGCAAGTGTATCTGACCTGTACAGAAGCACAGTGTCTTCATTAGTCATTGACAGTCATAGGCAGCTGTACTCTCACTTTTTAACAAAAGAAAAAAGGTAGCTTCTGGATCTTAGAAAACAGAGCCCTTTCCTACATTGCCCCTGTCATCTCACCTTGGCGAGCTACTCACACCCCCATATGCCTGCAGAGCCAGTTCTTACACGACACAGGCCACATGACATGGAGAATTTATTGAGCCTCCGTAGCGAACTAGAGGGAGAAGAGAAATGCTGTCGTCAGCATTCATTCCTGGGTCACATTTGCTTGAGTTTCGGGAAGCTCATGGGTCAGAAGCTCCCTTGGAACTCCCGCTAAGGCTCCAGCGCATAGAGGACTGAGGGCCAAGGAGCTCACGCAGCTCAGAACCACTGGCATGCAGCATCTTATCTTCCACCAAGTGGCCTTGTCCCCTAGGGACCAGGTGGCTTCTCCAGAAATCTGCGTAGGCGCTCCATCTGGGGTGTGGCCTCCTCACTGTTCTCCTCGGAACTGGAGGCCGCAGAAGAGGCCAGGTTTCCCCCAAGCATGCCATCCTCACAGGACACAGGTTTGCCCTGGCACTCTCGTAGGTCTGGGGACTTAAGGCTCTGATCAAAGGAGGCGGAGGCCATACACTCGGCTGCCATCTGGTCACAGGCACACAGGAGCTTCTCACATAGGCTCTGCCCCACACCTTGGCAAGAGCAGAGGAACAGATGTGAGGCTTCAGGTAAGGTACTTACTTAAAGGCACTTGCCCAACCCCCAGCCATTCCCTTTGCCCGGCCCCATCTTGCACAGCCCTTCTGGTGTCTGGCACGCACTGTTCTAATGGTCTAGCCTGTTTTCCCTGTTAGAAATTAGCCCTTTGTGTTTCTCATCTGAGGCCAGTCTCCAAATTCACCTTGTACCCCAGTCATAGTATGTTTTTTTTCCAGCTCCTTGGTACTCCATAATCCCATGGAACACCCATGTCATCTCAAAACATGACATAAGCCCATTACCAGTCTCACCTCACCACCTATGGTGACACCCCACCCCCACCCCCACCCCCACCCCCCGCAGTTCTCTGGTCTTCACGGCAGTCTCTAGAGTAAATATCCTTAACAATGCTATCTTCCAGCCTAGAACCCAACTGTCCCACGTCCTTCTGCCTGCCTGATTGTGGACAGCATTTGTTCCTTCAGTGAAATAGAGAAGGTAATGGAGCTGCCTCCTAGGATTGGTGTGAGGGCTAAGTGTGCCTTTCAGGGCTTAAAGCAGCCGCAGCATGGCCTCAGTAAGCCCAGGCTACCGAAATCATTAATCAGCTGTGATGCTTAAGGCAGCTGAGTCCGGCTCTTGAACATGAGCCCCTCATCTATGGAAAGGGACGTGAAGGCACGTCTTGAAGTAAAGAACATGAGATCGCACAGATGAAGATATGCTAGGGGTAGTATCTAGAGCCCAGACGCAGCCGGCATACAGACATGAAAGCAGGACCCTAGGCAGCCTCCTCACTTACACTTGGCTGTGTGGTCCTCACACGCCACAGATGACCGAGAACGATTCCTATGCAGGCAGCCCAGTGGCCTCACCTGCTCCAAACAGCAGTGGTGAGACAAACAGCACCTAAGACCAAGGAAATCTTTTATTTCCCAGAGTTCCACCCTAAAACCACTGTGTCTACCTAGATTTCTACATTTTCTTTTATTTCTATTATGACTCTTGATGGCAAATACACTCATCATTGTTCCTTTCCAGCGGATGGGAGTGAAGGCTTTAGCAGGAAGGGTGCCTCTTTAGCTCGCACAAATGTTCCATGTCAGTACAATAACTCCATGCAACCTTCCATTAATAGAATGCTTAGCTTCATACCCATAAGTCACCCGTGAGACCCTCAACCTGAAAGAGTATGGAAGCCATGAAGCCCTGCGTGCAGCACAGGGCCTAGCGTAGGGCAGGACCCCAGCAAACACAAGTGAATGAGTCAGTCTCCTATGCTCAGATCCACCTGCCTGGCCTGACAAGTCAGGATCTCCTTGGCCAGGTGAGATCCACAGAACACTTGTGAAGGTGACAGTCAGTAGAGATCTACAAGGATTCGCTAGTGCTCCACTTTTAGCTGTCCACAGACTTTAAAACGAATTGGATAGCTAACGGGAAGTTCCAGGTCTAAGACAACTGCCCCACTTCCTTCCGCCTTACCGGCTGTGGGTATAGCTTGGTTCTCTGCGAAGTAGGAGTAATGAAGATGCCTCCTAGGACTGGTGTGAAGATCAACTGCGCCTCTCGCGTTCTCCCTCCTGGAGACCATAGCCCAACCAAGGCTGATCGTACTTGTAATCTGTCGTTACTCACACAGCAGCTTTACCAATTTTGTGGCCAGGCCAGAAGACCAACCCTACCTCACACACTCACATTGTCCAAGCTGAGGTCAATGTCTGCCCCATTTTCAGCCATCACTCCGAGGGAGCTGTGCTACCTTAGGTGTATATTTCCCATGGCTACGGGTTGGGGAGGAGGGTGGACATGAGCACAGTAGTTGCAATTTAAAGTCGGTGTCATTGGGAATCATAAGTGACCATGCAAATCACCTGTTCATGACTTCCTGAGTACATGGTAGTGAGATTATGTTCTTGCAGCAACGACAACGCCACCCATGGTTTCCATCTGTAGCTTTGAGTTCTTCCTGCAGATGATGGAAATCTATACCTACTCATTGTCCTAACCACTCACATTTCATATTTTGATAAAATAGGTCAGTGATCAGGAGGGACCTCCAAAATTGCCTCCATTTCCCCCCATGAGAATTAATGGGACACAGAGGCTGCCATTGGTTATGTGGAGGTCTTATTATCTCAGTGAAGAGTTGTGTGTACTCTGGAATCTTAATGTTTTCCATGCTCTCTCGTTGATGAGGGCAGGAGGCAGGTAGTGGAGCCTTATTATATAAACATACCTTTGATCGCACTGCATCTTTAACTGCTACAACTAAAATTTCAGTAGGGTCATCTGGTGGGGCGTTGCCCTTGACTTCCTCTACCAACAGCCTGAATGACTGACTGTTCAATAGAAAAGAGTAAAACACTAAGATGGGGTTGGTTGTATAGATGGGTGGATGGCTGGATGACGGGATGGGGAAACAGTCCAATAATCAGTCTTCCAGATTCTATCAACCACACTCTTAGAATATTCTTTCAACTCATGGTGTTTTGTCCTTGCACTTTTGCCTAATTACCTATCTCTTTCATTGTGTAATCTTCCATCGAGCATGAAGAATTTCTCTTTCGTTTAATTATAATCATTTTTTTGTTTCTCTACTACCTTGTTTGATGCTGGGCACACAACAAAGCCCCCAGAGATGTGGGCTGAATGGATGTATAAATCCCCAAAGAGTGGTGATTATCAAATTTAGCAAAAACAATGAAAAGTTGTTAAGATGACAGCTTTAAATGTCGCCTTCTCCTGAGTTAACCAAATGCAGATCCCTACTCTCTAGGTGAGCTATTGCACCAGAGGTCAATCTAGAGTCATTTCTTGTGTGTTAGCAAGCCAGACCTTCTAGGATGAAGGGTAGTCTGTGGTTGTAGTGAAACATCAGGAGATCTAATTCAGAGAGGTCAAGGGCACCACAAGAAAACCTACAGAATGAATTAACCTGGGCTTTTAAGTACTCACAGAGACTGAACCAACTGTCAGGGAGCCTGCATGGGACTGACATAGACCCTGTGCACATATGTTATAGCTGTGTAGCTTGGTCTTCTTGTTGCACTCCTGATAGTGGGAGCAGGGGCTGTCTCTGACTCTTCTACTGGTGTTCAGGATTCTACACCTCATACTGGGTCACCTGGCCCAGACTTAGTACACGGGGAGGTGCTTAGTCTTACTGCCACTTGATACGGCATGCTTTGTTGATACCCATAGGAGATCTGCCCTTTCCGAAACAGAAATGAAGGGGCGGATTGGGGAGTGGGAACATAGGAGGATTGAGGAGAGGGACTGGAAGGAGAGGAGTGAGAGGAAAATGTGACCGGGATGTAATGTTACAAGTCAATAAATACATTACAGTAAAGAATGGAGGGAAAGAGAAACCTCGCTCACTTTGACATGTCCCTTTCCTAAATGAGTGGCTAACTTCAGGGACTCATCAGGAAAGAGAGTCTGCCATGTTATCATGTCACTCTCAGTGAAAACCCATGCATAAAGGGAAGCCCCATGCAGATGAGGGCCCCTTCGGATGCTTGCAACCTCACTGCCATTTGTGGACCAGCCTTCCCCATCCATACCTATCCAGGGCATCCCTTGGCTCTCCTCTTCCTTCTCTTCCACAGTAGCAGCCATAAGATTCAAATTGCTCTGGGCAGTGGGATGTTAGACAGAAGAGCATCTCTCCAAGCTGCAGCAGGGCCTGCGTGCTGTCTCCATCACCCAGACGCAGGAAGGCCAATCTTTCACAGGCTAGTTAAGAACACAAACTCTCAGGAGAGCTGGGACAGTTTCAGGGAGGAGCAGTGGTCCAGCTGTATGAGAACTACTATGGGGGGGTCCTGTACCCGTACTCTTCTGGGCCTTGTTCTAGTTTCAGATAACAAGTCTTCTTCAGTTTGGCTTCTGTTTGCTGCCCTGAATTCCTTATTAAATCCTCATAAAGAAAGGGACATGTCAGGACCGAAGATACTCTGTGGGCCACACCCTATTGTTTAGAAGAGCCTAGAAGCCCGAAGGGTCTGAGCTGTATTCTTGGGTTTTCAGGACATATCATGTTAGCATACATGGTGGCCTTGTCTTTCTGGCTTTTATCACTCTGCTCTTGTCTCTCTGTCTCTCCTCATATCCTTCTACATCTGCCTACAACTTTCCCTACTGCTGTTTACGGACACCACAGGTTTGCCCAGATGAGTCCTACTCCCTGGTGTAGGTCCCTCTAGGACAGCATCCAAAGGGGGAGAGAAAGGATAATTAGTACCCAAGGGCTCCATCTTTCTAGTTAGCCACCCACAACACAATGCGAATTATAGCCAAGTTCCTGGCTTCTTCACCAGTAGAAGCAGAGTGATGCCAGGACAGAGCCAGGTGGAAGAAACCCCTGGTTCCTGCCCAGACTCAGCTTAATAGTAGCCGAGGGGCAAAGGTAAGTGTTGAGGCCTTGAGCTGCAAAGAGCTTGTCTAGTAAGGGGTGTGGGGTGTGGATGCCTTCTAGTTGCACCTATAGGCAAGGTCACAACCTGTAAGGTACCCTAAAAGGCTTGAAGATCACAATCTCTATGTTCTGTTAATGGCTAGATGTTAAGATTTTAAGGACAGAGAGGTCAGATCCTCCTGGATGCTGGCTCTCACCTACCTTTCCCAGTTGTCTCCTGAGAGCCATTGTCAACAGATGATACTTCCAACCTCAACGTTTTAATGCCAGCAGGGACATGAGTTGCACCTTCAGCTCTGTCAACAACCTCTGCAGACCCTGTAGGTATACAACTTGATGGTTCAGACTTACAGAGTCACCCAGAGATGCACATGTAGTCAGGGTTGCATGGTCAAATGCAAGTACAGACTCTGAGAACAGACATGTAAGAAAAGTGTATCTCACACTGTACTCGCAGGCACAAGGGTGGGCTCTTAGAGACTTGTGTATTCTGCATAAACGTCTCTGAGTTTCCAGACTGAACACTTCCAGGAACCTGGGCCACACCACCTCCATGTCTGGTAATGGATGAGAACTGTGGTGATCTTTCAGGCCTGAGGTTGTATTTATTATGTTTACAATTGCACACCTGCCGCAGGATCCCTCTAGATGCTCACAGTGAGTAAAACGGCGAAGAGAAGAAGGGCAGAAAAAGTAGGGCTCCATATGGCAAGCAGAACTCCCACTTAAGTCCTTGAACCCTTGATCTTCTTGTTCAAATACTGCAGCTGCTTCTCATCATATTCAAGAATATGTCAAGGTCTTTCCTGCAACTTTTCAGGCTGCCTGATTGCATCCCTTGTCCAGTGAAGCTGCTTGGGGCAAAGCATGGTAGTTTGAAAGAGAATGGCCCCCCGCAGGCTCTTGTTTCAACACTTGGAACGATTTGTGGACCGGTTAGAAGGTGTGGCCTTTAAGAGGAGATGTGTCACTGGTGGCAGGCTTTGCTGCATCAGCACACTAGTACCTTCTGCAGGTAGCTCTGTCTCCTGCTTGCAGTTTGATGTGTGAGCTCTCAGCTACTACTCCCTCTCTGCCATTATGGACTCTAAGCCCTCTGGCATAGTAAGCCCCAAATAAACTCTTCCTTCTATAAATGTTCTTGTTTATGGTGTTTTATCACAGAAATAGAAAGTAACTCATGCATGGGACTACTAGAAAATACCTTAAATATCCAAAGTATCTGTTTTTACATAATGGAATGATGATAAGTAACTTAAAATGAGGAACTAAATGTAATTTCATAACTACAGCTTCACTTTTCTTCCTGCTACTGAGACTTTTAATTCTACGTGCGTACTTACTTTGTGGAGGGATAGAGACATGTTAGGTTCCATTCCTCTGTCTGGGGCTGGGTCTGAGGCTCATTTAGCACACATTGGTTTCACGGTCTTACACATGCAAAAGGTAGGGAGAGCCAAGTGTGCTTACCTGGACTTGATGTGGTCCTAGCAGCTTCCACACCTTGAAGAGCTTGGACAGATTCTGCCCCTAAGGGAAGACAAAGAGAATGAGTATCAACCCCAGCCTATGTGCCTTGGTCTCCAGAGACGTAGCACTAGGCCCAGACGGAACTGGCCCTGCCCACTCTGAGATTTCCCAGAACAGCTGGTGCTATCAGGGTCACTAGGGGACCAAAGTGAGCCTCCAAGCGTGCTTATTGGCAAAGGCAGTAGCAGTTTGCAAGGCAGGGGGAAAATGCAGAAAGGCCACTGGTGAGACTGGATTCTGCAGAATCTGGAGGGGGAAAGTACTGAAAGAAAAACTAATCGTGTGTGTGTTTTAAACAGAGTGGCAAGCAGTCTAGAGGAATGGAATTGCATGCTGCAGTCATTGCATGCTGCAGTCATTGCATGCTGCAGTCATTGCATGCTGTGGTCGGCTCTAGGAGAGCAGTGGGGCTGTGGGTTTTTGTGAGCCAAGTCCTTCTTAACTCTTACAAAGCTCCTACTGTGTTCCAAATGATATAACAATAAGGGCTTTGTTCTTCTGACTCCCTTAATGGCAGCTCAAAAGTAGGGGTGTCCTGCTCACCCTCTTGAAGAGAGGATGAGAGAGAGACAGGAGAGTTAAGACACTCCTCAAAAGTCACTAAGTCAGATAGGTAGGATGCAAAGCCAGGCCAGGGTGGGACTAGGGCGTACGCTGCCTTCACATTTCACTTCCCACTGTACCATAAAGACAGCCGGTGACTAAAGGAACGGGGAGTCTGACTTCAGGTTAACGTTCCCGTGGCGCAAGACAACGATAGATAGTGCTGAATAAAGCCTTTAGGCTCTGAGGCTGACTGCTGTGAACATCTGGCCTATCCTCTGCTCTGGCTGCCTGGTCTTTTCAAAGCAAAACCTACCAGCTCAGACCCAAGGAGATCTGAACTGACACATCCTGGGTGAGTGACCCCACCCACCCTCAGAGTGCCTCTGTCATGGGACAGGGGAGAATTTAGAGTGGTGTCTAATGCCTGCACACTGGAGACCTTCCGTGATAGCACTGTCCATCGATCGGGGTCCATCTACTTAACCATTCTCAGTAACTAGCAAACAATTGCTGTCGGCTACTTACACTCATTAATAAAGACATTGATGCTGATCACCATGAGCGTGTCTGGTTAAGCCAGATTCACCAACTAAAATTTGGCCTAGGTATTTTTAGGTTTGGTGGTCATGCTGGCTGGCATTGAATTTAGAGCTGAGGGAGGCCAGGTCACCAAGCTTTTCTGGCTGAGTGACAGAAAATTTAAGATTCCTGTGCCCCAGCGTCCTGCATACTCTGTGAATGCGCACCGCACTTCCTTCCCCTGGGGCCCCGTGTGGTAGTAGCCACTGGACAAGAGCAGTAGAGCAGTTGTATTTAGGCGGCATCTCCACCCTGCCAAGCACTGCCTTCTTGGATGTTTCCTCTGCTCACCTGTCCTGGATAGTGTCGTCAGTCTGTCTGCTCTCATCTCACCAGCCACTGTGGAAAGGAGACCACACTGTGTTACAAATCAGGCTAAGCGCCCGAGCTAATCCTATGTTCAGGGAGACAGACTGGGAGTAAGGACCCCGAAAGGGGGAAATAGTGGGTGCTTGGAAGGAGGGCTCTGTAGAGGGACTGCATTGAGAGAGGTGTATATTTAGTATGCCTACTAAGTTTGGATTTCAGATGAGCGACATGTAAACTCCTGGCATATGTGGAGCCCAAGCAAGACTTAGAGGGCTTACTGAAGCATACGTGCCATTCATGTGGACAAGCTACAGTTGTGCATCTAAACAAGCCTGCAGCATCGCGCCTCCAGTCCCCCATCGGTGAAGACGGGGGGGGGGGGGGGGGAGAGCTGAGAGAGTAGAAACAGGTGCTTCGCTTAGGAGGGACCAGCTCAGTAGCTCCAGAATTATGGAACTACTCGGCTCCATAGTAAAGTGGACATCTGGGGGAGCTGACGTCATCTAACCAGTGTGGCTCAGATGAGACAAGGGTGGTTGGGTCCCATGTTCCTTGACACTTCTCCTGAGAGGGCTATGTGACGGGTGTCTGTGGGCTGTTCAGGAACCCCTGGGGAAAGCCTCCAACAGCCACGGCAGCTCAATACACTGTCAAAATGAAACCTCGGGGGGGAGGTGGGGGTCTAAGATGGGCAGTCTGAGTACCGCGGGGTCAAGGAAGGTGTCTATGAAAGGTGTCACCAGGAAGAGCTCTCTGTTCTAGCAGAGGGCTCCTCGGATATCTCCCTCATCCAGGGGCATAGGCTGCTCAGCATTGCCCAACTCAGGAAGAAACAGGGCCACTGCTGGATTCTGCCTGGGACACGGGGGGGGGGGGGGTATGGATCCTGAAGGTGCCTCACGGTAAAAAAAAAAAAAAAAAAAAAAAAAAAAATATATATATATATATATATATATATATATATATATATATATCCTTGCCAAGAGGGCAAAGCTGAAAGAACAGAAACCCTGAGAGTACTGAGTGTAGAAGATGCGCAGAGAAACATGTATGCACACACATTCTTATGCACACCCCCACATTCATACAACTGCACCCACATACCCATGCATACACATACGTACACTCACACCTATTCATGCACTGTCTATGACGCACATATGGTATCTTCATACACACACACTCCCCACATTACCCACACACATATACACCAACACACACCACACACATATACACCAACACACACCTACACTTCAGCTTTCTCCTTGACAAAATCACACAGTTGACTCTGGGGAAGAGACCTAAGCCCCAAGGAAAGGACAGATGAGACAACCTAAGTGACTTGGGGTCCATCCCAGGCGCCTAAAAGTATAGCAAGCAGGCAGCATAGGAACTCTGATGAACTAGGAATGGCAGCCATAAGTTTGGCTTATTTTTTCCTAAGACCCAAATTTTAGAGTAAGAATTATCAGTTATTAAGAGCCCCCCCCCAAGAGGATAAAAAAAAAATCTCCTCCTAAAAGAGGCTGTGCCTTCTGCTCAAGCTCTGGGGATATGGGGGCAAGGAGAAGCATGGTCCATACCAGGCTGGCTTCAGTAGCCAGGAACACAAGTAGTGGGAACCCTATTCATCTGAGCTTGAGATGCTGCCCGAGTTCCATTGTGCACCAGACCTCTGACTATATGTACAGAGAGAAAGAACTTGGGATATATACCCTCATTAGATTAAATTCACATCCACCCACCAGCAGGGGTAGAGTTGGCACTGGAGCCTTTTGATTCTGGTTATTGGTATTGGTCTCCTAGCCAATGGAGGCAGTGTCATGTTAACAGTGGCTTCGGCCCACTGGAGGAGCCGGTTGCTACCACAATGGTTCCTCCGTAGTCCAGAAAAGAACTTTACCTCTAGGTAGCACTGTTGCTGGGGCTTTGATGCTGGTTGTCTCTGCAAGGAAACACATGGGGAGGCACACAGAGCAGTTAGCAGGGCTGTAACTGACATAGGACACCCAGCCACACTGGGTTCCACTGCAGACCCTGCCCACTGCTCAGTCCCATCGCGGGGTTCAGGCCTGGTTGTCCCACCTGGAGTTTGAGCCAGGCAGAAGGAAGCATCCAGAAAATTCAGGGAAGAGTTGATGCCAGACTGAACCAAGCACTCAACAGCAACCTTGTCACAGGCACACAGTAGGCGCTCGCAAGGATCCTCGGACTCTGCGTACAACAAGGGCACAGCAAGGTACAGAGCTCAAACTTGGAATCCCAACGGGCAATGGTGGCCCCAACACAGGGCTCTTGATTTGTCCTGTCTAAAGTTGCCCCCGCCCTGTAATTTTCTAGCCATGCTGTCACCTCTTTGGTTTAGTGGAAGTATCTCGTGAGTCCTACTCACACTATGTATCTTGCACGCCCAACCCACCAGGCTGTTGTCCTAGCTCTACCTGTATCCACTTTGGGAGCTGCCTACATCCCTGCATACTCTCTATCACCCTTTCCTGCCCATTCATTCCACTGCACCCCCCCCCCCATGTTAGTTTTCCCATTTCTTGCCAGGAAGGATCCAGAATAGGTCAATGGCTAGGATGGGATGAGGAGAGTGTCTCAGTGGCAGAGAGCACTTATCTAGCACACGAGAGGCCCTGGGTTCCATCCTTAGGGATACAACATGTAAAGATTTTTAAAAAAAATAAAAAACCACTTTAATCGAAGCATGTCTGTTGGTTCAGAATGCCTCGCTGACTTCCCAGAGTCACCTCGGAAGTGTGATGTGATTGTCCCTGCCCACCACCTCCTTTTCTCCTTGGATGTCACCTTTTACACACTTCTTACCACTTCTTTCTGTTCCCCACTCCGCACTGGATGGCTCAAGTCTGTCCACGTTCTGCTTGGCTACTCTTCTCCCACACAACCATTAGGACTGTTAGCTTCTATTTTTACACAAAGAAGTATCTAATGCTCTTCCCGCTTAAACAGAGTGCCACCCAGCCCACCCTGCACCCTCTTCCTGGCCTTGTTTCCTCCATACTCCTGTCAGCATCTAAAATATTTGCCATGTTGGACTACCGTGGTTTGACTGTGAAGAGAATCCCACATGTACTTCATCACTTGGTCCCCAGATGATGGCACCATTTGGGGAGACTGTGCTACATTTAGAATGTGGATCCTTGCTAGAGGAAGCAGAACACTGGTTGGATGGTTATTGGGGGTTTGTTGGGGGCCACTGTCCTCTAGGTGTGAGATGGATGTTTCCATATTGAAATTAGAGCAACTGTGATATCCACACGAGACCTTCACAAGATTAGACTCATCAAATCCTACCAGAGAGAAAGAGAAGGAGGGCTCATGAAGCCATGAACGAGGAGCTCACAAGGTGAGAGTCTTGGGAAGGCTAGCTGCTACAGGGCACCCTGTCTCTGCCCACAAGGATAAGGAAGCAGTCAAGAGTTGCTGGGTGAAGGGGGCAGCTTCGGTAGAATACCTGTAACTTCACCATGTACCTGCAAAACCCCAGTTAAATTCACTGGTTCACCAACTAGACTTGAATGGATTGTTCTTGGGTCTGTTGTTGGTGCCTTGCAGGGGTGAACAGATGTCCGTCCCCTCCCCACCCCAATTAATGCAATAAGGAAATAGGCTGGCCCTGCTTCTAGCCCGAGTGCTCTGCCTTCAGGCTGGTGTCATATAACTAACTGCTAAGCTCTCCTGATGCCCCGGCAAAGATCCTCCACTCCTGTGTCTCCCCCACCACTGTGAACTCTATAGTCTGACCCAGGAACCAACTTAAACCATCAGATACTCTATCAAGGGTATGAGAAAAGTAACTAATGCACTGACCATCCAGAGACACGCCCAGAAGGTCAGGAGACACACCCCACATGGATGCAGCTGTCTCATATGGGGAGATGCTAAGTCCCAGGGTACATGGATGAACGGCATTTTCCACGTCCACTGGCTTCACCCAGGCTGCTCCCTCTACCTTCTGTTACTGTTCCAGGCTCTACCAGGCTTAGTCCCTGGATTTAGGATTTGCTGGGGGCTTGGTTCAAAGCCTGGCTCTGCAGCTGAGCACTTCTGTGACTTTAGCTAGGCTGTTTAATTTCTCAGAACTTTCCTATTCTTGTTTGAAAACTGAGAACAGTGGAGCTCATCTAACAGATTGTTGGGATAGAAGGTCAGAGCTGCTGCACATGAAGATCAAGGTCAGCAGCAGGCACTCAAGAGACTGGCTCAGTCTAGCAGCTCACCATGTTCTCCATGCCTTTGTCTATCCAGCTGCTTCTAGGGCTACTCAGACATGTGAATAATATTCCTAGGGTCACGTGGTAAACAAGGTGCTTACATAGGAGCTATTCACCTGTCTTTTATAGAGAGCAGCCAACCCCCCCCCCAGGCTTGACCACTCACCACTAATCCTATATCCACACGTGACAATGAGTCCTTACTATACACCAGCCACTGTGGTAACCATTTCTCAAACAGGCTTAATTTAATTTCCATAACCTCTCTTTAAAAGGAGGCTTTGTCTTCCCCATTCTGTGATTAAGAAGTTAAGGAATGATTTCATTGTTATGTGCATAAATAACAAACTATTTGCCACTTACAAACTTCTATAGTCACAAGTATAAATAAGTTATAAATCAGATATTCCAATAAACCATTGCTTCCATCACACAAAAGCATCCATTGCCCATTAACTACATGTGGACCACAAATGTATCAATCAACTAAGTACCAATCGTGACACTGATGATGATGGTGTTGACAGTGTTGGTGGATCCCACATGGGCCACACAATGGTCCCTTCATGCCTCTGCTCAAGGAGGCCTGAAAATGCTTACCACATGTGATCTGTTTGTTGACACAATCCACATCTGCACTGAGCTTGGCAGGGTCCTGGAGACAGTCCATTTCTACAGCCTCCTCATAGCACCTACGATGCTGGAAGCAGCAGCTGAGGCAGGACAGGCAGGATAAAAGGAGATAATGGTTAGGGCAGAGACAGGCAGGAAGCCTGGGATCATCCTGAAGTCTTGATGGTACCTGGTAGTGATCTGTTTACACACACATACACACACACACACACACACACACACACACCATGCCACCTGCTATCTTACATGCTTCAGATGGAAGTGTGCATCACCTCTGCCCCACATGCAGGATTCTGTAGCCAAGGCATGGCCCCAGATCTCAGATAGAGAACATGGTGTGAAAATGGCTCAGGGAAGGTAAAGATGGGCTTATACTAGCTCTTGTCTGGACACTGGTTCTGAATGTTACTTTTGCTGTCGTCACCGCGTTCTGCATCTATCTGAGCCAATATTAAGAGCAGCGGTTAGGTGTTTCTCTCCTTCTGCCTGGGCCATTCTGCTTGGCCTCACACAGGAGCTCATTTCTCTAAAGAAATCGAATTTGCAAGGGGGCAACTCTATTACTTGCTGAAAATAAGCAGTGACAACAAAGCCAAGGCCATTTTGCCAGGTCACTTCATATTCCTAAATAAAGACACCAACACTGGAAGTCAGGTGTGGTGGAACCTGCACTGGAAGATCACAAGTTCAAGACCAGGCTGTCTAAGAAACTCCGGTGCAAGAAAGACAAAGAGGATAAGAACGAAAAGAAGTATATGAAGAAGAGAAGAGGAAAGGAAGGATATATTGATGAGGAGGAGGGGATGGCAGTGGATTAACCTTCAAATGATCCGGATTAAGGTGAGAGGGATCCCAGCAGCTATTCAGAAGACAGAATGAGGCAGGTTACCAGTCAGTGAGCCCGAGAGCCTTCCACTTTTTGTGTGTGGGTCTCTGTGTGAGATGCACAAGCTCTCTTACAGCACAGGTGGTTCCTAAATCGCCAGATGACACTGTCACTAGAAGGTTCTCACAGTGCAATTGGAGTCAATAGAGAACAATGCAAGAAAGAAAACAAGGAGAGGGTAGATGACCTTGCATACACTTTTCCCCCTATCCTGCCTGAGGCAGATTCTTTGGATTAAACAAACAAACAAACAAAAAGACAAAAACAAAACAAAAAACATCTATTTCAATTAACAACAGCAGATGTTTTGGGACTTTAGTGTGTGAGTCCAATGAAGAAACAACTATCTTCCAGCCTATTTGGAAACACCCACTCCACTGACCAAAATGTGCAAAGTAACTGAAATTAGATTCAGCTCACCATCCCACCAGTGTGTGGACACAGGTCCATTGCTAATTCCTTCTGGGTAGGAGACAGTGATGAATTACTTCTTTATTTGATTTCTAGGTTTCTTGAGTGTTCAAAGAATTAAAGGAAAAGGCACTAGGGATTCGACAGGAAAATGTGTTCCCAGGAATGACCCTGGCCTCACATGGTCTGAAGAACCAGCCCTTTCCCATCTCTACGTTGACTATCTGATGCTGGGTTCTAAAATGGAAAACTAGCTCTGTTGTTCAAAGGCAACTTATATCTTCTCCTGCCGGTTTGACAAGGTGGGGATAATTGTTTGCTTAAATGTAAATGTATTATTGTTTGTCAACCAAGAATGTATCCTTTTCAATTCATCTGTTTTTAACTTCTGGAAAGCGTTGGAGGTTGTCTCCTCCTCAGTCAGTGGGGTCACTAGTTCTGGGAGTACAAAAAAAGGGTATTCATCCTCTCCTTAGGAGACAATGAGGGGAGTCCAGAGACAGACCCATGCTCAGACTTGTCTGTGTAGCAAGTGCAAGAAAGAGAAGCTCAGAGGTTTTGAAAGCAAAGAAGAAAGACAACCAAACAGGATACCCTTTAAGGAGAAATGTCAGGGCAGGTATGAGCTGTCTAATATGGGAATTCCATAGAGATCCCTTCCTACCTTCTCTGAGCCCACATACACAAAAGAATGCACATGTCTCGTGGCCTTGGGCACAGGATAATGCCCATGGGATAGGGTATTATTCTTGGAGTAGAGTTGAGATCTGTCTGGTCACTTTCTGATGCTGCTGCTGCTGCTGCTGTTGCCATAGTTACAGCCACTGTTGCTACTGTAATAGCCCTGTTCTTCCTATGTTATGGCTGATGCTATTGCTACTATTACTCCGGTATTATAACTGTCAGTATTGATGCTACTGCAGCTACTTTGCTACAGCCATTGCTACTACCATCCCTACTGTCACTGTTTCTATGAGTCCAGTCTTGCCTCCATGGTTACTGATACTCTTGAGCTTCATAACCCGGTACATAACGCCTTCATCTTATATTCAGTCATTTAATCTGAAATAGTGACTCTGAAGTAGGTTGTACAATTACCTCCATTTTTAAGGTAAAGAAAGTGGAGTACAGACAAGGTAAGTAAAGTCCATAAGGAGCAGAGAACAGGAATGGTCATAGGTAACGGTCCTTGAATTTGAACACAGCAACAGATTTCCCAAATCATTCAATGGCTCAGCTGACCCTCCTATTCCCATGCCTCTTGACCACCCCCTTGATTAAGCTTGCTTAACGTTTTTAGCGTTCAAATGCCATTGCCAATCTTGGTACTTCGTTTCAATGTGCGCTTTCCTTGACCGTGGGGATGGAACACATCTTCAGTAGCCATGTAAATTTTCTCATGTTTCATACTAAGTCAGGAGTAGTGTTATGGTTATCTCAAGCACAGAATCCATGTATTGTTATTTTCATGCTTATTGAAGGTTGAATAGCAACCTCTGTGATTGCTTTTTGTCTAGTAGGCAGAAATGCACTGGATAAGGCTGGGGTCTACCTACATGGATGCTGAGTTGATAGGCTGGGTTGGGCCCCAAGAATCTGCACTACAAGAAGGATCTTAGTGGTTTTAATGCAGGGATCCCCATCTTGAAGTAAGCCTGCAGTATAGTTTTGCCATGACAGAGCCTCTTGGGAAGCATCTGCAACAGCATCCCTAGTTACGCTGCACTGTGGAGAGGTGAGTACCAGTTACCTTGCAGTAGGTAACGGATTAGGTCTCTCCTGAGTCTCCTCTCCCAGGTCACTGTCTTTATTTGTTCATCCAGGGTGTCACTAGGCTGCAGTGAGCTCACCTGTAGCACCTACTCACCTGTCAGACTCATCCACAGGCAGCCCTTCCATTTCAAACCTGCAGGCACAGCCATAGTCTTCGAAGTCCCTAGGACAGAGGCCAGCCACACACCTCATGCTGTTCACAAACTGCAGCATCAGAGGAAAGTTGGTGAAGACGGCCTGCAGCCAGGTGAAGTGGGAGCCCAGACAGTCTGTGGGTGGGGAAAGCAGGTCAGGGCAGGAGGAGCTCTGTGCCCTGGCCTTCCTGCACCTCAGGCTGATGTGCGGCCAGTGCAAAGTTCCCAGGAAGGTCAGCCCGGGCCTTAAGTTTCTGAAGGAATGTCACAACTGTTCTCAGCTGGTGACTATAAGCCTGCATGTGTTTTCATGCCAGTGACTGGGCTCTGAGGACATCCCCCAGGTGTGGCTGGAAAACACTTAAGAGGAAGTCTGTCAAAGACTCCTAGAAGTTATTTGTTTCCTAATATTGAAATAAACACATGGGAAGGCCCATTTGGGGCTGAGACGATAGCCCAGCTTTTAGTGTTTGAACCCTCAGAATCCACATGAATGCCAGGTGGGTGTGGCAGTTCCCATTAAGTCCAGCCTCAGAAGGCAGAGCCCACAGGTTCTTAGAGCAAACTGAGTAGCAGGGGTGGCCCTATTGCTGAGCTCTGGGTTAAGTAAGATTCCCTGAGTAAAGAACAAGACAGGGAGCAATCGAGGGAGAACTCACACATGGACACTGGGTGTCCACAGACATGCACACATTAAGAGGAGAATAGCTCCTTTTGAGATATTCTTTTCTCTCTCCTTGAATTTGTCTCATAAAAAGCTGCATGGCCAGTAGTGAAGAAGGAGGGATACGTAGGATTTCCAGGCAAGAAGAGTAAGTAGAAGGAAGAATTTAGGGAAGAAAGAAAAGACATCATGGAGATACTAGGAACCAGCCGAGGAATCAAGAAAGTAGGGCATACAGAACGAAAGAAAGGTAAAAATCCTCAAAGAAAATAAAACATAGATGAATAGAAACTGGTTAAATGAAGTTCAAAGGGGAGCTAATGGGACAAGCCTAAGCCAAGGCCAAGCATTCATAATTAGCAATATGTCTCTGTGTCTTCATTTGGGAGCTGGTTGGAGGCTCAAAGAAAAAAATCAAACTCCAATTTCAGATTTCACTTACCAAAAATTTCAGCCACACTTTCCACATTTTTAAACACCCCATTGAAGAATGTGGTATCTGGGTGGAAGGAAGACAAATATGAATTAAATAGTCTTGGCTTGGCCTCTCTTTCTCTTTCTACCCAGAGATGTCAAACCTTTTATCTTTTTCTGTGAACAAATTTGACCTTAAGCTGACTGTATTGTAATATGGATTTCCATGGAAACAAATACAGATGAAATTTGAGCAATATTCCTAGGCAACATTGTTCAGTTATTAAAAACAAAAGCAATGGCTTCTGGGTGGTATAGCATGTTTAACCTGAGAGAAGCCCTTTGGAGGATAAATGATGGTACCACACCATTGCCCATGGACATACTATTTAGGGTATCCACTAGGGAAATGTACAGTTATGAGAGTTACCACAAGATAGGGACTCAATGCCCCCTTCCTCACAGAACAACCATTGGATCAGAACTCTGCAGTGTATCATCCATTTCTTTCTTACCAGGAAGCCAAGAGCACATTTTAAAATTATTTTTCTTCTTTGAGATAATTACATAATTGCTCTCTTCCCTCTCCTCCTTCCTTGTTCTCTTTCAAATTCAAGGCCACATTTTTCATTAATTGTCACATGCAACAATTGTGTTTTAACGCAAAGACTTAGCCCCCACATTAGCCCTCAACATCAATGCATTTACTTTCTATCCTGGTTCCCAATTTCCACTGGAATCCGGCACTAAGGCATGCATGAGTCAGCAGAGGAGAGGCTGGAAAGATGCTTTGAGTACCTCTGAGTGACTACCTGCTGGCTCCAGGGCAGTTAAGGTCTTAGTATATGTTCAGAGCAGGCTGCTGCCTCTGCCAATAACCTAGACAACATTTCACTTAGTTTCTGCGCGTAGGTCAAAGGATTCTTACTGATAGTTTTTGACAGTCCTGGAGGCAATCCCTGTGGGTTTGGGGTGTCGAGAGCATGGCCGCCTGGAAGTAAGTCAGAGACAAAGAGAGTAAGGTTAGCACAAACGTTCTACTACCTCTCCCTAAGCTAAGGTGTAAATCAGGAAGACAGTAAAGACACCCCCCCCATTCAAACCCACACAGGGTTCTATAAAAACAGGCAGTGTGCTCAATGCAGTCTAGGTAGATCTCAGGAAATAAAGAGGTGTTGTGGATACGCTGGGGTTTCTCAGTGGTTGACCTTAGTGGTGGCATTCTGACTGGGGAGGAAGGGACCTGGAAACTGGTTGATTGTCCTTACCTGAGAGGCTACAGTGTTGTTTAAATGACAGTTGTTTGGAGGCTTCTTGAGAAAAAGCACTAGCAGAACAAAAGCGGGCACACGGTAGAGACCTCAGCTCCCAAGGAACTCATAACTGGGACAAGACCACCCCCAACGATTAGCATCCGAATTTGTTTGCTACAGATCAAACAATCTGATGTAGAACTGGCTCAGTTTTCATAAATTCTTCAGGTGACTTTGAAGTTAGAAGCCTTGCCTTGAACCATGCTCTCTAGAGGAGTATAACAGAATTGAGTGGGCACCATCTTACCCATTCCAACATGGAAGAAACTCGGGAGAACCTGGGAATATGGAATAGGATTGGCCACAGACCATCCTCTGAATTCTCAGACAGAAAGCTTATGAGCTCTCTGATACTATCATGAGACTAAAAGGTGTGTGTGTGTGTGTGTGTGTGTGTGTGTGTGTGTGTGTGTGAGAGAGAGAGAGAGAGAGAGAGAGAGAGAGAGAGAGAGAGAGAGAGAGACCTTTGTGGGGGCATATGCAAGTGAGTGCAGTTGCCCACAAAACCCCAAGGCATCAGACACTCTGGAGCTGGGGTCACAGTCAATGCTGAGCCAAAAGATGTAGGTACTGAGAACGCAACTTAGGTCTCTGCAGAAACAGTATGGTGTCTTTCTCATTATTTCTGTATTTACTATTTTTCGAAGATTCCATACACATTTAACTGCTGAGCCATCTCTTTAGCCCCCGTCACTACATCTTGGTCTTTGTTCATCAAGTTGACAGGGATGCAGTCAGGCTTGCCAGTTTGTCACTGTTTGGAAACCTCATTCATCCGAAAGCTGTAAGAATCAGCCCTCAAGAGAAGCATTCGGGGATTGTTCTGTTCAGGAAGATGCCCTGGCTGGCCCTCTGCTGTGGTGATATATTGCTTATGAATTATTAAAGCCACTGAAGATCAAAATAGCAAAGCAGCCACACTAGTAAACTATAGAAGCTAGGAGGTGGTGGCACACACCTTTAATCCCCGGACTCAGGATTAAGAGGTAGAGGGATCTCTGTTAGTTAAAGGCCACACTGACTACACAAAATTCATCCAGTCTTAAAAGAAACAGCTCACACATAGATGATCTCAGCACCTGCGATCACACATCTTTAATCCCAGCACTAGGGAGGTGGAGACAGAAGGGATATGACTGAGCAGAAAAAGGAATATAAGGAGGAGGAGGAAGCAGGATCTGAGAGCCTTTTGTCTCTGAGGATTCATGGGGACAGGATGGCCATTTCAGCTGGGTAGAGTTAAGAGCTACTGGCTTGGCTGCTTTGCTTCTCGGATCTTCAACTTGAAGCTTGAACCCCCATATCAGTCTCTGGGTCTTTTATTTTTCATGCTACACTTGGTTTCATTCTTGTTTGGGCCCTGCTTGGCTCAGAAAAGGGGTTGGGGAGTGTTCAGGCAGAGAGGGAATGCCGGATGTTTAAGCTTATCCCATTGAATGACAGCAGCAGCAACAGCAGCAGTAGTGTGTGTGTGTGTGTGTGTGTGTGTGTGTGTGTGTAAAAATACTACCAGCAAAAAAGAGAAAGGCTCTGTCATTCTCCTCTCTCTCTCTCTCTCTCTCTCTCTCTCTCTCTCTCTCTCTCTCTCTCTCTCTCTCTCTGGCAGTACTGGGGATCAAACCCAAGGACTCAAACAGCTGGGAAAGCCCTGCACCCCTGAGCTACATCCCCAGTCTTGACCTATTCACCTATTCACCGCTTTTATCAAGACTGCATTGCCTGTACAATGCCTCCATCTCAGCCGCCTCCATCTTAGGCTCCTGCAATGCTTCGATTGCAAGTGTGAGCCACCACGTCCAGATCATCACCTGAAAAGCCTTGTTCCCCTGATCACCCCTCACCTAAGATTTGAGGGCTGGTGCTTCCAATGTCTTCTCATTTACAGTCTTAAAAGCCTGACTGAGGGAGTGACTAGTTATTGTTCCTAGTCAGCTGTCCTGTGGCTTTGAGTGCACTTAGGCTCCCTAGCCTGCCTGATTTTCACCTCTGAGGATAGAACATGGACTTTTCCAGAGCAGAGGTCATTGCCCTCGATTTCCTGCCTGTTCCATTGATGACACCTGCTGATGGCAAGAGGAAGCCAGGAAGCATGATTAGCAGATAAGCAGCACTGAGTCCACAGGGGCTCTCTGAAGAGGACCTGGACCAGCAAAGAGCTTTTCAGGTAAGAAAGAGGTAAACGGGACTGAGCTAAGCTATAGATAATTAGGGGTACTGGAGCAGGCTGGTAGAAGTGGGACTCTGTTCCCCCGGGCCTCTATACCCTGTCTACAGGATCTCTGCCCATTCTTCCCACAATGTCCGGGGCATTGCATCATGTGTGGTCTCTGGCAGATATCCCTGACTTGTCTCAGTCTGGCTGAGCCTGCTCGTCACACAAGGCGCAGTTCAAAGAGCACCGTGCAAAAGACTCTCCTCATTCTGTCCAGGAGTCTCTGCGTTCTTTGCCCAGTTTCTGCTCTTCTGGCCTCCCAGCCCTTAACTTTGGCAGCTGTAGTCTCTCCATGGCAATTCTCGAGGCTTCTTTCTGCATGTGCCTTTACAAAGCTACTTACTGTGGGTCTCCTGAGGACAGGACCCTCCTCATGGCTACTGTCCCATGGCCTAGTGCCCCCTGAACACACTTACATTCTACTCATGTCTTCATGTGGGTGAGGGGAGACTGTGAAGGTTGGCTTGGAAGGGGATGAGTTAGGAGGCCCAGAAACCAGTCTGCCTGGGGGGGTGGCTGTATTCATCCTAGACAGCAAAGCTGCAGACCCTCACTACTGCCCAAGGCTGTAAACACGTCTCTGCAGGCCTAGACAGAGAAGGAAGTAAGAGGAATCAGCTTGAGGCTGGCCATCAGGGAAAGAGCAGTGCAGACTGCAGGATAAGGGAGATCTGGGTCACAGTGAGAGATGTGACTCGGAGAAATGGGACCCCTACCCCAACTGGAACCTTTTAAAATGCTGCTGCCAATCTGAATTATTTACCTAAGAGAACATTCCAGGGTTAGACTACTGGTTTGAATGTAAAATAATCATGTTTTGCCAGCTCCAGAAAACAAGCTTGTAGAATGTCATTAGTTTAGGCAGTGGAAAGAAAGGTGTTTTGCTGTGAGCCCTGGGCAGATCTCTGGGGCTGTCAGTGGGCTGCATGCAGGGGAGCTGCGGGTACCATCTGAACATCCATCTTCTAGGCTGTGTGAGTGGTTTCCATGGAGAGCAGATTTCTTCCTGTCTGGGAATGATAGCCTTTGGGGGTTGGCAGTGTCCTGCAAAGCATAGACTTGCCAGGCAGGAGAGATGCTCAGGGCTTCCTTTCCATTTACATCCTTGTCTTAGACCCTGAGCAAATTCCTCGGCACAAAAGCATTTGGCATAATCGCCAAACCTGCTGCTTCCTCTCGCAGAGACTGTGGAATGCTGACGCCAATTGATGACATCTTTCCTGTGTCTTCTGCTCACGCACGTAAAGTTCCTTCCTCTCTGGGGAGCAGGAAATAGCTTACTGCCCAGACAGATTAGTAAGGTATAGGTTCCTCCTCCAACCCACCCACGCTACTTGGAGGAGCTTGACACCCACACGATTGCGCTAGCAACTTGGAAAGCTCTCCTAGATTTTATATTATTTATCCTAGACACTGATTTAGATCGTGAAGGAGGTGCAGCCAGAGGTGGGGCAGGCATGGGGACAGGAGGGAGGACAGAGGTAGAAGATCAGAGGCAGAACAAAATCGATGCCAATTCAGGCGAACTGGCCAGGAGTGGCACCAGCAGGAGCAGAGACGATGCTGTAGTTTGTACTGTCTTGTCCAGTTTCCCCAGGTTGCAAGCTACATGTCATTACCACGCTATCTCTAGACAATACATATGAAACTTGGCAACAGTGTGGTGATATGTTAGTCATGGTTTGTTAAAGCTTGCATGAGGATTCAGAAAGCAAAGTCAGCGGCAAGCCATAGAAGCCAGGCATACACCTTTAATCCCAGCAGCCAGAGGCTAGGAGGTGGTGGTACACACCTAGGACTCAGGATTAAGAGGCACAGGGATCTCTGTGAGTTCAAGGCCACCCAGATCTACATGAGATTGGTCCAGCCCTAAAGAGAAACAGCTCACACCAAGATGATCTCAGCTCCCGGGGTCACACAAGTTTAATGATCCAGTACACAAAGTAGGTCTTGACACGGCCCCTGTCCCATTTCCAGAATACAAGCTTGTGAAGTGTCATTACTTTAGGGAATAAAAAAAATATGTATGCAATATATGTATATCTTTTTTAGAAAATTCTCTACTTCCTAATATATATCAATACATATATACATAAGTACATAAACATCTCTACATAATCATACTTTCCTCCCTACCCCCCCCCCGCTCCTCCCCACATCTCTATCCACCAACTCCAAGCTCTCTTCCTCTCTGTCAAAAAAAAAAAAAGCATAAAGCAAAACATGGGTCAAAAATCATGCAAAAACACCCAATAGGACAAAAATATGAAAAGCAAACAAAACGAAATGCACACACAAGAGTGTGTAGCTTGGTTTCTACTGGCTAGCTACTCGTAGGCATGGGTCCTGCCCTTAAGTGACACTAAATTGGAGAAACCCGATTTTATTTTTCCTTCTCAGCAAAAAATCAATTGCAAATGGCTTCTTGGTTAAGGGTGGAACTTAGTGTCCACTCTTTCTCCTCTGTGCTGGGAATTTATGAGCAGGGTTTTTAACTGCTAATATTAATTCTATAACTTAATATAGATGTCCAAGTCCCATCATCATTCATTAGCTAAAAGAAAGAAGAACTAATATGCGAGTCATCTGGATGCTGGGGAAGCTTTCGTGAATCTGTGTGAAGTTATCGAATGCCACACTGGAAATACTGTACCGGTAATGTTACTCACCTACACAGGGGGCCATCAGCACACCTGCCATGAACAGCGCAATCATTGTGGGAGAGCAAGGGTCGTGGTGTGGACATAGGCTAGGACAGCTCCCTGTGAGAGAGGGCCAGCAGGGTGTGATAACAGTGCTGTCAGAGACACCGCCCGAAAACCTCCAGAAGCTTCCTTGTCCCCTTTGTGCCAAAGACCCAAGTTCCCAAGTGAGTTCCTGTCCCAGCTTCAACGCTAACTAGCACGTTGACAAGATGAGATGACGTTCCCTCACGGGAACTAAGCTTATCCAACTGTAAAATGGGAAGGTAGTTGTGTTCTCCTTGAAGACATAGCAGTGTCTGGTTTCTTCACTCATCTATCCCGCAAGCGTTTACAGCAGACCTAGCCAGGAGGAGTTGGGTTTGAACCCTGCCAGCACCACTCCAGATATGAATAAATCAGACGACCACATGGTGGCGCTGTCTGCCAAGGGATGGCCCTCTGGCAGCATCTCCGCCTTTCTTGGTTTTTGAACCCTTGAATTGCCTGGTTGCAATCCTAAGAAGTCAATGGACATCGGGGGGGGGGGGGGGTTGCTCTAGGGACAAGGGAACGGGGTGGGGACAAAAGTCCTGGAACCCATCACACTTTCATTATAGCTTCCTTGCGTTCAGACCACCAAATACACATCCTGGGGGGGGGGTTGCTCTAGGGACAAGGGAACGGGGTGGGGACAAAAGTCCTAGAACCCATCACACTTTCATTATAGCTTCCTTGCGTTCAGACCACCAAATACTTGACTCCGGGAGGCACTCTAAGCCCAACAACTGTGTGGTTAATAGGAATAAGGGTTCTCCCTAGTCATACTTCCCTAAGGAGTGGAAAAGGATTGGCTGGCTTGTGCATACTCTGCTTTAGATCATGATGTTAGGACACTGTGTGAATGGCGATACAGCACGATCCGGGCCATCCCAGTAGCACACACCGGACTGCTGGATAGGGTGGTAGATATTGTTTACTCCATAAGGGTGCTTGGCCAAGAGGGCATATAGAAGCCCCCAAACAACTGGACTAGATTCTCAAGTGTACCCTCATCACGGCCACATCAACCTAGGAGAGGGGTTGTTTTCTATGGTGAATTCTTCAGTGCTCCACCCATTAGGGGTTGCCATGCCATGAACTCAGCTTACTATGGAGAGTCCTGAGTGAGAAGATCTTGTGGGCCATAAGATCACTGTTCTGTGAACCTGTCTCTTGCTGGACGCTGGTGGCTGCAACATGGACATGTTTTGAATGAAAGGAAATTCTGATCAGACTAAAGCATCCTCTAGTAATCGGCTGCTGTTTGGCTTTCCTTCAGCACATTAATGCTCTACCTGTAACCGTCTCCTAGAACAGACATGCTCTCAGCATCAGACACACTCTCCCAGTGCTTTGCAGACTCAGGTCTGACTGCTTTGTTTTCAGACTGAAGCCAGATTGAATCAAGCAGTGAGACAAGCCTTCCAAAGGATTGTGCTAAGGTCTAGGACCTCCACTACTGTGTAGCAGATGCCTTTCGTGGGAACCTGGGGGGCGCATTTAAGTTAAACTCACAAGATGGAGACCTCCAGACCTTGGGCAATCCTATCACCATGTAGCCCTTATGGTATCTGATGGTTACTGATGCATTACCCAGAAGAGAAGACCTTAAGTAACATAGGAGCTTCGAAGGGTCACGTGAGGACACCATCTAGTCTAATTGCAAGTTTCAAGATGAAGCTGCTGAAGCTTGGAGGCTGAGGAATCATGGTGCAGAGGTCCCACTACTCCATGTATGTGACTCCCAGCCAGCACAGTGGTAGAGCCTGCCTATTAGCTCTTATAGGGCCCACGTGAGTTAACCTTCCACCCCCAGACTGATAACTGAAGTTCTGTAGCACCAGGAATTGCAATTGAAGCTGCAGCTGGCTGCACCGCAGCTGAAGGCTCACGCTGTTCCCTGTCTCTTATTTGCGTGGAAGCCCCTCTTTGGGAAACAAAGTAGGAGATCCAGTTACAGATGTGGGCCATCTTTGACCAAGCAGGTCTCAGGAGTGCACGCTCCTGCTTCCTCATCCTCCCTCACCCCCTCTTCTTCCTCTTCTCTCTACCCCTTTACACCATTGCAAGAAATAAGTACCTACCGTGAAGTGAAGCTTCACTCAAAGGCCCTTGAACGATCCAATGATGCTTGGCTTTGAGCAAATGGGAATCTGTCTTTTATATCCCAGGCAAAGCCCCCTGGTCATGTGAACACATTCCCCCACTCACACCAAGGGTTTTTCATGCACTCTGGCAGGTGCGCTGCATCAGAGGGAGGACACATCATAATGCTATCTATGCCTTGGCACAGGTGAAGGATCCATGCTAGGCAGTTCCATCTTGAGCCCCATGGGGAGACCCAAGCTTTAATTAAAGAACAATGCTTGCCCTGTTCCACATACCCCACCCCACAGCAATGTCTCCGAGGCTCTCTAATTATCTCTAAGGATCACAAGGGAACAACTCTAGAGGATGAAAGATGTTGAAAGTCACAGGCTCCCTTGCTAGGAAAAAGGCAGGCTTTGTCTTGCCTAGATATTGCTACAGAGGGTATCTTGGGTGACTATTTAGAGGTCCCTGTTTAGACATGGAGAATTGATTTATCTTTTCTTTATGGTTGGGTAAATCAAGTGAGCTTTTAAAACCAAGCATTCTAAGTTCTGCTAGCCCTGTTTAATGCCATCCTGGATTCCATGTCTGCTGCATCCCATGGGTTTGGGGCTCTGCAGGGTCTCCTCTTCATCACACTTTGTAAAGTGTTTTCCTTCCCAATAGTGTGTCATTAGTGGTTGACAGGACTCTGTCTTTGCCCCTACAGTCACCACGCCAGGTTGCTTGTGTAATCTTAGGAGGAGAGGGCCGAGAAACAAGTGTTTGTAGAGGTATCTGTCCCTGCTCATATGTGCCATTCTTTCAGGCACAGATCAAGTCAGGCTGACCATGAACCTCCTGAGCATCCCGTTCCAACTTTGCCTCTTGAAGGAACAGAACCAGTCAGGTGATACATCAGGGCTCAGCTGAGCCTTCCCAGGATCCACTGGAAGGCTTCTCCACAGAAAGCTGCCCTTGTGTGCTGGAGTTCCTGCCTGAAATTGTCATTAGGTCACCCTGTTGCACTGAGGGCTGGAACTACACTGGCTTTGGACATTTTCATAAGCACAGAAGAGCCGACATCTCTAAAGCTGCCAAGTCAATGGAGCCATGTGTCTCAACACAGCCAAACCTATGCCCTCAGCATCTTGAGAGCATAGCTACAGCGTGATGCTAAGGCATTAGCAACCCACCCAGGAGTGTAGTTCTAGACATTTGTAGTGAATTGGAGGATTTTCTACCACAACCTATAATGTTATAGGCTGTGGTAGAAAAGCAATCCTTGGTAAATGAGGAGAGAAGGGTTCCACATAGGACTGTTGGAGAAAGCCAAGCTGCTTAGTCATACCTTGTACAGAGCTGTGAATTCACAGGGATATATCAAGACTGGAGATAGTGAAAGAAACGTGATATAATTAAGGGGCCCTTCAGTATGTGGGTGCCCAGGAAAGTCCGATTTAGCAAGTATCAGGCATTCAAAGGAAGTTCTGGGTCTCAGCTCCTACCCCTAAAGCCTTGGAATAAGTCAAAAGGAATATGTTCGCCCAATAAACTCTGGGTCACATGTTTGTGCAAACATGTGACTTAGGTTGAGGGCCTTGAGTCATGTGTGTAGTGTTGACCTAATTTCTGGAGACAGAGTAGTCCAGTACAGCCCTTCAGTCACCCCTTCTTAAATGACCAAACACCAACACTCCACATATATCATCCCATGCCATTCTTTCCGTGTGATGTGTAATGACTGTATGTGCAAGCAAACGGTGAGGAGAACAAGAAGCTCAAGCCTGAGCTCTCCTGAAAAGCTTTCCTACTTGTCTTTTTGCTGTGCAGTGTGACCACATCAGTATATCTGAGCTCTGCAGTCTGGCTCCTGAGTGAATGAGCCCAAGGCTTTTCTAGAGAGCCACCAAACACAGTGGGGCATGCAGAGGGGACCCCCACAGTCCCAGGAAAGTTCTCGTCACCTCTGCGAAGGGACTTGGGAGAGAGTCTTGATGCTGTAGCATGGCAAGTCTGCTAGTTGTGTACAGCCAACTGCCAAGTGCACCATACAGAGAACTCTCAGCACAGAGTCTGACCTTTGCAATTTGTCTTCTTGCTGTCATCCAAAAGTTCCAAATTTGAGTCACCTGCAGTATTTTCTTCAGGGTTCTATGCTGTATCCACACTAATATGAATCCCCTCCCCCAGCCCTCCTGGCATCAGGATTGCTGCAGGCATAATGGCAGGTTCTTGAAACTAAATCACAGGTGTCCCTTACTCTGAAGGAGGCAGGGAATCCTGGTGTCAGTCCACTGGTCATGAAAACCTTTGCTTTCAGTGCATTACACAGATTGACAGGAGAGAAAAACTCGATGCTTCCAAAGAGACCTGGGTGGGGCATGCCTGGATTCTGAAAATACAGCCAAGCTGGGACAAAGCCAGGGTGAAGGCTTGGTACCAGAAGTCAATGCTAGGCGCTCACACAGACTTGCAGACATTCTCAAGGCATTTTTGCTTCAAGGCTGAAAGAGCAAGAAGGGAATCAGGGCACTGAGATCGGAATGCAACAGAGACATAAAATTGAATAGTACCAGGGACAGTTTAGGTTCTTCTTGACAACAAGCATAGGGCAAGTCCATTCTAAGGGACTCCTGTGAGAACACTATGCCTGTCAGCAGCAGAGTGGAAGAAGGAACAGCCATGGCTTTTGTTGTTTGTTTTGTCCACTTTCTGCCCAGATGGTGCTTTCCCGGTACCCAACGGTCTCTAACTCATCTCCCCAGGTTGCATTATGGTCATTAAACTCATTAATATGTTGATCAGTAGACATAGCTTGCTGTGTGTTTAGATGTTGCATCAGGGTAGGGAGGAAAGATGACATACTGATATTGGATGATATGTCCTATGCTGTGCCCACATACACTGAGACGAGGGATTCCTGCCCTTGACTCTGGAACCCTCACCCCCATGCCTGGCTTTTACAATGTAGAATGAAGGTGGTGGTAAGAATATGAAACAAGACAAATGATGGTTGGCATAGGAAACAAAGGAACCCATGCCTGAGGTAGAAGAATTGGAGAAAAAAAAGAAGGGGAATTGATGAGGGTACCCATGGAAGCTGGGGAGTATGAGACCTTGATTTTTATGAGAGGCTCTGACTGGAACATTGTAAACAGAGGGTAGGCAAGGAGTGAGAGGCAGACATCTGAGAAGTGAGAGATGGTTGAGGGTTAAATGAGGAGGGGAAGTTTCTACAAAATGTTGGCACTCATCCCATGGAGCTCATCGGCCCATAAAGAAAGATTTGGTGGCTAGACGGTTTGTTAAAGGTAACATATAACAAGACTGGCCCACCTGAACACCTGGGTCATATCAGAAAGGGTTTTCCAAAGAGGTAATATAATGCCATGGTTTTCAGAAGGCCAGAGGTTCTTGACCAGAGAGTCCAGGTCAATGACATGATGTCATGGCTTAGTGTTGGTATTGGGACTGGACAGACCAGTCTAGCCAAGCTAAAGGTGATGTTTGGCATTTCTGTGCATAAGTAGAATTTGAAAGCATCAGGACAAGGATGGAAGGACATAGGCCCACCTCTAGGACTTCATGTCCTCTGTACGTTAAATTATTTGCATTTGTTTTGGTTGAGCATTTCCGGGTTTGTGTGTTTTGCTTTTGTTTGTCTTTTTAGCTTGCATGGGAATGCAGAGGCTAAGGGACTTGTATGGGTTCACACAGAGGCGGTAGTGTGTGTTAGTTGACCCCACAGCTTTCTATATTCTTTGTAACCACTAAGGGGTTGACCAAACGCAAGGCTATCTTCACTTGAAGTTGACTCCATGAGCTACAACAGTCTTCTGGACCTGGCTAAAGTGAGACAACCTATCAGAATCACAGAACCTCCCATCAAATGCACTCACTGCTGAGTATCACAGCAGCAAGCTGGGTACTTACTGTGAGAGTAGGACACCCTCTTCACCCTCTGACAGATCAGGGTCGCATTTTTCAGATACCAGGAATAGTGTTCCAGACAATGCCTAAAGGTTCAAGCAGAGTTGAGAGTAGTCACCCTTCTGTGATGACCGTGGGAAGACGGACAGGATCAAAAACAGTAATTAGGCAAATATGAACTGGGCCCCGTTATTTACATCAAGGGACCCTCTATCTTTACAGAGTATGGGAGGAAGGGCAGAGAAGGATGCTTGTTACAAAAGAGATCAGACCTTGGGGCCAATGAGATTTATTTTAAATCCTAGATCTCTACAGTTTATAAGAATGTGTGAGGTTAGGTTGAGTACTTAATTCTCTGGGGCTTGGTTTCTTAATATGTAAGGAAAGGCAATAATATAGGATTAAGGGAAACAATATGTGTGGAGTTCCTGAACTATACCAATGTTCCATTAAGAAAGGTCTGGGCTCTGTGAAGAACTCAACAATGTACTATGTTCTCACCATAGAAGCCACAGATACCCGGCCAATCCCAGAGAGGTCAGTGTTTGTCATCCATTAGGGACTTAGATTCTGTCATCCTACAAGATGGTAAGGCATGCCCTCATGACTGCTAGGGACTCCAAATTGGAAAAGTCTCACCTGAGGACTATGCTGGGGGAAAGTTTAGGGAAGAAAGGGAGATTGGAAACTAGAGTTTTAGAGCTGACGGAATGAACAATTGAGTGTCAACGGTTTTCTATGTTCTCTTTCTTCTAAATGAGGGTTAAACACCTGAAACTCTATGGCGAGACTTGAGGGGAATTGATTTATAAGTGGTAATGTGGGTCATGAATAGGGATAAAGGCCAGCATCAGGGGCCTATCATTGTTGCAGCAGACATGTCTAGTATCCTAATCCTAGAAGCTTTAAAACACTTAGGACGCCTTCCACTCCATCTTTCCACATTTCTTTCATTGTTTGCTGGAGGGACAGTTCAAATTTCGCACGTTCACAACTTCTGTTCCTCCATCGAACCCTCGATGGCCCCCTTCTGTCTGCTGAGATCCTATAGCATTTGTCCCAGATTGCCTATAGAATTTGTTCTATTGGTTAGAAGTCCCTCTCTCCATACTACCAACTTCTCCACTAAATAGATCTCAAATCTCAAAAGCACTATCATTCAAAAATCATACCAAGCCACACGACCCTCCCTCCCTCACCGGCACTCTTGTACTATAGTTAATATTTTATAGGAATAATATTTCATGGAATAATACATTGACAGGGTGGAAGGCCAGGTGAGCAGCTGCTTTATGCCTATAAATTCATCTAGAATTTTTTAGGGGTGTTTGTGTGTTTGTGTGTGTGTGTGTGTGTGTGTGTATGGTGTGGTGTGGGGTGTGTGTGTGTGTGTGTGGTGTGTATGTGTGTGTGTGTGTGCCTGTGAGAGTGTGTGTGTGTCTATGTGTTTGTGTCTATGTGGTGTGGTGTATGTGTGTATGTGTGTGTGTGTGTGCCTGTGAGAGTGTGTGTGTGTCTATGTGTGTGTGTGTATGTGGTGTGGTGTATGTGTGTATGTGTGTGTGTGTGTGTGCCTGTGAGAGTGTGTGTGTGTCTATGTGTGTGTGTGTATGTGGTGTGGTGTATGTGTGTATGTGTGTGTGTGTGTGCCTGTGAGAGTGTGTGTGTGTCTATGTGTGTGTGTGTATGTGGTGTGGTGTATGTGTGTATGTGTGTGTGTGTGTGCCTGTGAGAGTGTGTGTGTGTCTATGTGTGTGTGTGTATGTGGTGTGGTGTATGTGTGTATGTGTGTGTGTGTGTGTGCCTGTGAGAGTGTGTGTGTGTCTATGTGTGTGTGTGTGTATGTGGTGTGGTGTATGTGTGTATGTGTGTGTGTGTGTGCCTGTGAGAGTGTGTGTGTGTCTATGTGTTTGTGTGTATGTGGTGTGGTGTATGTGTGTATGTGTGTGTGTGTGTGTGCCTGTGAGAGTGTGTGTGTGTCTATGTGTGTGTGTGTGTATGTGGTGTGGTGTATGTGTGTATGTGTGTGTGTGTGTGTGCCTGTGAGAGTGTGTGTGTGTCTATGTGTGTGTGTGTGTATGTGGTGTGGTGTATGTGTGTATGTGTGTGTGTGTGTGCCTGTGAGAGTGTGTGTGTGTCTATGTGTGTGTGTGTATGTGGTGTGGTGTGGTGTGTGTGTGTGTGTGTGTGTGTGTGTGTGTGTGTGTGTGTGTACATGCTGAGGCCAAATGAGGGTTTTGGAACAGGAGTAACATGTTTCTGAGTCACCTAACATGGGTTCTGGGTTCCGAACTCAGGTCCTACAGAAGAGAATCAAGGTGCTTACATGCTGAACCATCTCTCTAGTCCCTTATGGGTATTTTCAGTGCTGATACTAATCAAAGGGCTGTGACTAATGCATCCTTGCTTGGGTAGGTGACTTGGTCCTATCACTTCAACTTATGCTTTACAACTATTACTCCCCCTAAGCAAACCAACTTTCTGGATCTATTTGCCATTCATCTTCACAACACTCGACTTAATATAATGCTCAGCTGGCAAGCAGTAGAGACTCCACACAGTGGGTTGGTGAGAGGAGGCTCTACTGAAGTGGGCTGACTCTGGCATTGTTTTGTAGATTTTCCTTTTCCTCGCTGTGAAGAAACACCCTTTCTCTGCTTGTTCACACTGGGTCTGTGGACTTGCTTATTACCCTCTCCGAGTAAATCAAACACCCAAGCCTAAAGAGGCATTCTAGATCAAATCTAAAAGTAGATGATGGGGAAAGAGTGCAAACCTGGGCTTCACTCATGGAGCGGATAGTGGAGATTTTAAAAAATGAAGGACATCAGCAATCAGGGGGCAGAGGCAGGTGGATCTCAGAGTTCAAGGAAAGCCTGGTCTATAGAGCTAGTTCCAGGACAGGCTCCAAAACAATACAGAGAAACCCTGTCCCAAGAAACCATAATGATGATGATGATGATGGGCGTGTTAGTAAGCTTTTAAGATTGCATTAAAGACTTGAGAAATTAGTCCTAAGCTTACTGGGGAACACTATACATTTCTAGGGTTTGGTTATGGATTTAACAATTAAGAATCAATCTCAGAACCATCTTCTATGGAAGGGCTGGAGCACATCAATGTCAATGAAGTGCAGTGGGCCTTCTGACCACATTTTTACAACCATCTCATCTGGCAGGCAACAACTGATGGGAATTAAAGGAGGATCTAATTTAGATAGGCAAATGTTTTGGTTACAATTTATTAGAAAATTTAAACAAGTGGAGGACACTGGTATCCAAAGTCCTCAGTAGAAATTCTACCAGATATAGTGTGGCTCATCTCTGCTTAACCCAAACTCAACTCAGCTCACCTCACCCAAACTCAACTTACCTCATCATCTCCTTTAAACTTATCCAACCTAGTCCATCTAAGCTCAACTCATGTCTACTTTGCTGAACTTCTTTATCTAAAATCACTCCTCCCCAACATAGCTCAGTTCAACCCAATCAGTTATTCTCAACTCCTCTCAATTTGTCTCAGATAAAATCAGCTCAGTGCAGATCAGCTCAACTATATTTATCAGATCCTATACTTGTTTGTGAGGATGCAGAGATGAATAAAGCCCCATCATAGATCTCAAGGATGTAATAGTCTAGTAGAGGCCACACTGTAGAATACACTCCTTTTGGTCACCTATCACTTGGCTGGTAATTATTTAATTCCTGGCTACCTGATAATTTCCAGAGACCACATGCAATAAGAAGACTATGGCTACAGGGTGTACAAAGGAATCGTTGTCTTAGGTTACCTCATGGCTTCTGAACTGAGATCTCGCTTTCGGCTTACACAGAGGCATTGCTGGAAGAATCGACAGAGTTCCATCAGGCATGGGTTGAGTTTCTTCATAGCCAGGGACAGAGGAACATCTGTAATGGCCCCCTCTTTGAGGAGTGGCTGGGGGCATCCTGGAACATGCAACCTCAGACATGTGAAATCAGTAAGAGCTCAGCTAGCATTTTCCCTGGTGTAAGGCCTGTGACAGGCAAATACAGTCTGTCCCTTATTTTGGGTAGCTTGGAAACAGACATTACAGAGCATGGTTTCATTATCGCTTAGGGAAACCACTGTGGAAACTTCAAGCACCAGGATTCATCTCCTCTGCTTCCTAGCTGTCAGCACAATCTTACCACCTGCTCCAGGCTCCTATGCCCTGGCTTCCCTGCTATGATGGGCTGTGCCCTTGAACTGTGGGTCAAAATAAACCTATTTTCTTAAGTTACCATAGTCAGGGATTTTGTCACAACAACAAGAAGTAATACAGAAGGCAACAGTAGGTTCAAATGTGAATCTAGTAAGCCAGGACACTGGATAACCATTGCCAAGATATCTTCCTTGAGGACTAGCCTGATTATGTATGACATAACCAACTTTTCATTATTGTTTGGTTTGTGGCTTCTAGGGAAAGAATACAAACATTAAGCAAAGAATGAGTTGTTAAAGATCTCATCCTATAGGGCCTCCTGAAATGGAATCAATTTCCCAAGCCTGCACCCAGGCTCCATTACAAGAGGAATGAGGAGACCCAGACCCAGGATGCAGAGGAGGACTCAGTAAACTGTCTATGTAAAGCACATGGCAATGCTCCTGCCATGGGACAGGCACAAATACTAGCTATTATTGCTGAGTTTTTTGAGAGTCTACTATGTGCTGGGCACTAATAGACTAGCAGTGCACCAATGACCAAGGAGCACGGTCCTCCTCTTCCAGGGCTTGTCATCTAGTACTGAACTATGTTAGGATGTTACAGTTACACTGGAGGGACCACCCATAACCATCAGACAAAATGACCAAATGTCTAGAAATGAGCACACAGGACTATTGGCTTTCACTTTAGTGTAGTTCTGATTGTTGCCTAGCAGATACCCTGGGGACTATGTGGTTATATAGGAGGATGAAGATGAGGCTTTTGGCTTGATTTTTTTGTTTTATTTATTTCAGAGACAAGGTTTTTTTGTTGTTGTTTTGTTTTGTTTTTTAACAGAGTCTCTGGAGTTCAGGCTGGCCTGAGACTTGACGTATAGCTGAGATAATTTAGAATTCCTGATCGTTCTGCCTCAACCTTCTGACTTGTTGGATCACAGGCATACATACATCACCATGCACAATTTATGCAGTACTGGATATTGAGCCCATGGATTCATGCATGGTAGATAAGCACTCTGCTAACTGAGCCACACCAACAGCCCAGGAAGGGGTGGATATCCTACTGAGCAATACTGTTACAGCTCTAAAGTGGTACAACTTAACAGATACTTATATACGGTTGCTACCTGAGAACACTGAAGATAACTCCTGCTCAGCGTATACATGACTGTTGCCCCATTTAAAAAAGAAGAATTACTAATATAGGTTATCAATTGGCAAACTCATGTGAAATTACTTCCCTGTATTGGCTTGTAAGTCTCTACTCAGTTTCCCCATTGGTAGAGTTTTAAGATCTTTTTGGTTTCCTCATCAATAACTGAGTTGAACAACATCATTAATGTACTGACATAGTTACATTATAAATTTTATGAGACATTTAAAGACTTGTTGTGGTACTAAGGATGGAACCCAGGTCTCCAGGCATGCTAGGCCAGTGACTTATAACGGAGTTTAACCCCAGCCTGAGAATTTTTAAACTTATCAGCAATATTTAGCAAGTAGAGAGAGGGTTCATAAAGCTAAGGACTTTTAAAATATAGAGAAACAAAATATGTTTTCCATGACTCTACTGGAACATTAACTGCCACCACACCACGTAGCCACCATCATACATGAGTCTGTTCACTGTACCCTCTGTTCCAGTCTCTGCATTTTCCACTCTGAGTCAGGGATATTATTGCATAATGCACATCTGGCCATATAGCTTTCCCTTACCTCAGACTCCTTGGCACTGTGGCAAGTTGCTGATGATCTCACTGTCTCTGTCCTGTCTGTCCACAGTTCCTATGACTCTCCCCATCAGCACAAGACCCTGTTCAGTCCCAAGGAGCGTCAGTCTTTCTGGCTCCTGTGCTTTTGCTTATGCTAAGGCTCTGCAGGACTACACACTCAGCAGCATTTTGTCAGAAAGTAGCTGCTCATTTGGGTCTCTGCATGGCTTCTCCAGCTGCAAACATTCCTGTTTATGGGACCTACCAGAACACTTCAATGAAGATAGCACCATCCATCTTCCAGAATTATTGGACAGAGAAATTGAGAATGTCCTAACACTAGCCCTTCACACTGTAGTATTACCTATCTTCTACAATTATTGGGCAGGAAACTTGAGATTATTCTAACACTAGCCTTGTACACAGTACAATCTCAATATATGTTCACTGAAGGGATGAATAAATGATTAGGAAAATCATTGTGGCATACATTTTAAAGCAATCTTTTTGGGTGGGCAAAATAATTTACTCAAAGATGTCAGAGCCTCCGTATTTTATGCAGGGGATGCTTCATGGGATAGATGATAGACAGAAGGATGGAGATGGCCCATAATAGATAGGTAGGCAGATAGCGGTCCATCCGACAGGTGTTAAAGAATCAGGAGAAATGACTAGGGTGGATAGGTGGAAGGAAGGATGGACAGCTACATAGATACAGCTATAAATATAAATATGGATGTAGATATAGTTAACTTGTATTCTAGAACACAGCCTGACTACTGTTGGTACTACCTTTGGATCTCCTAGGAGACAGAGACACAGTTTCTTGGTAACACAATTGGGTCTTTGTGTTTGAAAGGCCCATTCACCATTCAGTGGATGCTGTGAGGGCTGAAGTAGGTCTGAGGACATATGAAACAGGAGACTGTGCACGCTCCAGGGATTTAATAATGCCTTGTTGACATATGACCAACCAGCCTTGCAACATTCAGGAAGCGTGTATAGAAAGGTATTCAGGAGTAGGTGGGGCCTGAGAACCTGACCAACTTTGAAGGACTTACTTTGTCTCAGTTTCATTCATAGGGAGCTGACAGCGCAGAAAAGAGGAGAGTGTAACAGCCAAAAGCTGAAAAAAGAAAAGCCAAGTCTTGGGAGTTCTGTAAATGCCAGCCTAGGAAGTCATTGCTTCTCAAACCCACGGCACGTTCAGGGATGTGGCCATCAGGGCAGCCTTTAGAACACAGCCACCGTGGTTCACATGTATCAGATGGGGCTTGGACTTTGGAGTCATCACTTCTGCCTTCTTCCCTCTCTGCTCAGCCAACAACCAGACAACCAGCTCATCACAGGAGCAGTTTCTATTCGCAAAGCAAGCGATCAGTACACGTGTTCCTGGATGTTCACTCAATGAACATTGAGTTAAATAACACAGAGCTTTAAAAGCCAAGTCAATTCAGTCCACATTGTCTTAAGACAAAGCCAGGTTTTTAGTGCTTTTGGTTACTGCAGTTGTTCTTGCTTTAAAGTGAGGGGATTACTCCCGGATGCCACACCTCGCAAAAGTAGATGAGTTGAGATTTGCATCCTAGCAGTCTACATTTATCCAACAAACCTCTTTTTTAGACTGTTCAACCTCCTGCAACAAAACATGCTTTTAAGCAATGAGTGGCTGTCCCTACTTACTTGAAACTCGGTGGGCTGCTAGGACCAGGGCTGGCTCTGACGCAGGGGTGAATGGCCCCTCTGCAGGACCAGCATCTGCAAGTAGCAAGAGGAACATTCTCCAAAACTAATATGAGATGACCTTGGGCTATTACACACACACACACACACACACACACACATACACACACACACACACACACACACACACACACGTAGAGAATCCTAACACCTCAAAGACAAAGGTTCTTAAAATCCATGAGGAAATGACAGGCAAAGGGCTTAGCCGTGATCACACAATGTGCAGTGCACCAAACCCAATGAAACCTCCTTTCCTGCGTCTTTCCCTCTGATGAGGTGGAATGACAGCATATTTACAGATGCTCTTGCCTCACTGTGCCCCCGCCCCCAGGCTACACTTTGCTTCAAGAATTGGAGTTTCTTGGTCTGGCCATGCAGGTTCACCTGTCTGTGGGTCTCTAGGAGCTGGTGCTTTGGTTGGACTTGGAGTCTGTGTGCCAGCGGTCAGTGTTCCTGTAAGGGAAGGAGAGAGGTAAGCATGCATCTTTTCAAGGGGAGTGCAATTGGAAGAAGATGTTCCATGTCTCACCAGTGCCAATGACCGCCGGAAGGCAATCAGGGTGTTGAAGATGCAGGAATGAGTAGGAAGTGTAGCCACAGCCAAGTACTTCCCAGAGTATATAAGAGAATGTTTGAGTCCCATCGGTAACTGGTAAAGGGTGATGGGGCCATTGGGAACTTGCCAACATCAGTAACATTTGGTGGCACTGCATGGGACAATGATGATGGCACTGAACAGGGAAGTAATGGCATAGATGTATATGCATGTGTAATTAACATTCATGTTATGTTGCATCAAATATTACATGCTGTATCAATGCTGTAATCAATGTAGTGCCATTAATACTGTGCAACAAAGGCAGTTAGCCTGTCCGAAGGCTTGACTTCCGGAGGCTAATGGCTACTTGCTTTAGAGGCAGTGAGTGATACAAGACAAAAAAAAAAAAAAAAAAAAAAAAAAAAACAGGAAATGAGTTTACAGGAAGCTAACAGGGGAAATGGTAGGGATGGGATGTAGAAAGAGAACAGGAAAGGGGAGAGGAAGTGGGAATAATAAAGAGCGATAGAAGAGTGAATATGGTCAAAACATATTATATGTGCATATGTCAATGCCATAGCAAAACCCCTTACTCTGACTCTGTACAATGAACATGGAAAAGGAAAAGAGGCAGGTGGAGGAGGGGCACTCATTCCTTTATTCATAAGAGAGAATAAAGGGTTGGCATTAAAAATAATTAAAAATAATTAAAAATAATTAAAATAAATAATTAAAAATAATTGTTTTATTGTCATTTATTAAATCACTTATTTATTTTTCCTACTTTCAGCATGCGTATTAGATTTCAAAACCTTAGAAAGACAGTCAAAACATTCTCAAGTGTAATTGAAAAAGGACATGACTATTGTCTCTCTCTCACCTGAGGCTATGCTGGGCTGTGCTAGTCTGCTGGGTGTGGTCAGTAGCTCAGAAGGATGCACCAGGCTACTTGTGCTCCTGAGCTGCTGGGCATCTGCAGAGGAGGCTGATGTGGAGGGAAGGCTTGCCCAGGGTGGTCCTTTAGATGTGCTATCATCCGTGGTCTGGGACTTAGACGCAGATACTGTAGGAGCCCATGTCTGTCTGTCTGTCACCCATGGTGTTCTGTCCATGTTCCCCATACCTGTGTGTTGAAAGTGACAATTATTGGCATTGCGATTCTTCATGTCTTTGGCCACGGATGAACTGCAGACATATGAAATGCTTTCAAAGGGCAATTGCAAATGTGTACACACAACACGGATAATTCAGTCTCTTACATTTTCCTGTGGACTGGAATAAGTAAATTAAACTGAATTTTTGCTTTCTTTGACAACAAAGGAGAATCTCCCACCCTTGATTGCCCTTTCTGAACACTGTTTACACTAAGGTCATGGGAAGAGTTTGGTGTAGGCATTTCATGTATTCATGTGAGATTAGAGGAAACTGAAGGGAGACACAGCAGAGGACAGGGAAAAACTGAGAAAGCATCTTACCTGGGGTTGGTTGTGTGGCTGTGGTTGCAACAGGAAGCTCTAGAATCATCTCTTTGTTTTCTGTCACCTCTTTCTGGGATGGAGTACTTGACTTTGTCTGGGGAAAGGTCTTCAGGGCAGACACCCACTGTGCAGGATCTGGTCTTAGAAGTGACTGCTGACTTTGGGTTGTGAACCTTGGAGTCCCGGCTGTTCCCTCGGTGGGTACAACTCAAAGGAAACAGCCAATGGGAGGTTTAACTTGCTTGCCACTTTGGACAAGTAGAACTGTTGAGTCACCGAAAGACAACAAGGGCATTGATTTCAAATGGAATATAGCAGGGGATTCATGGGGAAATGACAAATACACGAAAAAAGAAATGTGTTTTCTCTGTTGGTTTTTGAGCCTCTACTGCTGAACACAACATGTTCTATTATGTAAGAGACATAACCCAACTTGTATCTGAGATCTATTGCTCTTGTGGCTACGTTTGGATGATTTAAAGGAATGCAAGAATATGACAAAATACACTCAGTCATAAGCTGTTCTAGTAGATGATGAGGACTTGAAAATGGCACACACATCAGGTGGACTCAGAGGCATAGCCCGATTCCAGATACTGAGTATGGGAAGAAAGAGTTGCCAGTGGTTCCAAAAATGGTATCTGATGATACAGAAGACAGAAAGATAGTTGTTGAAAGAGTATGAATGGGAAGGGCAGGAATTACAGTGAGGCAATGACTCTAGTGTAGAATCAAAATTCTAATAGCTTTAAGAGCCCAGTTGTTAACACAGGAAATAATAGGTAATGCAATAGGGTGCAGAGAGGATTGTGGGAGTAGAGACAGGTGTCACTCACTGGGGAGAAAGGAGACAGCAGCTACTCAGCCCCAGCTGTTTGTGGTCATAGAGATGAAGATTCAGGGTGAACAATATTTTTCCCTCAGATTCTCCAGAAATCCACTTTTTAAATCAAAGAGAAAAATCCTCTGATTTTAGCACCATCTAATTGAATATAATTCCTAAAGGTAACATCTCTCCTCTAGTGATCTGAGGCACGGTGAGGGGTGGAATCTGTGATGGGATATTATTTTAAGGTGTGTGACTTTTGTTTATGCTGCATTTGTTTAACTGTCTGAAGCTGTGATTCTATGCCTGTCTAAAACACCTGATGGTCTAATAAACTGAACAGCCAATAGCAAGGTAGGGGCAAGGATACCTGGGGCTGGCAGGCAGGGAGTTTAAATAGAAGGAGAAACAAGGGAGTGAGAAGACCAAGAGAACAAGAGAGGAAGGAGGACATCAGAGGTCAGCCACCCAACCACCCAGCCACCCAGCCACCCAACCACCCAGCCACCCAATCACCCAGCCACCCAACCACCCAGCCACCCAACCACCCAGCCACCCAACCACCCAGCCACCCAGCCACCCAACCACCCAGCCACCCAACCACCCAGCCACCCAGCCACCAACCACCCAGCCACCCAACCACCCAGCCACCCAACCACCCAGCCACCCAGCCACCCAACCACCCAACCACCCAGCCGCCCAGCCACCCAATCACCCAGCTACCCAATCACCCAGCCATCCAACCACCCAGCCACCCAGCCACCCAGCCACCCAACCACCCAGCCACCCAACCACCCAGCCACCCAGCCACCCAACCACCCAACCACCCAGCCACCCAACCACCCAGCCACCCAACCACCCAGCCACCCAGCCACCCAATCACCCAGCCATCCAACCACCCAGCCACCCAACCACCCAGCCACCCAACCACCCAGCCACCCAACCACCCAGCCACCCAGCCACCCAGCCACCCAGCCACCCAACCACCCAGCCACCCAGCCACCCAGCCACCCAGCCATCCAACCACCCAGCCACCCAGCCACCCAACCACCCAGCCACCCAACCACCCAGCCACCCAGCCACCCAACCACCCAACCACCCAGCCACCCAACCACCCAGCCACCCAACCACCCAGCCACCCAACCACCCAGCCACCCAACCACCCAGCCACCCAAACAGCCATGGAGAAAGAAGGAAAGTAGGATACACAGAAGTAAGAAAGATAAAAGCCCACAGGGAAAAGGTGAATGTGATAATTAAAATGAGAAAAGCTGACTAGAAACAAGCCAAGCTAAGGCTGGGTATTCACATGTAATCATAAGACTCCGTGTGTGATTTATCTGGAAGCTGGGAAGTGGGCCCCTCAAATAGCCAGAGAAGAAGAGTAAGGAAGCACACAACATTAGGGGACACTCTGGCCTTTATAGTAGTTTATATTTACCCAAAGCTTTGGGAACACCACTGGTAAATGTATAGTTGATAACAGGGGATTTCTCCACCATCTCCCAGAAGTCAGAAAGAGTCCTTACTGGAAAAAAAAATTTACACCATGGAGAAGGAAGTTTGGGTTTGTCTGATGGAGTATGTGAAGTTCAATGTTCAGCCAGACAGCCTCTGCGACACTGCTGCTCACCTGACTTCCCCGCCATCACACAGATGAAGACACAATCAGATTCATTGGTCTGACTCACTGTAAGACAAACCGACACACAATGCTGTTTCTGTCTGCCTGATCCTCCACTCAGCCTACCATGTGTACTGTCTCACTGGATCCTCATCACCATTCACTATGGAAGATGTAAACACACGCCTGCAGGCCTTTAAAAGAGCATCCCCAGAGCCAAGTGTGTTTAGGAATTCAGAAGTTTTAGATTTTTGTATTGTCTCATGGAATGTCTGTACCATACTGAGAGAAGACCCCCCCTCCACCCCCATCTCCGGCAGTAACTGGCGAAGCCTGCAGCAATAATATCTATCCAAGCCATTATTCCACTCAGCAAAAGGTTTGACCCTTTGCACTTTATAGAAAATAGTCACTTCCCCTGAATTGTCTTTAAAGGGGCATGGGGAGGTACAGCCACTGATACAGCCTTCTGATACCCTCCCTGTGTTGATTGTTGCATTTGCTCTTCAAGTTTTGGGACCCTGGGAAGAGCCCTATTTGGATGATAGAGCTATCAAGGACTGACGTTAGAAACCACACCACACTTAAAACCTAAATACAGTTTACCTGAAGTTTCCTGGCAGCCTGACCTATGCTAGGGCTTGGGATGTAGAAACCAATCAGATTTGGCTATATTATTTGAGGCACCTGCAAGACACACACCCGAGAGGATGGAGGTGGACTTAAAAATCTCAGTGAGGTAGCTTGTAGAATTTCCAACGATGTCCACCAGCAAAGCTGTAAAATCTGCAAGACAAATTAGAGAAGCTCCCTGAATTCTGATGCAGAGACAAAAGGGCAAAGAGAATGCATTTGGGTTTTTTCTTTTTTTCCAGAATAGATTTACAAGTATAATTTAAGTTATCGGTTAAAGACTATTGATATTCACACAGAGAAAAATACTAACTTAAAAAATAGTAATGGTGAATTCAAGCAAAGAACTTTAGGATCCACCTTTATGATCTAACTCTTTCTCTATTAATACCCAAGAGCTACCAAAGATCCCCATTGCTTCATCTAACTTTGTTAGATTATCAACCCTCCCCAAGAGGAACCAGGCCTGTAGACATGGAAGGTCAATTTACATAAAGTTGGAATTTGAAAATGCAGTCAAATTTAATGTTGAGTTGTTAATTACAGACGAGGCCTTTACAAAACCCCATCAGGGAATGCCTCTGTTTTTCCCACTTTATTTAGAGCATGGGAGGAAGTCTAGGAGACTCTTATAACACTTTAGCTTGAAGAACAATTAATCACTTTCTCTCCAAGCAAGATTAGATTAGAACAGGAAACACATCACGGTGAGTACCATGAATGATAAAAATTTCTTTTTCTACATCTAGGGCTGTCCCCTTCCCCTCTGTTAACTCAGGGTTCTCCAGGACCCAGGGGTTTGGGAGTTCTCTGTCAAGAGGCACATGGTTGTACACACTTTGGTGACTTCTAGACAGGAAGCTCCTGGAGCCCACTGGATGATTTCCTATCATGCCTCATTCAGATGATGCTTTTACTCAGCCACAGGATTGTGGGTTGCTTGTAAGAATAACCAGACTTGAAAACACATACACTGTAGATGTACACCGATAGATATTCTATGATAACCAGTAGTTGGTGGAGCAGACCGACGCTAGCAGGAAGTTGGCAATGCTATGCTTGAGCCTGAGCTACAGTGTGACTTTAAATGTTTGTGTGCTCACGTGTAGCCCTGCATGGGAAGCTGCCATGCTGTATTCCTCTGCATGTGTTGGCAACTCTCACTGCAGAAGGCTGGTGACCATGGGCCCCTTCCTTCCTGCACTATGTTATAGATCCTAATGATGTGTACTATATAATTATATGCCCGTCAATTTTCCTTCTCCTTCTCAAAATTCTCCACTAATTTACTTATCTAATACATACCCCAAGTGTCTACAGTATGCCAGACAGACACCTGCTAGGTACTAGAGATTTTTGCAACATACAGCAGAAGTTAAAGGGGGCTCAGCTACATGGATCAGCATGTAAAGGCATTTGTCACCAACCCTGCTGACTTGCGTTTGGTGTCCCACATGGTGGAAGAAGAGAACCCATTCCTGAAAGTTGTCTTCTGCCCTCCACATGTGCACTATGACACACCACTGTTGCATGCGCACGTTCCCCCTCCAATAAGCAAAGTTAAAATTAATGGGAAAGAAAGACACACAAGCTGACTGACCAAAAGGGAGGTTGGAATCACTATTTTCATTGTATAGAAGCTATGAGCAGGACTCAGGATCCAGATGCCAAGGAAGGGTCCTGGTTCTGCCCAAGACTTACAGAATGATGTACCTGCCTTATGTCCTATAGAATGTTACAGAGCTTGGGTTTGAGCTGAGATTTGCCTTAAGCCAAAATTCCTTTCAAGCCCAAGACTCCTACTACCCACCACTCATGCAACCTGTTACTCAGGGGCTTCTGTCCATTTCCTCTTTGCAGCTATGTTTACAACTCTTTCATTGGGCTTGGAAGAAATTCAGTTATCATTCCCTTGGAGATATTCTTTGTTCCCATAGAAATTTAATTTACCAATTTACTACCAGTGCTCACAGAGGAATCGTGCCTGGGTTCCTTTATATGTAAATAAAAGACAGGACATTTTTTTGCCAACCCCATTAGTGACGACTTAAGAATGTCTTTTAATAATCCAGGGCGAACAAGGCTGTGGCACAAATACCCTTCTGAGCATTGCTGGCAAGAGGGTAAACGCCTGTAAGATTTCCAGAAGTTTTAGCAAATTGAATCGAAACAAGCTTTGCTTCCCTGTCAGTCAACAATTCAATTTCAAGGGCTTTAGTCTGCAGAGATAATTGGGCTAGTGTTTCAAGTGAGTCTGCATAGGTGTTCATCACAGCGCTGTTTGTAACAGTACAGTTGGTCAGGAGTAGGAGACACATAAATAAACCACCACCCTGTCTTTCAGTGAACATTGTGCATCCATGTGAAGGACTGGGCATATTCTACATACTGTGATAGAGAGGATTTTAAGACACTTTGCAAACAAACAAAGAAACAAAAATCCTTACCAACTGTACATCTGATGGAGAAACAGAACACCATTACACCCTCGAAGAAGCTGCTTATTGCAGTAGATGGGAATGAACACAGAGACTAGACAATGTGCAGAGAGCACAAGAGGCTTTGGAGTGCTCAGCCTGGAATAGGATGTCTTCATTAAACCTCTCCTTTCAAGACTCAGGAATCTGTTTTGAAGAGGAGGCATACAGATTGCAAGAGCCAGAGGTGGCAGGCCATGCCAAGGGGACAATGTTTTCTGAATGAAGCAGGACCGAGGCAGGTGAACTCTCAGAGACTGTGACATGGCCTGCACAGAGTCAGACTAGACCAGGTCCACCCACTGAGAAGGGCAAGGGAACACAAAGTCCTGTCCCGAGCCAAGAAGCTATTTACAACTGATAGCTTTGGGAAAGGGAAAGGCAGTTTTCTCCAATGGAGTGTCACTGGGTTTATCAGGCATTTTTCTCCAATGGAGTGTCACTGGGTTTATCAACCATACTCCGGGGCAGGCACCAAGCTCGGAAATAACTGGCCAACAACAACAACAAGAACAACAAAACCACAACTCTATGCCTGTTTGTTTTTTCATGCTTTTTATTTTGTTTTGGTGGATTCTTTTTCATTTCTTTTTTTCTCTGTCTAGTTTGTTGGCTTGATTTTATTTCTCTCTCTCTCTTTGAGAGTGTGAGAGGAAAAAACATGCTGTTAGATGGGCAAGGGAATGGGGAGGCTCTGGGAGGAGTTGACAGGCTGGAGAACATGATCAAAATAGTACTGTATGAAAAAAATTAACAATGAACAGAGTTAGAAAGTAAGTTTAAAATTCCAAAAACTTTAGTGAATGTTAAATTTTAGCTACGATAAGTTTTTTTTTTGTTTGATTTTTTTGTTTTTTTAAACACAACTACATCATCAAGCCTTCTTTGTAGGGCTGTGGCCATGTCATTAAATTCTGCACAATGGAATGTGAATGGTTTCTACACTGTAAGTGAACAGCAAATGTGTATGGCTTTCAATTCTTCTCACTCTTGTCTTATGGCTGGAGTATGGTGGTAAACTAACACAAAGAACAAGCAAAAAGAAAGTTAAAAAAATAACTCCTAAAATGGCACATTCAAAACTGGAAACAAGGGTGTATGGCAGTTTCCACTTACCTGACAAGTCACTAGTCCTATTGCTCAAACAGTAGCAGTACCTGGTCAGAAATTTGGCTGGGTCAACTTTCTTTGGGTTGGAAACTGTGAAGAGAAAGTATTTCCTCAATATCATGACACTTTGACTGGCCCTGGGCCCCTCACCCACCGCATCAACACAGGAGAACGGTTATCACTTACTGTTGTAGACGGCCACGGAAACCTTGTGAAAGGCAAATGAGCTATAAGAAGTGATGCTAAGCACGGAGAAGAATTGCTTGCTGTCTGTTGAGGAGAGAAAGAAGCAGAAATGCTTGCTGACAAAGCTTTGAATTAATCAATACTAGCAATGCTGTGGTCTGTTCTGGGAGGCTGAGGGAGAGGGATTCTGCCTTTGTAAGCCAATCAGAGCTATATAATAAGACTTTGTTAGGAAAAACAAACAAAAATGTGTATGTAAAGTACAGTGAATATGAACAAGGTACAGGATGTATTTATATAAAAATGTCATAAATAGACACCTAGACCAGTAGAACAAAATAGAAGACCCAAAGGGTAGCAGGTGTGCAGTGGACAGGTTGGAGGGAAGAAAAGGGTGGGGGCAACAATATAATGTAATTATATTTTAATTTCAAAAAATAAGTTAAAAATAAAATGATAAAATTAAATCATACAAACTCTACTATAATAGTAGTTGCCACTGGTCTATCTGGTCTACCTGGAAACTCCAGCAGTCTCTAAATGAGCATCTTGGATATAGTAATTTCTCCAGGTTGTTGAAACAAATTCTCATACACTTAGAAACATAAAAATAAGGGAAGTTGATAATATCATGGTTGTAGAGACCTGGGAATGTGGTATCCGGAATTCTGAGTTGCTTTATTAAGTGCTCCAAGTTACCTTTTCTTGTACATATTGTGCTATTCATATAGCTTTCAACATTGAATCGGCATTCTCTAGCCCTGACTCTGCATAGTTCTTATTGCCTATGTACTCTCCTTATTACTTAAGAATTCTGTTTATTGTATTATTTTTTTTTCTATCTCTCCACCAGAGTATAGGTGCTCAGGACAAGGGATTTTATCTGGTTTGTTCCTTGTTGTACATCCAAAATCTACATAATGACCATCTTGTCTGTGATAGGTGGTCCATAAACATTTACCAAGTAAGAGTAAATCAGAATATAAATAATAAAGGAAGTAAGCATGCATCAGAGTCCTTCATGCTCTGTTATTATTTGAAAGAATATTTTAGACATCTATCCTTCCATTCTTGTTATAATAGATTCATAGATTTCCAATCATTAAATAAATACCTGCTGCCTGTATGTTATTTTACTAGAAGCTAAAAGAAAATAAAAAGAAGGCCGGCTAGAGCAATAATGTTAGACTCAGAACTCCTTTTGTCTATAAATAAAATATATTAGGTTATATAACTTAACGAATAGTTTTGTTCTTAGAGTGATACATTTGTGATTGCAAATGACAGCCATGCACATGCACCATGCTGGCCATACAGTTTGATTCCAGAATGCTCTCAGACCTCCCGCTGTGTGTTGACGTTTTCATTGTCATTACAGGTTCATCATGTCACCAAGTAGGACAGCGTGCTCTCCATTTTGAACACAGAGACACTGAGATACAGTTGTGAGCTGTGACCTGCCAGGTCATAGGCAGACTAGAACATAAGCCTGTACAAGAGAAGTTCTGGCCCAGATGGCATTGAAATGAATGGTTACCTTTTAAAGCTCTAAGGAGCATGCCATTCACAAGCTCTGTCAGGTTGAGTGCAGACAGATCAACTGACCTTGCTGGGAGTTCTGAAAGAGATTCAAAAACACCTCTGGTGAGGTTTTCCTTCACAACAGAAACAGTCTCTCATTTCCAAAACTGGGTTAGAATTACTTCTTCTTCAGGCACATGCATGCAGAATATGGGCCAAGTGCCAGGCACACGGGGTTCAGAGAAAAGCAGCAATTCACGCCAGAAGATCAGTAGGTGACAGTCAGTAACAAGTACTGTGACTCACATAGCACTTCGTGTTTGGAGAGAGCCGGAATTGACATACTAACTCTCATCCACAGTTTGAGGTCCAGACCATCGTGAGTGTTCTCAGAACCTCTGAATTTGGAAATTGGTGCACAGATTCATATGTGGACCCAAGCCTGGCAGGATACTGGCATCAATTAAAATATTATTGTATTTTAAAGTTCCACAGTGCCACTGTATGGGTTTCATACTCAGAAATGCAGATTTAATAGGAGTTGGATATGACCCAGACATCAGTATAGAATAACAAAGTCCCCTAGGTATGGCCACATTGAAAGAGGCTGCCTGTTAAAACATTCTCTTCTCCTAGTTGTTACTTGAGGACGTAGAAATATTAGTTGACCAAGCTGACAGAGTGAGTGATTGATGGTCCTCTTTATAGTATTAAAAGCATTGTGTCTGCTTCTTACCTCATGCTATGTTGATGGGGAATTCTTAGCAGTTTAGATTTCTAATAGCATGGCGGGGGTGAGTGGAAGTCTCACCTGCAGTTGCCAGAACCTCTACCCCCTTCATCGTCTTCTCTTCTCCTTTGAAGACAGACTCTGGGAAAAGAAAAGTTTTCATGACACAGTGTAAGTCTTTATTCCCAGCCCCAGAAACATGGAGAAGGGCTTGGGGCCACTCAGTCTCAACAGGTTAAGATAGATGGGAGATCCCAAGGAAAGAAGAGCCTTGGTCTTCCTGGCTTGCTCCCCTCATTCAGTTTCACTTCTAAGCTACTGACCATATGCTCATAAATAAAATACCTATAACGCAGAGTGTCTAATCTACCTAACTCATTAACCGGGCCAGGAAACTGGGCTTCAGACAAGAGAGCAATTGGCCTGACTTTGCACAACTAAGCTGTGGGGTAATGGGCTGACTCACTTCCTAGAACTGCAGTGCAATGGAACTCCACAACCATCAGGCCATTTGCCTATGCGTTTCTGGCTTCACAAACTTCTTGACTGTGACTGTGGAAGAAGACTCGTGAGCAGTGGCAGTAAGCATTGTGAGCACCTCTAACAGGGTGCTAACCTGGCCAGAGGGGAGGAAAAGACTCTTTGAGGCAGGGCTGACCTGGAGGACTTGTAGCTTTGGATTAGAGGGTGGATAATCCCACCACACCTGTTGCTATCATGGTTGCAGAGATGACTTTTCATGTAAATTTAGATGGAAATGCAGAAGAATAAAGCTATAGAGTCTGAGAAATGTGCCCACTGTTGCCGAGTAAGTCAGGGCTAGGGATGCCCTCCCTACCTGCTGAGGACAGGACGGGTCCAAACTTCTCCTTCTTGAGGCTTTTGTTTCCAGACTCTGAAACACAAGTTTCTGTTAGTGACATGGCACGTTAGGGCACCTTCTCACACAGTATGTGACATCTTTAAAGATCATCTTGTCCATCTCTGCTTTTGAAGGATGGAGAGAAAAAGACCCTGAAAATTTAAGTTTTAGACCAGTGTCCCACACAGGAAGAATCCAATATAAAAGGAAAACACAAGCACATGTGATCTTCAGTAGATCAACTTGGCAATGATTTTAAATGTTGATTCATAATTCATTATAGTAAGACGCTGTAGTATGAGATCAGTTCCTTTGCAGCATTTTAAAAACTTATTCTTTGACAGTTTCATACATGTACGTAATGCATCCTGGTCATACTTGTATTTTCTCTTCTCCTCCTCCCACTACCTCCCCTTATGCTGGCTGTCTTTCATGTGCTTCCATTTTGTTTTGCGACCCCTGGATTTAACTAGAGCCACTTAGTAGAGAATGGCACATGGGCAACTTCTACTGTCTACATCACTGAAGAGAATGGCTTCCTCTCTTCCAGCAGGACTCAACTGCATTAGCTATGAAATGAGATCCCTGTGAGATACTTATTAATAAACATACTGATGAGTAAGCCAATTAAGCTTTTAGTCCTTTTGTTAACACCCATACCAAGAGCAGGCTTGCGTTTCTGAAAAGTCTCTTGGTACCCAAGCTCAGGCATAGGATATTAAAAGACAATTATGTCATGGATTATGTCAGTGGTCAAAGGGAGGGTTGCATTAGTGAGGAATTTGGGGCAGCCTGGTGACATCTGCTTTCTTTGCAAAGCTCGGCAGTGTTTTCCAGACACTATATATTATGTTTGGACCGTGGACGATGTCATGGACAGTCCCAGAAGGGTTGCCAAGGTGAATATGTTTCTTAGGGTAGAAGGATGAGAAGTGACCAGGCAGGCACAAAAGAAAGTTAAGATGGGAAGGTGTTCCCTTCATCATTTCAGCTGTCCTGGTCAGGTCCCATGAGCCCCTCCCAGAGCTATGACTGAACATTTCTTGGCTTTGTCCGGTGTGGGCCCTGTGAAGGCTAATGTGACAGCTGTGAGTTCATGAGTGCACAGCCACGTCATAACCATAAATCAGCATTGCATGGCCATCCTCCTCATTGCCAAACTCTCACATTCTTTCTGCCCCATCTTCCACGACGCTGCCAAAGCCTCCTATACATAAGTTTTTGCTTGAGGCAATCTCTGACCAAATGTCTTCCTTCCTTCCTTCCTTCCTTCCTTTCTCCCTTCCTCCTTCCCTCCCTGCTTCCCTCCCTCCCTCCTTTCTTTTTCTTCTTTCTTTCCTTTTGACATTGTACTGCTTGATTTGTAAAATATAACAGTTTTATTAGTTCTCTGAGAATTCATACATGCATACAATGTATTTTCTCATACACACCCTTCTCCTAACTACTTCTGGATTCATCTCCCACTCCTTTGTTAGGTTACAGGCTCCTCCTAGATTAAAGCATTCTGTCATGTAGACAAGTTCCTTAAGACAGGAAGTAAACAACTCAAAATAGCTTTAGGACGTCACTGAGCAGATTCATTAGGTTCCTCCATCTCCAAGATCAGATAAACAGTAAAGACTATGGAGAGTCATTTTCAGACAAGTCCACCTCGCTGGTAGAAGCAGAGACCAGCTGAATTGCCTGGAAGGAATAAAGACCAGACAACCCTTAGTATTTTATCACCCTTTATTCTTTCTGATTTCCTTTGGTGTTGGCATCACTCTCAATCAAAAAGGAGAAAGTTGCATGCTCAAACAGAGTGTTTGTGAAAAACTGCCATGCTCACACACAGCTGTTGGCTTTGGAGAAAGGGGAGGGGCTTCTTGTAGAAGTATTCTAACTGTGTGTGCTTGTTGCACCATTTACCTTTCGAAGCATTGGCTGCTCTCCTTAAAAGCAAAATTTAGAAAATAAAGAGAAAATTCCATCCTCCACAATAGCCCAAACAAAGATTGAAGGCGTCATCCTGCTTATTTCTTAAATTCGGAATGGATGTGCTGGCTGTTCTGTGGGGTGTTATACAAGGTAAGTTTCATAGCTAAGCCAATTTCATACCATGAAAGCCAGGAAACGTAAAGGTGAGTGAGCTAATTCAAAGGCGATGATGGCCAACAACAACGCTTCCATTGCGGCATCTCATCCTCTGATGAGACACCAGAGTCTGAATTTAGCAGGATCCTCAGAAAGACAGAGAACTCCAGGAATCTGCTAGAGTTGAGTAAGCTGGGGAGGCACAATCACCCATTTACCTGTTGTAGGTAGGAGGGTCATTCCCTTGTCTTTCTTGCCTTCTCCTTTGAGGCCAGACACTAAAAAAAAAAAAAAAAAAAAAAAAAAAAAAAAGAAAGAAAAGAAAAAAAAAACAATAGGTTTCATCAAAGAAGTGGCAACGCAGACTCAACATCAGGTATGATTTGGTCTCAGTTACCTGTTTTTACATTTAAGAGCATAGTTTTGTTGATGCAATCTTAGTCATCACATATTTACTGAAGATAAATTCGATCGAGACTGTTAGCATAAGAATTTGTTGGCTACTGTGTGTGTTGGGGAATTCAACCGGGTAAAGGGCAATGATAACAAACAGTGCTTAGTTGAGGCTGTGAATGTGGGCGACAAGGAGCCTGATCACATCTCAGCAACGTGGAAGTCCTCCCTGGGAGGGCGTGGTGAGCTGAGACCTGAGGATGAACTCTATCTGGGTAGGACCTAAGTGGCTGAGGGCTGGTCTACATACAGAGAATAGCATGTGCACCCCAGTCCTGTATTACCTGTGAGCATCTCTCTAAGAGCTGGCTGAAGGTCAAAGTGGCATTTATGGGGGCTGGTGAGGGGGAAGTGGGCATGCTCATATGGGACACAGAAAGGACTTGGAATGTGATCCAAACAGAAAGAAGACTTCACGTAATACTTTGTGGGGAACAGGGGTGGGAATCAATCGAGTGATATCGTCATCTGCATACAGATATCGCATGGGCTGGCAAGTGGAGATTGGGGCAATAGGAGAATGAACAAGCAGATTCAGAATGCTTTGTTGATGGGAGAGCAAAGGATGGTGACGTGAACGTGGTGGTAGCAGGAGGTGAGCACAAGAAGCCAGGGGAGAAACACACGACATGATTGACACTTAAGGTGTTGCTTTGAGATATCGCTGCTGGGATTCTTAAAGGACAGTAACGCCCTCCTGTAACCCACAGAGCCCACACTAGGAAGTGAAGAGCCCACCTGCATTCCAGAGAGACAGGACACAGGCCAGGCCCACACACAGCCTCACTGGAAGATCATGTAGCAGAGTGCTTGGCATGCTGGGAAGTTGTGTCCACCTGGTAGCAGAACATCAAGCAAAACATCAAGAGGAAGGCAGGCCTGCTTGTTACCCATCTGATGTAGGTCTGCTCTGTGAGCAGTGCTGGGGAAGTCACACAGTACCATAAGGAAAGGTTCAGGTCATGCTGAGATAACAAGCAGAAACCGAGATTTCTCTGGCTTAATTTAGAAACAAAGCTTTCTTTCTTTCTTTCTTTTTTTTTTTTTTTTTTTTTTTTTTTTTTTTTGTCAATTTCCACATTTGTTTAATTTGTTTATGAAATGTTGGAACGGTAGCTCGGGTCAAAAAAGTTACTGAAGAACCTGAATTAATGGACTCTCTCTCACCTTGTAGCTTTCTTCCTGGCAACCTGTTAGCTGTGGACTCCTTAGCTGTGGGAGTAATGGGTTAGGCACAATCCTTTATGTGCTTAGGCAGAAAGGGATACATTCCTTTTTAGTTAGAGTCTGCGTCTGAATCATGAGCCTATTGTGTGACTGCAGGGCATCCGGTAATGCGGGGAAGGTTTGCATGAACATTCTAGGGGCATTCGTGTAGTTTCTGAGATGAGAAATAGACTTTAAAAACAAGACATTACTATTAATGTTACTATTAATATATTGAATGCTGTAATTAGGAATGTAGGTAACTGTTAGAACTTGCCCGGCTCTGTGGCACCTTTGCTAGCCATCTAGGATAGTTTATTCTGTAGCATGACAGCTAATGTAGAGAATCATAAGAGTAATGATAATGATAAAAAATGTATTGAGCACTTTGTGTGCCATATGCCACACAGATTATTGATGTACATTTTCTCTCAGTGAAGTCAGACCTGATCAACATTCTCTCCAGCTGCCTATGAGGATGACAGGGAGGGACTGAAAATATGGTAAACTGAGGAGTCTCTCCTCCAGGACCTAGGTCATGGTAGTGGCAACATTACTGTGCGCTGCTGACCTTGCATATAAAATGGACAGTTGCACAACTGCAGAGCTACCAGGATAATGAGAAATACAAGCTCACATCAGGACAAGCCACTGTCTCCAGCTCTACAATAATAGTTGAACATATTTTGTTGACAACCGATCATCATGCCAACAACATCTTTTTTTTTTTTTTTTTACCAAAATAAGTGTGTTAAACTTTATTACATTAAGACCACAATTTCTGCTGATTTTGTTCATGGAGGAAAAAGTTAATTTTCCTTCTGTTTAGGCTTCCATTGATCTCCAGTGCTGAAGCAGCAGTATGTTAGGAGGAAGGCAGGTGAGAAGAATTAGCAAATGAAAACAGAAAGTAGAGTTGAGTTGAGTTTGAGACAAACAGTGAATGTTATTTTAGTGTTTCTCATTCGGTACCCTCGAGACAAGCCTGGGTTGGAGAGGCAGAGGGTTCTTGAAAGAATTTCACAGTTTACACCGTAGATAGGCTGGACTTGAATTCATGGTATCACTGATCCCTCTCTAATCTTCCTTTTGCACACGGTGGGACAGTTTAGAGTATCGGTAGGGAACATGTGTCTAAGTCAGATGCACTCTATTTGACTCCCAAGTTGACCTATGTAACCGGGACCTAACTGGTCCTCCCCCCAACCCAAAGAAACTAATGAGACTTATGGCACACTTGTTTGAAAGTGTGGAGTCTAGAGTTAGACTCCTTGAACTTATTCCCTGACTCTGCCACTTTTCTTTCTTTTTTTTTTTTTCTTTCTTTTTCTTTTTTTTTTAGCTGTCTAGGTTATTGAAACTATTTGTACCTCAGTTTCTCCCTATAGGGCTATAATGAACATCAAAACATGTTCTCTGTGTATAATGCAATAGACAATATCTAGTAGACCTAGAGCTACCTATTTGTTCCACCAGACAAAGGTGTGATGCTCAAGAACATTGGTACTCCAATAAGCAAACAAGTACTTTTCTCGATGTGACAGACTTATAGTTTTCAAAGTTGTCAAATATTTTGCTCTAAAACTGTTATCAATATTCACCCCATTCACCATTATTATAATAGTTACAAACCACTTCTCTTGCAGTGAAAATTGCAAAGAAGCGAATCAGTGCTGTTAATGCCAACAATAGAGTCCTGAGGGATTAAGCCACCTGATAACATGACACTTGGGCATATGGATTATTTTGAGCTGAAAACTACTGGGAATTGACAGATGCAGGAAGCGACCTTTTCAAAGATCCCTTTATCTGAGAGAATGCACCCCTTTCTGACAAATGAATTCTGCCATAAATCCCATGTCTAGGAGGACTTTTTTTTATAACGAGGAAGTTTATTTGACCTTAATTTTTTAATTAAATAAATCACTTCTGGGAATGTGTACTTTTCAGTGTGTTATATTTATATGTACAATGGAATTCTAGACTGAAGAGGGGGGATTCCCAGGATATATTTCCACAACAATGAATAGACCAACTAGAGCAGCAAGTGTATTTGCGGGAATGGAGTGTTTTATGTGTCTAAAAAGGGAAATAAACTGGTGTTTACTTTTATGCTCTTCAGAAAACTCTCCAGGATACTTAACAATATTTAGGAGTAAGAAAAAAAGGAGGAAGATTTATTTTGTATATATTATAACTCTTATTTTTATGAATGAGAAATTCAATGCAGTAATATTTTACATAACTTTTATTTTCTTTAACAATTTTATTCATGTAATCAATGTATTCTTTAATAAATGCCTTAGGAAGATTTTCATAGCCAAGAAAATGGGCAATGAGTTGAGCCTGTGCAAGCAGCCTTTCTTAAAGTTAGCCTTGCCTTCTGTTTGTTTCTGCATGCCCTTGTCTTCCACTGTGCCCCTCCTCTAGAAGTGCCAATGACCTTTTCTTTGAATATATTAATTACCTCTCTGTCACTTTACTGACCTCTCGCTGAAACAGCATGAAAGTCTCTGGATCTAGTTGCCTCTTTCTGGTTTTTATTTCATTTCTGTGATCAATGGTATAAGCACGCAGGGTATCCCACTTCATTTAATCTAAATTTTGTTAGCTCAATATGCAGGGCCTCAGGCGCTGATACTAAGAGATAGAGGCAATAAGACATTTTTATTGGTTGGTGGGCTGTCCTTAATATACTAATCCAAAAATATAATAATGTTTGGATACAATATCTGTGTATTATTGTATATGCTTATTATATTAGGCTGATAATACATTTTATATACTATAAAGACCAAGATATCAGAGGTGGAACCCTTAGCTCTTGGCAACATGGCTTCTAAAAGGAGAGCCAAACATGATGGCTCATGTCTGGAAACTCAACCTTCAGGTGGTTGATGTAGGAGGGTCATTATAAGTTCAGAACCAACCTAGGCTACAAAGCAAGTTCCAGACCAGCCTGGAATACAGTGTGAGACCCTGTTTCAAACAAATAAACAATAGAAAACAAAATCAAGCCCCAAACAAATCACACTCAACTCAACAAAACACCGGGCTAAACAAGAAAGCTGGAAATTCATTCCTACCTGCAAAATATCTCCCTAGAAAGTCATGGAAAGGATCCGGTGCTGAAAGCAAAGTTTATGACTCCCAAGCATTTTAATGGATAGAAGGGTTAGAAACCCAGCAACTCCCCAGGAGACATATCAAAAAGGCTATTAAGGCAGATGAAAAGGTCATTAAGACAGATGAAAAATGTTATTGAGTCAAGATCTTCCCGAGAGTCTCATAATGTTAGCTCCCAAAACATCCATATTTTATCAACAACAGCCCTGGTATTGGTGGCATGGGCAGTGAGAACTATACTTCAAGAGTCTTAACAATCAATGTTTTACTTCCAGTTAACAAGGATCACAAATCACCAACGTTTAGTTTGAACTGCCAAGCAAGTCTACCTTTCCCACTCCACAATGAAGAGACGAAGATGCTGAAATCACAGTGAGCCATAGGGAAGAATAACTCACACAGACTACAGAAGGCATGAACAGTCACAATGACCATGAGCTATTTAACTCTCCACCCATTCTCATGGTCATTAACTCATCTGATTTATAGCTCAGCACCAGATCACTGTTTTTGGAGAGGAAGTAGGGGCTGAGTAAATAATAGCTCGAGGCCATTAAGATGGTAATAACAGGCCTGGATTTTAATCTCAAGACAGCCATCTCTACAGCCTAAGAGTAACTCAAACAGGTGAGGGGGCTGTCTTCTCAAAATATCTAAGGAAGAGCAAGAGGTGAAGAGCTTCCTGCCACAACTGTCATAGATGACAATCCACTTGTTCTCAACGCCACCCTCCCTTTAGTTGCTATTGTCCTTACTCTGGAGTTTGAGAAAACAGAAGCTTAGACAGTAGCCATTTCAAGACATGCAGACCAGAAAGCCAGGAGTTCAGGAGTTGTGTTTGCTGTCCAATGGATCTGAGTTTGACTCGAAACGGGAAGTCAAACTCAGCAGTGGCTACCTTGCTATTAAACATATCTTGGAGCACTCTTCCGTCATACTTCCAATGTCTTGGATGGAAGACCACTGTTTTCTTTATCTCAGAAGTGAGGCCAGTCTACCCCCTCACTGGCTCAGGAATGCTCTGAGATCCTAATCAATACTATAAAGGAAAAGGGAAGCAACAGATTGTGATCAAAGAACAGGGTCTTCACTCAACAAGCTGGAGATATGGCAGAAAGGGCTCTCCTACCGCTCACCCTCCAGGAGCCAGAACACAGGAATTACAGCATTCCTTAGCTGGCCTCAAGCTTTTGTGGTGAGGAGACCAAAGGCTGCTTAAAGTATCTATAGTATCCGACTCACCAGTCTCCTAAGCAGGATGAATGACTTCAAAGAACTTAGACAGCCAAGAAGATTAGCAGTTAGGTCAGAGCGGTGAGATTTATATGAGTTCTTAGTGAAAGATACAGGGGATGGGGAAAGGCTTCATAACTCTGCTTTAAATCCTCTGGGGGAAATAAAAGGAATAATAATCCTCCCCAAAACTCTGGGCAGCGAAAGAGGATCATCTCCATCAGAGAAAAAATGCCTGTGTGATAAGCGGAA